ATATAACTACACACTTTACAAAGTGTTTTTTTTTCTGGATTTTTTTTTTTTTTGCATTTCGGTATATTCATTTTTCCAATGCTGTTCCATTAACCCTTTGAAGGTGTGTAACGTTCTATCCGTGTCCAGTTCTAGCTATGCATGTTACCCTTTCTGATTTCCGGTATTCCATTGGTAAAACTGGACCTTGAATACACAGCACTTTGCTCTCATAGCAAATATCAGTGGATGGACCGTGTTTAATGCGTAGGCATACACCAGCGAGATCATGCTAAATGGTGTATTAATAAGTCATTACCAGAGACTAATGTGCCAAACATTCAATGGAAACATTGCATTGCAATTCAATTATATTCAAGTATTTGTCCATATCTGATCCCTTAATGCTATTAGAAACAAGCTATGTAAAGCTTTTATTGCAGCAGGATCCTAATGTAAGTCCATTGTCATTACCAGCTCGGATTCTCCCATTTAATCAATAATATTCAAACTGGAATAATTCCAGATTTATGTCAACACTGCTTAAAATCTGGTTTTGATACAAATATATTTGGATTTAAACTTGCAAATGACCTTAAAAATATCAAATTGTATGCCTGTGTAGTTCTTTTCTTTGCACACACTTAATATATTTGATATGGTTAAACTTCATTCTCTGATTTAACGAATTTGTGTTTTAAAATGAAGTGTTGGCATTTTTGTTTATTTGACTAGTGTTCTATAATATTTATAAATTTGCTTAGTGTCTTCAAAGCAGCTTCTGAGTATAAACAAAGCGTTAAGCATTGATTTAAACCACTTAACATGCACTAGGAAATCATGCTACTTCTAAAATGACCAAAAAGGGAGAATTCATTACACCTATTCCTCGCCAATGGATGAAGACCTATTTTGAGAGTAATATGTTCCACTGCACAGCAATATGAGGCATATCTGGGTGTAAAGTGACATCTGGGATAGCTGTGTGATTAGATGTGTATATAGAGCATTATGTGTGCAGAACCACTTCTGACATCCCCTGTTTAAACAATTCATGGTCTCACTACCCCTGCCATAGGAATCAGCAACCCATGCAGGTGTAATGATCAATGTCTTTAAATGAGAGAGGCTCAATAAACTTAGACATTATAAAGTATATGTGAGAAAAAAAAAAAACCACGGTGGGGTTAATTAATATTATTTACAAACACTATAATTAGGCCAAAGTGTTTTTTAATTGAATATACTGCAATAGATCAGGTGAAGCCTGTTTGTTTTCAGCCATAGTTTTTCAATTAGGCTTAGTTCTTTATGTGCAAGATGATGAGAGGCACTTAAAGTTGTGACTTGTAAATTGGTTTAGGCAGGTATGGGCAATGATCCATTTCAAAGTAAATCCAAAATGATACCTACCTATGTATTACAGTCACTTGATGTGGTGTTACCTAGTAACGGGGCTTGAATACAGTGAATCCAACCGATTTAGGGAGTATTTAGGAATTGCTCCCAATGAATTCGTCTGCAGAACATGTATATCAGCGAGATCTGGATTCCTATCAATTCTTTCCATACTTCTGCTGTCCAGAGTCATACATGGTATTAACCCTAAGGATGCCGTTGGGGCTTAAAGGGCATTGCCCTCCGATCTGGAAGTTAAGGGTTTAATCGTTTATTAAGACTCTGTGCTTACCATGTGTCATATTCTGCTCTAAACATTTCTAGGTGTGGATTTCATATACAAGCTTGGCAATGCGTGAAATCAATATCCTGTCTGAAAATTGTAATATTAGTGAGGAAACGAGTATAAACCGGTTGCCTTTTAAAGCGATTTCCAGTTGAGCTATCTTTTCTTCCAGATAGTGCTAATGAGTGATAGCAGAGAGCGTTCTGTGGGCAGCGTTCCAGCCACAGAATATGTTTCAATGTATCAGTGGGACAGGATGTATGGAACGTGCTCTGTCACATCCATTACTGACACCATTACCTGCATGGACTCACTTCTGGGAGGGTCACTGAGTGAGGACTGACAGGCTTTTAACAGCCAGCAATAGGAGAACTGGGATTCTCTGGGTATCACAGCTCCATGGTCAGTTGTATATCAGCTCCTATTGAGTTCAGCTAAACTAAGAATATACTATGCTGTGCTGCTGTATAGGTTTCTAAATCAGACTACTTAGGATGTCAAGTCACTCTTCTATCTATCTATCTATCTATCTATCTATCTATCTATCTATCTATCTAACTATCTATCTATCTATCTATCTATCTATCTGTCTATCTATCATCAACATTTATATTTATATATTTCTGTATCTATGTATTTATTTTATTTTTGCAATTTTCCACAAAAATTGTAAATTAAAATAATTCTATAAATCTTAAAGAATAATTAGGATAAAATGATCACTTTGAGTTAATAATTATATTTCAATCATATTTATCTCTATCTATCTATCTATCTATCTATTTTGTTTGCAAGCGTACACATTTACAAATGACATGTTTATTTCAGATTCCATTTATTTTTATTTTAGAACATTCTTCACGATAGATTCAATTTACGATGGATACAATTTATCAGGTGCTTATACCCTTCGTTAATCCATCTAAACTCCTCGAATTATTGGAGCAATAAATGATGAAGTGCAACAGTTTGATAGTTTAATAGTACATACAGAGAACTGTGACTATATGAATATGTACAACTAATATTTCATTACTATTAGCTCTGTTCTTACTATTAGCATGAATAATTACTGTATCCATGTAGTGTTTATTATAGAAATTGGAATGATCTGCTATGTTAACCTAGTCCATGTATAACTCTGTATAAGACAGTAATTGTTACTGTTATTTTGTCGCTGTTGTTATAGTGAATATTTTTTAAAGCACCACCATAGTTCCCAGGGCTTTACAATATTTTAATAGAGGAAGAAAACACGAATTAACTGAAAAACAAAATAATCAAGTGCAATAAGAGTACACTCTATACTGGGACAGTGACTCCCAGCATCCTCAGGCAGGGCCAGGCTGGCTGGGAGTTGTGTGGCTCCCGCTGTGACAGTCCCGGGTCATTGTCAGACAGGAGCCTGTCAAGGGTCACAGGCCGGAGCCCCAGTTCCATGTGTTCCAGCGCGGCGACGTCACGAGAGCGGCCGTCCAATGAGCGAGCGGCTGGCGGAAGGTGTGGACCAATGGGGCCGCGCGCCGGTGTGAGAGCGGCATTAAGGGTGGGAGACGGGCTGCGGGAGCTGGGATGAAGTTGGAGCGAGTGACGCGCAGAGAGAGCCGGGAAGGTTAATGGCTTCCTGAACACAGCCTCTACCGAAACACCTACCGAACACCGCGAACACCGGCCGGGACACACAGCGAGGTGAGGAGTCCGGGGTACCGCTCCTATACTGACTGAGCTTCATAATAACTATCATCAGACATATCATCAGACATGGCTGTAATATGACTCACTGTCTGTCTGTCTGTTTATCTATACTATATATATAGTGTGTGTGTGTGTATATATAGATTTATTGGTGTGTGTGTATATATATATATATATATATATATATATAATATGTGTGTGTGTGTATATAGATGTATTTGTGTGTGTGTGTGTGTGTTTGTATTTATATATGTTTGTGTGTGTGTGTGTAGATGTATGTGTGTGTATATCTATATCTATATATCTATATACACGCAAACACACACACATAAAAGAAAAAATATATATGTATATAATGTGCGTGGGCATGTATATATGTATGTATGTTGCTATGTGACTGTGAATGAGTGCCTCCTATAGAGTATATTATTTTCATGTTTGTAAATGTGCAGCTAGTGTAAAGTGATTGAGAGGAATGGGTGAAGATATGTATCTCAGGTAGATAATAATAGATTGTATTATATATTTGTATACATCTGCAAAATGTGTATAAAAGAGGCGGTTTAGAAAATTTCCCCAGCCCAGATGTATTTATTTCCTACCAACTTGTTTATTTTAACGCAATATTGCGACTTATCCTCATTACCCTAATAAATCAGATTATTGTTTAGTGAATAGACCATTATGTTTTGCTATGTGTGTGTGTTTGTATTATGTTTATGACTTTTGCGTGCGTATGTGTTTATATGCATCTATTTCTTTTTTCTGTGTCTGGGTCTATTTACATACAGTTCGTCCCCTAATTTTTCGTGTTTGCGCATACATTTATTTTTTTATTTGTTCCCCCTTGTTGCCGATTTCTCTTTATGTTTCAAATCTATTAAATGTAATATTATGTGCACGTGTGTGGCATATATAGATCAGTCTATTGGTTGCAACACTGTTTCAGTGCTCATCCATATAATTATACATATTTTAGATTATTGTGTTTATTTTTAAAATTTTAGATGCCTGAAAAAATGCCAAATGTTTATATGTGACAATCTTAAACACACAGACACCCACCCCTCACAGAGAGAAAGACACACACACAGACAGACAGACAGACAGACAGACACACACACACACACATGTTGTGTACAACGTGTGTATTCATACATTGCTATACTATCACAGCAATTGTATCCATCTACTGATCTGAATTTCACTGTTTTATTCTCAGGGACCCATTGCTTCATTCTGGATCATCTCTAGAGTCCATTTCAACTTAACAGATACCTTTTGTGGATTGAAACAAGTGGGCATTTTAGACAAGTAGAACACACTGCGTTTTGAATTGAAATCTCCCCAAACTCTGAACTCCAGACATGATTGGATGTGGATGACAATATCTTTCCTTAACTAATCCTGTGGTCGTGTTTTTCATTTTCTTTTTAATATCTCGAGAGCAGAAAATCAGCAGCCCTTTCTTTTTTATCCCTTTGTTCTTTCTTTTTTTTTCTTTATATTTTTAAACAATGATCTTAAACTGAAGATTCTAAGTTTTTGGGGGTTTTTTTAAGCTTTTTTTTTCTCTGTGTCATTCTTTTTTTGATGAATCTTGGGATTTCTGTTTGTAAAAATAAAGGGTTAAAAAACCACCATGAAAGAAAAATCCAAAAATGCTGCTCGGACTAGGAGGGAGAAAGAAAACAGTGAGTTTTATGAACTGGCTAAATTACTACCCCTGCCCTCTGCCATCACCTCCCAGCTGGACAAAGCATCTATAATCAGATTGACAACCAGCTATTTAAAAATGAGAGTGGTGTTTCCTGAAGGTAAGTCCTAACGCTCTGTGTTTACATTCCTTTCACTTCCAAGCTGATCTGATAAACCTTGTACAAATGTGTTTCAATTTCTCCAATGTAGTGGGTCCCATCCCACAAGGTCTAAGCCTGAGGATTTCTTGTCTACATAACTGGCAGCTATTGGGACTTTACATTGCCTTTGTCTACAGCCCTAAGCGCAAGCCACGTTTATACTTAGGCAAACACGACTTGCTTTCTGCACAATCTGCATGTCAAAGACACACATGCCACCCAATATAACTGAGGGTGATGCCCACTGTGGGGAAAGGCACTACAACCATGTACCTGTCTGTCTCTTTCATTTTAGTAGTCTCTGTTTAAAAGAAACAATTAAATCATGTAAAATTGTCACTTAAAGTAAATATTCTATATTTTTTATTCTCTTCTATCTATCTATCTATCTATCTATCTATCTATCTATCTATCTATGTCTGTCTATTTATCTGTCTTTGTCTATCATCTATCTTACATTGTATATACATGTGATTTACATATAAAATATATTTGCATAGTTACTGACATAATTAACGCCTTACTTTTATAATCAATGTGTCCACAATCTACACGTTATGTTTTTAGTTTGCATGTTACTAGCTTCATCTATCTATCTATCTATCTATCTATCTATCTATCTATCTATCTATCTATCTATCCACCCCCATAGTGCTGATATTAACTACAGATAAACAGGTAGTTCATTAAAGGGAGAAAGTAAATTAATCGAAATGGAAAGAAGCACCATTGATGGGATTTGGATGATTCAAATAGCAAATCTAGAAAAAAAATAAGAGATAGAGATTTATTTTTTTTTGGTTTTTTTTCTGCAAACTGGTAGTTGATAATAAAAAAATAAATAAAAATAAAATAAAAAACACCAGATAAAGCTATTGTAAAGTCCAAAAGCAGCACTGTTCCTAACAGGATTATTAGCAGTGATTTGCCAGCTCTCCCAGTCTCAGTAGGCTGCCTTTCTGCGTGATTTCCAGCAGTTCTTGTCAATTATTGGTGCCAGTGTACTTGCTTGTTTGATCAGTAGAAACATATGGTGCAACCAGTAGGGCTGTGGGTAATCAGGGGACCAGGAGTGAAACAGCTTCACAGGGTGAAGCGAGAATTCAAGCCAGCAACACCTGGGAATGGCCACAGACTGACTATCTATCTATCTATCTATCTATAGACAGACTATAGAAATATCTATCTATCTATCTATCTATCTCTTTTTCTAGACAGACTATAGAAATTTCTATCTATCTATCTATCTATCTATCTATCTAGACAGATTATAAAAATATCTATCTGATATCTATCAAGATATTTATATAGTCAGACTATAGAAATATGTCTGTGTCTGTTTCAATGTCTCACTTTCTCTTTGCATTTGTATCTAGTCTACTCTTAAAACAGTTGATGGAAAGTTATCATAAAAAATCCACCTATTTCAGTGCCCATAACTTTAACACATAACACATATAGGTGATTTTAAACCTAATAAATACTAATAAAATAATGTACAGTCTGAGCTGATAAAACAAACTTTTACAGATATACAGAAACACTGTGCTTCAATATAGGACAATGGCTGGGAAACAAAAACCTACTTTTTATTTTTTAATGGTAATTTGTAAATTTGTACAATTGGTAAACTGTATTATACCTGTATATATTTATCATTCGTACATATACATGTCATTATTTATATGTAATCAGCAAGGTGGGACAGCTGACAGCAGAAATGCAACGTGTCTGTTAAAACAATTGAGGCAAAATAAGATTATGGGTTTCGGCTACTTGTTTCTGAATTTTGCCAGCTTTTCTCATTTAAATAATATTTTGATGTATTTTCAATGAAAAGCGCGTTGTGGTGACGTCAGAAATGACGTCTATTTTTGGGGTCCAAAATAGCCAAAATAGGAAACAAAAAATGTGCTCTTTCTCCATGGGTTTGAAATTCGCTTCTCAAATCGCAACTACTCTCTGAATAGTGAATCCCACAGTATGGGATTTCTATAAACTATACTAAGCTAATCCCTTAAAGAGATATACTAACATGCCTTATTTATTTTGTATTAAATCAACCTATTCCAATGTAGGGATCAGGGAGGAAATATCATATATATTATAATGAAAAGAATGAGAAGAAATTTTAAAAAATGCTCTATTTTTCACCTGGGATTTTCCGCTTTCACTGTTTATTTATTTTTAATTATTCGTTTAAATTATAAGTAAAACACAAACTTAGGTGCTATAGGTGACGAGCTGATAAATATCGTCATTGACAGTGTCGGTTTAATTGTATCTGAATATGAACAATTTACTAGATAAAATTATTACTAATATATAATTGTATTGTTTTATAATTTTTTTCCATTTAAACTGCTATACAAAAAAGCGCGTGTGATCGTGTGATGGAATTACTTTTGTCATAACATTTACAAAAAAATAATATATATATATACACACAACTATTCTACAATGCCAATATATATATAGAGCAACTCCCATACAGAAAAAAAATATATAATAATTATTTTGTTGTACTTGCAAAATATGCATGTCTAATCTTTCTGGTGGAAATATAAAATATTAAAAAAAAATTCTCATTATATAATTAACCTGCATATGATTGCATTATACCGAATTTATTATGAGAAAATAATATTGCACCACCGTCTATGTTTTAATATTCTTTGAAGATTCTTTGTATGTTGGCATTGCATGAACTTAATTACAATACTTGTATCTTGTATCACTCTAGCAGCAATACTATCAAAGTCTTAGAATATAACATATACATGCTTGTTCTCTGGATACATTGTAGAATTACAAAAAAAAAAAAAAAGACAATGATTGAAACACTATTCCCACGTGCATTTTTATTGTCCTTGCACTTTTATTGTGCTTGTTCTGCAAATTGTAGGAAGGTGAACGAGAGTCGTGTTGGGTTACACTGTTTATTTTTGTTACAGGACTAGTACTTATTTCAGTCCCTTTAAGATTAGAGCAGGTTTACTTTCTGTGCTAATACCCCTTTTGATGCAGTTCTCCAAATTGATGGGCATAACCAAAACGTCTAATAGAACAGTTAAAATATGAGATTTATGTGATATGAAGCATAGACCAGATGCATGTGTAATACACACATATATATATTTTTATCTCGGATGAAAGTTATTGTAAATTGGATTTATGTTCTATGTATTTGGTTAACTTGATCATAAAATATAACCCGCATTTGCCCTTTTCTTGTGATACAGGATAAATATACATTTTATTTAATATCTATTCAATTATACACTCTTCATTGTCTGCTATTTCACTTTACCTGGGTGTTCTATTAAAATATATGTTTGTTCAAACGCCACAATATTTCCTTTACACTTACTTTTTAAATGTATTTGCATCTGATTTCAGATACTGCGGTCATACAGCGTAAACAGAATTTTATTTCGAATGCAAATAACGTGAGATATCATGAGATAAATAAATTAAGATATTTGCAACCCCAGGGTGTCTGGTTAAGATTGCCAGAAAAACGAGAAATCAAGCAGGGGGAATAATAAAACATAATGCTATTAAGGGGCGATGTGAGACAGTGGAGTAGATCCCCGCCCTTTAGTAAATTAGACTCTCTTGTTTGGCTTGTTAATGTGAGAGCTCTACAGGTAGGAGTTGTAGGGTAGCCGTGACATCACAATTAGCTTAACAACTGTACACAAGACCAGCATCTTAGCTGTAAAAGACAGTAAGTGATTTACATAGCCAAGCTTTGTAAAAAAAAAAAAAGGACACACAGAGACTACTACTTCTAAGAAAGATTCCATCTTACAGGTGACTAGATTGCTTCCAGACATTCTAAATGTGTATTGTTCCTACTTACCCTGCTGTATGTGTACGTTGATTGCAACAGGTTCATCAATTCCAATTAGAAAACCCTGTCTGTTTGTGTGTCCATCAATTTGTCTGTCTCTTATTTTACAAATATTCTACAATGCCACAATAAAAAGTAAAAGTGACACGTTGCAAATTATCTATCTATCTATCTATCTATCTAGCTATCTATCGCCCACTCCCCCGACCCCCTCATTCTTGCTTGGATTCCTTAACCACATTTGCCCCTAAATCTAAAGGGGACAGTTCTTGTCTTTGTCATAATGTATTCCTTGTCACACCAGTTCAAGATTTGTGGATTGTTGAATGTATACATCAGTGTGTGTATCGGTTTTTTTTTTTTTTATTGTCATTACGAATATTATTTCGTACATACATTTATTTGGCCATGAGATTAAACCTGCGATTTATATTCGCAGATGCTAATCTATGAAAATATTACTGTCCAGTGTTACTGAGAAATAGGGAGAACTCGAGTTTAGAGGATGAAATGGCTCTTTGTGTTTTTATATCCTGTAAGATATACTGTGTGTTTGTGTTGTATATTGGAATCTGGAAGGTGGATTGTTAGTTTATAATAGGTATTTGTTAAATATCTCCTTAAGGGTTAGGATCGCAAAGGTTAATATATGTTAAGAGAGACAGAGGATGTATAACTGTTTATAAAATTTAGTTTTAAAGAAATAATGCCACTATTTATGAAAGCATGAAGTACCTACAATTATATACACGCTGATATGCATTCACACTTCTTGGTGATTTTATCCATGAATTAACATTTATTATATAGATCGATCACAGAAAATCTCGGATATTTATAGGTTTCACCAGATATTGCTAAACCAGCCATGAAATCATTTAATAGATAATGATTCTAAACAAATGGTTTTCTCAAACTATCAAGTTCTCAAAACTATAATCACATTTTTTTTATTTTTCTAAATTAATTTTGTGTGTATATATGCATGCATATGTATGTGTGTATATTACTATTAAAAGAATATATAAAATTACTGTTGTACATCATCTACATATCTTAAGTCGGACCTTGGGAAACGCCAGCACTGGGCACAGATATATATATATATATATATATATCTATATCTATATATATAGATAGATAGATAGATAGATAGATATAGATATAAAAAATAAAAATAAATCATGTTTCTATAATTCTCCCAGAATTCACAGCTCAACATGCAAATGAGCACAGATAGACATCCTGTTTCAGACTTCCTCATGTATTTTGCAAACACCCTTAGCAATGGAACCCTGTTTTAAAAACAGCTTCTTAAGATTACCCAAATCATGGGACCAGAAACTAACTTTGGAGCAAAACCCAACAATTTTGGACCTTTTGGATCTAGTCAGTACAATGCTGAATATTGCTGTCTGTTCTCATTTGCATTCTGAGTTCGGGTTTCTGGTATAATTCTGGAACCATGTGTTCTTGGACTTACTTTCTCCATTTTGGATAATAGGTGCAGAGTTTCACAGTACTTTGCCTTACCACATGTGTTTGTTTTAGTACTTTATATTGACATAACACTTAATCACCATGTTCATGACATCAAAAAGTTGAAATTTTAAAAATCATGTTTGTGTTTTAGTTCTTTTAAGGTCACAGCTTATGCTTTGGTTTAAAAACTTGTGTTTAGGACAATTCTCAGTTGGTTATGGTACTTGCAGGAAGGCTAGGTGAAGTCTGAAACCAGAAGCCTTTCTATTCTGGTTGCATATTGAAAGAAGAATTCTGGGGAAATTGTGGAAACATATTTACTTAGAATAGATGTGTCCAACCCAAGGACCTGATTGAGATATGCAGATGATGTACAGTCGTAATTTTTGATCTCTCCACAGCTTTATTAGTACATCCTACTTATACAAACCTAGAGACTGACATCTGAAAAGACGTCCATATTTTGCTGTTAACACTCATAGTGTTCATTATGATCAGTTGTTTTCTCTGGCACTCAATGAGACACTGCAACTTTCAGTCATTATTGTAGCATTTAACCACTTGAGTGCTATCTATTTAAGGAGACAGTGTACACAGTATGCAGAAATAAAGAGCAACCCTTGCTCAAATTACACCTTGCAAATCTAGCTGTTTTGTGAAACACATTACTGGCTGCTTTCCCTTTAAACAGTTAAGCCAAGATGATTTATTTAAAAAAATATTCTCCCATTTACACAATTGATAATCAGCGCATTCGGTTGGACACTTTTAACAAAACAATATGTATAGAATCTCGCTCAAATAATTATCAGCTAATACAGGTTTATTGCAGCGATTCATTTAACAAAGATTTTACTCTCAAAATAGGATTTGTGAGCCATCACTCCAGTTCATAACAAACCGGTTTTGGATGGATCTGACTTGTTGAGATACAATGTAAATAAATTATTGGGGTTCAGTAAAACACCTTGGGAGATGGAACTGTTATTAATGACGTTAAACCCTGTATTATATAGGGCAGGGCTATACAACCATAGGCACTGTAGATATTGTGGACTACATCTCCTATAGTGATCATACAGCCATAGTGCTGGCAAAGCATCACGGGAGATGTAGTCCAAATGATCTGGAGTGCAGAAGGTTGCCTCCCATACTTCACTACATATATTATAGTAAAGTGATTTCAGACACCAAGCATAGTAAATAATCTTCTTTAAAATCTAATTATTGTGTTTATTTTTTTTAATTTATGCGTAAAAATATTTTTGCTTAGTTTCCATTACATTTTACAATGCAAAGCAAATACTTGGATCTTGCTGCTGCAATAAACACGTGGGTTTATTTTAAGTTATTTAAATAATTTGGGGATGTAAAGGTTTAAGGACAGATACATGTCTCATATTTTATACATTGGTATTCACCTCTATGTATTTTATTTATTGAAAAAAAAACCAGCAAATTCCGCTTAATTTACAAATTAATTTGATCATTTTATTTGGAAACATTCTAGCAAAGAAAATGTGTTTTCTTTTGAACTATTTTGCCTTGGCAAAACCACTTTTCCATTAAACGGATCACCACTTGGTTAATAAAGCCCTATGTGTATTTGTTTTTAGAATTAATATTTAATATACATTTACTTTATAGAACACAGGGATATAAAATCAAAGATCATCACATTTATCTTTTATATGTAGACTGTAATGAAAGGACACATTTAAAAAAAAACAGCTTTTAATGTATTCATTTTTAAGGGGATCATATATTCTAAATACAGAATACTATCACTATCATTTTCATACAGTGAACTCCAATATATGTGTCAATACAGGAAAATATACACAGTTTGCATAAAACAAAATTATGGAGGCTCAAATGGACTCTTCAAATTCCTCTTTCCGTACTAATGATATATTAGACAAATACTGCATTTTTATTTAATGCTACACAATGCCATATTTTTTACTTTGATATAAAATTTATGTTATCCCAAACCCCAATATTAAGATAGATTGATTCCTCTTGTAAAACTAAATGTAATTACAATTAGCTCAATTAGACACATTTTATTGAATTCATTACTCGTTCATTATTCGTTACTTGTTGCATTACTAGCAGACCTAACCACTTTCAAAGATTTCTGTTGGACTACATTGTGACATTAGTATTAAAATCGATTGAACACTCTGAAAAACTGTAATTAACAGAGAACCTATGGGGAATGAACTTGTGTTATATGTATTCAGGGAGGGGGCATATCATATGAGTTAAGTCACTAAACTGGAGTTCTTATACCAAGGTAAGATTTTCTACGAACAAATGAACCGATCACCGAAATATTTGAACTCGGCCGAATTGGAGATTGTTTACCCCAGTCGGATATTTTTGACAAAAATTTACAAGCTTGCATTCAGACCTTAAAATATCGTACTTTTCGCTGTATTTGTTGCAAGTGATCAAAGGAATAAATTAGTTTATTGAAGAAATATTCTCAAGTTTTTTTTTTAAATTTAGTTATTTATAATAAAGATATTTTGCGAAGTTAATTAGAAATAGGTAACCCATTGCTAAATATCGAATATTACATCCAGATTAAGGTAAAGTCTCAGAACCTCAATTTAAATAATTATGATTATTTTAAAAGAGAGAACCTTAGGCTATATTAGTGACCCGAATAAAGGCTAAGTATTTAGCTGCTCCCCACTTTATAGCTAAATGACAGGTTTGACATATATCCCAAACACTGGAACACCCAACACTCTCAGCCAGACAGCCTTTAGTAGAATAGAATGTTGAATTATCTCATTGGTCGTATTTACATTAGTGTTTGCAAACACAAAAGAGGGCACTCATTTCACTGTTAGACTGTTAGACTTTTCCCAGTCGTTACATTAAAGTCGGATTCATTCACATTACGACATCAGTGACAAAGTTTCCATTTTTTATAAAACTGCAAGTGTTTTTTTTTGTTTTTGTTTTTTAAATCTCTGTTTACGTTTTGCACCTGGCTCCTTTAATGCAATGTATGTGTTACGTTGCCTAACGTTTTTTTTTTTTTTTTTACAAATTATTGTTGATGTCCATATGCTATTTTCCTATTAATAGTTTGTGACCTCCCGAAATGAAAAGCGCATGCTATTTGTAAATAAATAAATACATATATACGCCTAGTTTTTGCTTTGCTAACTTGCTTTAAATTGCCATACCTGCTTTCTGAAAGGTGAGTTTTTTTTTTTTTTTTTACTGTGCCCTAGATAGCTACAGTGATACATTTTATTTTCTACTTGCCCTTTTGGCGTTTCACTCAATCTGTGCTGTTGCTTAGCAACTGTTCAACTCTTGTTATGCCATAGAGCAGGTCCAGGACTTCGATATGCATAAGATGTCAATGTTCATATCAGCTTAGTCCCCCCTCTAAAAAAATAAATAAAATAAAGTGTTTAGGGGTTTATTCACTAAACGGGACTTGAAATAGCGTGAGGTTTTAGATTAACCTCTTAAGGACACATGACATGTCATGATTCCCTTTTTTTCCAGAAGTTTGGTCCTTAAGGGGTTAAAGTAAGGTACGAAAATAGAATCTCCTTGTTGTTTTTGTCCGGTCGTCCCTAGAGTAGTTTTTGTTGAATTACTTGATGATTACCTATTGACATTTGATTTTTTGAAATCTCTAAATAATAACGAAATAAAACCCGAATACCCAATTCAGGCTAAATTAGTCAAGTTATGACTGATTGTTTCTGAGCTTAACATATTTTTTCCCCCAAATCAGGTATTTTGCCTTCATTTTGCATTTCATTACCATTCACAGTTTAATGATTTACACATTTATTTTTACACAAGAATCCAATGGCAATTAGTATCCATGTTAGCACAGCATGGTGTTCTATTTGTTCGTAGAATGTGGTAGGTATATTAATATAAGCCCTTTATTTTAGGTGGTATAATCAATTCTAAGTCAGTCTAGTTTCCCTACATGTTTTAACATAGTCAATAGAACCTATCAATTGTTCCTGGTCATAAAACTGTCTGTTTCTACATATGCATAGGCTGTGCCTATTCCACACTGTGACTTAGCATATCCTGCTTGGAATGTTGCAATGAAGAATAGGCATACTAATCTCCGCAGGATAAGGCATTATTGGGGGTTGGGTAGATTCATCCTGTATAAACTCTTACTGAAGGACGCTGTTCCCCCTAAGCACATTTTTTTGAAATCTCTTCAGCCCTGAATCAGTTAAAAAAAACACCCTTTGTATAAAGTAACAATCTGTAGGTGCATGGTGGAGCGAAATCTAGTAATGGTTTCTTTTGTCAACTTTATTCTGTCTGTGTTTACTGAGAGGAATACTGCTGAAGGACAGTCTCCACTCTGATTGGTTTATTTGATATCTTTATTTTCCTAGACCAGAAGTTTTCTGTATTTTATATCAAAAGTTCTAAATAACTGTTTAAAGACATGAATTTACATTTTACCAATATTTATAGCAAGTGTCTTATGTAAGGAGATTTTACAATTATGTGTCTGTTCACCAATGTACAGCGTAAAGAATTCGCTGGCGCTTTATAAATAATAAAATTTAAGGAAATTCTGCAAATAGAGAACTGAGGCTACAAAGTATGCTGTTCAAACTGTGCACCTGCCAATTGCATATAGGCAGGGCACTATTTATTATTATTATATTATTTATAAAGCGCTGGCAAATTCCATAGCACTGTGCAATTATTTGACTAACAGACACATAATTGTAACCAGACAAGCTGGACGCACAGGAACAGAGGAATTGAGGGCTCTGCTCAATGAGTTTACGTGCTAGAGGGAGTGGGGTAATAGTGACACAAAGGGTAGAGGTAGAGGTAGAAAAGAAGGTTGCTATAAAAGCAGCGCTGTATTTCCTACGAGGCTAACAAGGCATTTGCCTTGGGCAGCACATTTTTGCCACCCGCTATGTGCATAGGCAGATGCCCTGTTAGGATCTTTCGGGGGGGGAGCCCAAGAGATGGCCGGCTGGCCATCTTTTGGGCCGCCCTGAGGCTTTTAGATGCTTAATTTGCAAGGGGGGGAGGATGGGGTGCAAGGGAGTACTCTCCCCTGAGCTCTTCCTGCTCATCTCCCTCGCATCCAGCAGTGATACCGGGAGCCGGAATATGACGTCACTCAGGCTCACGCATCACTAAGCGGCGTGCGAGGGAGCCGAGCAGGAGGAATACAGCACCATGGCTGCATCCACTGTGTGTCAGCCTGCCTGCATGAAGCCCAGCAGTCCTGAAGCAGACAGCCCAGCAAGCCCCACTGGACCCCAGGGAAGAATCCACTTCAGCTCTCCCAAAGGTAGGGAGGCTGGGTGGATTAAAATAAAAAAGCAATATTTATATACTTTGTGAGTGTGAGACAATGAGTTTGAGTTTGTCAGTATCAGAGTGTCTGCCAGTGAATGTGTGTGTCTGTGAGTGTATATCTGTGAGTGAGTGTGTGTTTGTAAGTGAATGTATGTGTCTATCAGTGTATGTTGGTGAGCGAGTGTGTATCTGTTAGTGAGTGTGTGTTTGTAAGTGAATGTGTGTGTGTCAGTGTATGTCTGTGAGTGTGTGTTTGTAAGTGAATGCGTGTGTCTTTCAGTGAATGTATTTCACTAAATGTGTATCTGAGAGTGTGTGTCTGTCAGTGAGTGGTGTGTCAGTGTGTGTCTGTCAGTAAAACTGCATGTTTTTCTTAAAGGGACACTGTAGGCACCCAGACCACTTCAGCTCATTGTAGTGGTCTGGGTGCAGTGTCCATATTGTACTTAGTGCTGAAATGTAAAACCTTGCAGTTCCAGAGAAACTGCAATGTTTACATTGCAGCACTAAGTCTGCCCACAGTGGCTATCAGACAGCCACTAGAGGTAGAGGGCTTCCTGGATTGAAACGGACCTTAGGTCCAGTATCTGACGCTGGACTTCCTCACGTTCTGCATGAGGACACCAAGTGTCAGATAATTAGGGCCGCCACCATTTTGGGGCTCCTAACTCAGCTTAGCGTCTGGGCCCCTTGGGGCCCGCCTCCAAATCCAACCCACAGGGTCCGCCTCCAAATCCCGCCCACAGGAATACACACAGACACAAACACACACACTGATACAAAAGGACACAGATACACACACACACAGATACATACTAACAAACACATAGTGAAACAGACATACATGCATGAGTACATACAGACACATACATACATACATACAGACACCGACATACATACACACATACATACATTTATAATGACATACAGACATACATACATTCATACTGGCATACATACATATATGCATACAGACACTGACATACATACATACATACACAGACATACATGCAAATATACAGACATACTGACAGACATACATACATGCGTTCATAATGACATGCAGACATACATACTGACATACAGACATACATACTGACATACAGATATACATTGATACTGGCATACATACATACGTTGATACATACATACTGACATATAGACATAGATTGATACTGGCATACATACATACATTGATACATACATAATGACATACAGACACACAAACATAAAAAGCTTATTTTTCAGCCACCCTCCTGTCTCTTACCCTTTCTTTGCAGGAGGGTGGCTGGGGCTGACTCTCCCTCTTCATGGCCTGGCTCTCCCTCTTCACGGCCACTTCCTCCCAGCAGCACTTGCTGCGGCTGCGTTTTTTTTTTTTTTTAAAGGGGCCCGGTCACTCTATAACACAGCCACAGCACTGACCGGGCCCCTGAAGATATAGGGCCCTAAGTGCGTGGGCCACCTGATGGGCCCCATCAGTGTGCGGGCCCCAGAGAAACTACACCGGCGGCAATTCCGCCGCTACACGTGGGGGCCAGGGCCGTCGGCCCATGACAACCGTCATGGTTGTCACTCCCTGATGGCGGCCCTGCAGATCATTCCCCATAGGAAAGCATTGATCCAATGGGGAGGTCTAATGCACGTGCCGCATTTGCCGTACATGCGCATTAGCGCCCGCTCGTTGAAGGGGGCTAAGCATTAGTAAATAAAGGGGATTTAACCCTTTATTTACCAGGGAGCGTGGAGGCATATGGAGTTATAGTGTCAGGAATACAGCTTTGTATTCCTGGCACTATAGTATGCCTTTAAAAAGGTTGGGGCATATTTAGATTGGGGGTATCTGAGTTTTATCATGCCTTCGGCAGCACATATCCAAAATGCACCACTATAGAAAAGTATTCACTGAAGGCTTAGTAGGTTGTATTTGACAGTTGCAGGAGAGGAGGGAAACCTCTTAACTGTTTGATGGTTGAAGGAGTAAAGGCTGTGTGAAAGTCTAACGGAGAAGGGAAAGAAGTTCCACAGGAACGGTGCACCCCTGGAGAAGTCTTGAAGGCGAGCATTAGAGGTGGGAGTACGGACAGAGAATAGATGTAGGTCTTCAGCAGAGCGCAGGGGCCTAGACGGGACATAATTGTTTATTAGGGAGGATAGTTAGGTTGGAGCAGCATTACGTAGATATTTGTAAGGAAGCACCAGAATCTTCAATTGAGCCCTATATCTTACAGGAAGCCAATTGGCAAAAACTATATTGGAAAATATGTGTGCTTGTTATATATTATTTATATAGCACCAACAAATTCCACAGTGCTGTACATTTGATGGACTTACAAACAGGAGCAGAAGATGCTATGCTCCCTTTCTACCTAACCATCAGCTCCACCACGCAGGCTCGCTGCCTAGGTGTTCTCTTTGACTCCAACCTCTTCTTCAAGCCTCATGTTCAATCTATCGCCAAATCCTGTCATTTCCATCTCAAAAACATTGTACGCATCCGCCCCTACTTAACGCCAGATTCGACTAAGGTGTTGGTCCATTCCACTGTCCTTTCTCGCCTTGACTACTATAATCTGCTTCTCAGTGGTCTTACATGCTCCCAACTTACGCCGTTACAGCCCATAATGAATGCGGCGGCGAGGCACATCTTCCTGTCTGCCCGCACCTCCCATGCCTCACCCTTCTGTCAGTCCCTACATTGGCTTCCTATAAAATATAGAGCTCAATTTAAAATTCTGGTTCTTGCTTTCAAATCTCTACATAATGCTGCTCCCACCTATCTATCCTCCCTTATACACAAGTATGTCCTGTCTAGGCCCTTACGATCTGCTGAAGACTTACGTCTATCTTCTGTCCGTACTCCCACCTCTGATGCTCGCCTTCAAGATTTCTCGAGGGCTGCACCGTTCCTGTGGAACTCGCTTCCCTCCTCCGTTAGATGCTTACCCAGTCTCCACTCCTTCAAAAAATCGTTAAAAACCCACTTCTTCATAAAAGCGTATCAATTAAACTGTTAATAGCGCCTGACTGATTCCTCTTCTGCAACTGTCACTAGTCTAATACTATCCTTACCTTTTTGTGTCATTTTACCCCACACCCTCTAGCATGTAAGCTCATTGAGCAGAGCCCTCAACCCCTCTGTTCCTGTGTGTCCAACTTGTCTGGTTACAACTACATGTCTGTTCGTCCACCCATTGTAAAACGCTGCGGAATTTGACGGCGCTCTATAAATATCATAATAATAATAACACTGTGAAGGAGGCTTTTAAATACTACATAGATAAGAGTAGCAGTGACTGTCTTGTAGAGTTGTGTCAGCTAAGCACATACTGTTTGTTACATGGGCTAAGCAGTGTAGTACATTGCAATACGTATGATCATAAAAATGTCATGTCAAAAGGGGAGGTGAGGGGTGGATTTATGCTATAGAAAGCTGTCATTTTAAAAATTTTCTTTTTTTGAAATTCACTTAAAGGAACACTGTACTGTTAGGAATACATATTTGTATTCCTAACGCTACAGCCCTGATGACCTTTATCAATTAGGTTTAAAAAAATGAAATAAATTAAATAAATTATTAACTTTTTCTCCCGTGCCTCTAGGATAACAGGCGAATCCAGTGTGCCCACGATTCCTCCATACAGAATCATTGTATTCGATCTGTACATGTGCATGACGCCACAATATGTTACGGTATCAGAGCTGGGAAGTAAGATTCCTGGCTCTCATACCCAGAGGATTTGAAGGAGGACAGGTGAATAGGTCTGCAGGCACTATAACAACTTCAATAAGAAGAAGTTGTTAAAGTGACTACAGTGTTCCTGTAAATTATGCTGGTGCCCGAAGTATAACTTTTAATTATTTTTATACAATTATTCTATTATTATTATTTTTATTTATTTATATATTTTGGAGAAGGGTTTACAATGTTTTACAGTATTTGAAGGGCCATTAGTGCAAGAAAGATTTGGCAAAATTCAGCTTAATTTAACAAAAATCTGCTGTAGCTAACCTATTTTGGTTTAAATGTTACAATCTGTTGTCATAATGGTTCTCAATTTAGTGAATATACTCCCAGAATTCTCAAGTAAAAAGCTTACTGAAAACATCTCAAGTTTCACAAAGTATTTTATGTATGGTATTTGGGGAAACTTGTATGTCTGAAAATTTTGTAAATGCGTTTTCGTAGACCGTAAAATTGCTGTATTTTTTTTCCTTTCTAACTTCGTTTTTATAAAAGTGTTAATGAAATAGGTTAAATATAAATAATATTGCTATTTGTTGATTTAAAAAAAAAAAAAATTCTCCTACCCTGTTGCTCGCATACTGATTTGCGTGGTGTTGTACATGACCATCAGTACACAAAATCTTAAATTGTTTTAAGGAACCCTATATTAGGAGATTTTAGGGCACCATCTAGGACAGACATGATGTATTTTATTGTACACAAACTATAGTAGGCAAAACATATGGTCATATTTTGTAATATATTTTTAGCACATCTTTGAACATAGTTGATAATAACTACTTATTAAAAATACCACACCTAATATTATCATTATTAAACAAAAAATATATATTAAGTGGTTTCTCCAAACAGCATCATGCTGGCACCCATTTTCTCCCTCAGTCTGCCCTCCCTGCTCTCCCTCCACCTTTGGCAAAGGGAAGTAATGTCAGCCGTATAGGATTGGGCTGCAGGGATGACTTGGCCTTAGTGCTTTAATAGAAGTATGTTTATTAGCGTGAGGGAGAGGGGCACAAAACTAGGAAGGGTTAGTCTAAGCAAAAACAGTGTTATCTAAAAACACTTTTTTTGGTTAGGGTAGCCCTTCAAGATACAAATATACATACAATTCCATAGTTTAAAGAGTACAGCAGTAAACATCAATATCTCCAACTTTGGTCCCCCTATTACTATTATTTTATTATTTATGTAGTGCCAGCAAAACAGACGCGTAAATGTAACCAGACAAATGGATGCACAGGAACAGAGGGGTGGAGGGCCCTGCTCAATGATCTTACATGCTAGAGGGAGGTGGGTATAGTGACACAAAGGGTATAAGTAGTGGTAATGAAATAGGTTGATTGCAAAGTAATCACCGAAAACATAGTAAGTTATTTTTGATAGTTGCAGGAGAGGAGTCATTGTGGTGGGGATGAAAACCCACTAACAGTTTAGATGATATGCTTTCCTGAGAAAGTGTGTTTTCAAAGATTTTTTGAAGGAGTGGAGACTGGGTGAAAGGCCCAGAGGTGTCAGGATGAGTAGTATAAAGTATCTATTCAGTTTTTTTACTTTTTCGGATTTCAAAAGCAGATAAGGTCCTGGATGGTTAGAGAGTTAAAACTAACAGGAATTGAGGAGATGCAGGAAAAGAACATGGTTAATTTTTTTTTTTTTACTTACAAGGGAAAAGGTCAATACCTTAATAAGTTGAAACACCAACACTTGTGGAGGAGAAATATGTAGAAATAGATGGTGTACATACCATCTGTAGCTTTGCCAGTTTCAGGAGCCCCCACATCTTTATTCCAGGATTCCTACCAAGTAGGCCCACTGAGCACAAAATTGCACAGACAGTTTGAGCATGCATAAATTCGCATATAGTGTTGTACGGTTGGTAATCCCACTGTCATGAATGGATTAATTAGCAGTTTAGGAATACTTTGCCTTATACACATTCAGCTATTTGAGACTTCGGCTATATTATCTTTACACTTGTACATGTGTTTCTAAACAATATCTACAACACATTGTTTACAGCTTTGAGAACAACAGACTATTCTGTACATGTATCTGTTACAAAACTAGTATTTAATTTTTTTTTAAAGTTGATTATTATTATTATTTTTTTTTTAAAGACAATATTTTAGGCAAAGTGGAAGCAGCAATAAAACCAAAATAAACGTTATCTCATTACATGCATTCTGCCTTATCTAAAGTGAAAACCTCATGACAAATACATGTCATTTTTTGTGTGCCCTGAACCACTTTAAACATGAGAAAGAGCTGCCTTACTGCACAACTAGACTTCACTATACTAGTGCCATATAACTGCAAATTGTCTCTACAGGTTGGAGCATTAATGTAATGATCTAAAATTATACTCGGATAGGTTATCAGTGATATGAATGTATTAAACTTGAACTTTCGAGTTCTCAAGACACTAACGGAAAGAAAAGGGGACCAGAAGAAAAGTCCACTCTTTCCCAAACAAAGAGCTGGATTCTATTAAAAGAGATAAACCTAGCTCTGGTAATGGAAAATGAGTTCTCTTTTTGACAAATATTGGACATGTCAATCCAAGTATAAGACAAATGCATATGTCTTATAGACTCTAGCCTTCAACATGCAGGGAGTGTAGGCAAAATGAAGCAGGAGGGATCCTTAAGCTCAGGTGTAGGGCAAAATCTAACAAGGCCATCTTCTTATACCCCTTGTAGATGTGTTTGCAAATAACACAGGGTATGTACTAATAACCCTTTAGATTCAGAGACTTTTCACTAATTCTGGATTACATGAGTCAAATGTTCTAGGAACAGTTTATTCAGTGAAACTTCCATTTAGATTATTTATATTACATATTGCTGAATGTATTCTAACAAACAAAAGTAAATACCATGTCCTAATAACGTAATGAGAAGAAACATAATGATATATAATAATACAATAGCTATCGACTTCACACAGTTTTCCATATGATTTTGTGATAAAACTATTTAGCTGTCTTTGCATATGTATTGCTTTTTAAATTTCTGTCCAATCACAGTACCATTGTCTGTCTCTTGTAACCCACTGCCCAATAATTCTGATAACTGTTTAGGTGCTGTGATGTTTTTGGGAGTAATCATTTTTGGTGCATGATTTGGTTACATTTAGACTTGGAGTTTATGAATTCAGTTTGGAACTTAATGGATCTCCAAGTCTAAAATGTTCTACTCATTTGGGAGGAAAGTGCATTGCTTTTTGCTAAGTGACATTTTTTTTCAATGGCTGTTTGGGGGTCTTCTGTCCTTTAAAGAAAACGTGAAAAATGGTGAAGTTAAGAAACGTCATACCAAGTCAAAATATCTATGTCAAGGTTTTTCTTGTATATCATGTGGATTTACATAGTCTGGGGCATTTATGTGATTGCCTGTATTGAGCCTAGCCACTTAATAGGACAGGGCAGGCACTCACATTATTAATTTCTTGATCTTAGTCTAGTGTATAATACCTTGTGTTTCTCAGAAAGCATCATTGATAACTCGATAAAGTCTTAGCAACACACCTGCAACCTCATTTGATAGTTTGAAATGTCATAGGCTTTTTATGCTAAAATTATTGTTGCAAAGTCCTATATCGCACCATACAAGATAGATTCAATAGTGTTTTAATTTTTTTTTCACATTACTATAGCAACTTTGAAATGTTGCTGCACTTACGTTACAAGGTACCTTTATTACAATGTTGCCTCTACGGCTAGGTTAATGGGCAGGGTGGTAAGATTAGTGGGTCTTTCACATTAGGGTTTGATAGGGTTTGGGGGTTTACAGTTATAGGTTTTAAGGTTAAAAGGGACAAAGGTTTAGGGATTTCTGACTTGAATAAGCTATGGACTGAATGATTTTCAGCCATTTGCTAACCCTTACTTACCTTAATTTAAAGAAACACGATAGGGTCAGGAACACAAAATGTATTCCTGACCCTATAGTGTTAAAACCACAATCCAGCCTCATGTCTCCCCTCCCATATTATAGTAAAATTATACTTGTATTCAAGTCTCCAGCTGCTGCATCTGCCCCTGATCTGCCTGCTTGGCTAACATCATCAGAAATGATTATCTGAGCCAATCACAATGCTTTAACATATGAAAGCATTGGATTGGTTGAGATTGCCAAGGAGGCAGATAATGGGCAGACAAGACAAACACAGCCCTGGCCAAATCAGCATCTCCTCATAGAGATGCATTGAATCGATCCATCTCTATGAGGAAAGTTCAGTGTCTCCATGCAGAGGGTGGAGACACTGAATTTCAGTGTTGCACAGTGTGCAGTACTGCCCCAGTAAGCACCTCTAGTAGCCATCTGATGAGTGGCCAGTGGAGTTATCACTAGGCTGTAATGTAAACACTGCATTTTCTCTGTGTTTATTGCAAAAAGCCAGAATGTAATATTTCTACTCACCAGAACAAATACAAAAAGCTGTAGTTGTTCTGGTAACTATAGTGTCCCTTTAAACCCCACAACCCTGACCCCAAGCTTCCTGTAATCCTAACTTTAACTAACTCCAAATCTAATACATGGGGTACACTTCTGTGCACTGCATTTTGTTGTATCATGTACTTCTGCTGCAGGTTGTAACTGCAACACTATTACTGTAAATCTTCCCAGCTGTCCATATTCCCCGTGACTGGTTTGGTTTGCTACAACTTGTTCAGTTTTGTCTTTCAGCTGACTTTGTATAGAAAATAGTTTTTTTTTGTAGTTTTTTGACCCTATTGTGAAAAACTCTGCATGTCTTTTTCTGGGCTGGATGTTCATCTTTCTTTCTGTTTTGTGTTTTCCACACCATTCCCTGGGTTTACATGGTTACATCTTGTCAGCTCTGAAGCTTTCCATATTAGATAACATTCTTCCAGGGTAATTTCATATCCCCTCTGCATATTATTATTATTTTTTTAAAATCTCATATAGCATAAACTATTGTTTTCCAGATTAAACAGTGATTTATTCTACAAACTTCATAGTTATTTGCTAGTCTTCAGTGGGTACTTTTTCTCCCAAGACTCCAAATGATATAAAACAAAGAAAAAACTTAAATCTTTGCGAAATTGAAAACATTACAAAACCAATGTTCCGCAAGCAAATACTTTGAGAATATCTAGACTGCAGGGTATCATTAGCATGTGCTAGATTAAGGGCCTCCTTGTGCTTAATACGAGGTGTGAAACCTTGCAAAACATTACAATATCTGTTATTTCCTTGCCATTTCCTAATTCCATTACCAATACAAAGGCCCTTTTTTGTGGAATACATTTTTGTCTGATGACTATAGTGTCCCTTTAAGGGCAAAATTAACCAATTTGATCTTTAACCCCTTAACCCCTTAAGGACACATGACATGTGTGATATGTCATGATTCCCTTTTATTCAAGAAGTTTGGTCCTTAATGGGTTAAGAATGGTGGGCGTTCTATGCCGTCATTTTTAGGGTTGCTCTAAATGCTCGGGGGCATCATAGAACATCCCCGCTGTCCTTATTACTTACCTGATCGCCGCCGTTCCCCCCGCCGGCGATCACTGTTGCTCCCAGTCTGGGGGACTGCCTGACAGCCCAGACAGTCCGCCCTCGGCAAATTAAGCCCCCGCGGGCCATGTGTTTGCTCTGAAAGACATCCATAGTGCTGTCTGCAGGGTGACTGCCTGGGTTGTCAGGCAGTCTCCCTGCTTCTGTAAAATAAAAAAAATATATATTAGTAAATAAAAAGAATATATATATATATATATATATATATATATATATATATATATATATGAGATATATACATATATTATATCTATATATAATATGTATATATAATCTTATATATATAATGTCATACTAAGTGTATTTTTATATTAATATATGCATATATTAATATAAAAATACACTTAGAATTAAATTACACATGTGTATATATATATATATATATATATATATATATAATATATATAATAACTATATATATTGTATATATATTATTATAAAAAATAAATAATAAGTAAATAAGAAAGTGTAAAAAAAATTATATATATATATACATATATATATATAATTTTATTCTAATTGTATTTTGTTATTAACATATATATATTTATATCAAAACACACTTAGAATGAAATTATATATCAATGTATATATAAAAATAATATGAAATATATATATATATATCCATATACATAAGTACAGAAATAATTTCATAAATATACACGTAAACTTAAAATATATAAATATGTATATATATATTTAAATTCTACATGCATATTTATGTAATATTTTTACATAATTAAGTAATTTTATCGATTGCAATTTGAGGGACCTGCCTGACAACCCAGGCCAAAAGTCCAGAGAATTTAATTTGCTAGCACTGTATTTAACCCTGTAACTTGCTATGACACCCTACAACATGTACATGGGGGGTACTGTTTTACTCTGGAGACTTTGCTGAATAGAAATATTAATGCTTGAAAACAGTAAAACATATCACAGCGATGATATTCTCAGTGAAAGTGACTCTTTTTGCATTTTTCACACATAAATGGCTCTTTCACTGATGATATAATTGTTGTGATATGTTGTACTGTTTTGAAACACTAATATTTGTGTTCAGCAAACTCTCCCAAGTATAAAAGTACCCATCCATATACAAGTTTCATATTGTTTTTGAAAGTTACAGGGTCAAATATAAAGGTCAAATGTTTTTACATTGAAAATTGCCAGGTTGGTTATGTTGCCTTTGAGCACGTATGGTAGCCCAGGAATGAGAATTACCCCCATGATGGCATACCATTTGCAAAAGAAGACAACCCAGGGTATTGGAAATGGGGTATGTTCAATCTTTTTTAGTAGCCACTTAGTCACAAACACAGGCCAAAATTAGCAATCCTAATTATTTTTTGCATTTTTAACACACAAACAAATATAAATACTAACTTTGGCTACTGTTTGTGACTAAGTGGCTACTAAAAAAGACTGGACATAACCCAGGGTATTCAATATGGGGTATCTACTTTTGCAAATGGTATGCCATCATGGTGGCAATTCTCATTCCTGGGCTACGGTACAGTCTCAAAGGCAACATAAGCAGTCTTGCAAATTTCAATGTGTATAAACTAAAAAATGAAACATGCAATATTTGACCCTGTCACTTTCCAAAACACCATAAAACCTGTCACCATAAAACCTGTACATGGGGGGTACTGTTGTATTCGTCAGACTTTGCTGAATACAAATATGTGCATTTTATTGCAGTAAAAGCTAACAGCATTATGACATTCACAGTTAAAATGCCACGCAGAACAAAACAAATTAAAAAAAAATATTTAATTTCTCAAATTTTTAAATTATTCATAATAAATTATTTTTCATATATGAATAGTTCATGTGAAATGAAAGTCCTGTTTCTCCTAATCAAAATGATATATAATAAGTGTGGGTGCACTTAATATGAAAGAGGTGAATTATGGATGAACAGACATACAGAGCAAATTTCAGTTTTTGTTTACTTTTTGTTTTGATCACAACGTGTACAATTGGATCAGTCCTTAAGGGGTTAATGATCTCTCCTCACTTTGAGGACAATGATTCCCAATCTAGTCCTCAAGGTACACCAGTAGTGCAGGATTTAGGAATGTTCTTGTTTATTACTGTTTCAATGAGATACTGACCAAACTTGGACTAGTTTCATAGCATGAGGACTCAGATGGAAATCCCTGCACTATAGCAGTTACCACTCCAAGCTCAGCTGCCAAGTACTTGTAACTGTATCACTGGTTTTGGGCCATATTTGACTCCAAAAAGGTCTTGAGGACAGTGGATATGCAGACCAGGGAATCTGATGTTTGTGGATTTTGATGCAATAGGCACATTTCTAGCAGCAAACATTAAAGGTGGACCTGCAGAATTTCCTGGTGGTGATACAGGTGATGGAATCGCTAGTGGTTCTGGAGGTGCTGTGGTAGAGAGTATGAAATTGGTGTATATGTGTGCCAATGACGTATAAAATCAAGGATCTCCTTTTTTTTTTTTTTTTTATACCTCCTGCATATATGATACCGAAGTTTGTATATATGATCCCAAGAAGCTGCATTGCAGCCTGCTATGGTTGACAGTACTGCTTGGTGTTGTACTCAACTCCATTGTTGGGAGATGGAGTGGTCATATTCTTGTACAAGAAAGGCTGCTCCGGCCAAGGCTTGTTGTTAAAGTGTAAGAATATCCACCAAAAATAATGCTTCAGTGTCAGCTGTGCCAGCTCTTCCAAGTACCAGACATTATGCCTTTGTGTCAATTTTGCATCATTTGCATAATTTGTTTACACATTTTTGTTGTTTTTGGTCTTTGCCAATTTCATTCTAATACTTGTTGCTTCTAAAATGATACAGATTCAGGTGCTGGATTTTATTGTTTCTCTCTATCCTTTGCCATAGTGTCAAAGTGATGCAGGATTTTGACATCAGGGCTTGATCACATTTAAGTCAAAACCATTTTTGGATTGGTTCCCTTTCGTGGTTCTTGTTGCCCTACCATAGTTATTTAATTGATTTTCTGGTTTGGACTAGGCTTAGGTCTTTCTGGAATCCCTGACCTGGCTAGTCCTTACCTGATTAGTTCCAACCCTGATTTTGTTTATTTTTTGTTTTTTCCTGCTTTTGACTTTTTCCCCATTTAGTATTTCTGGCCTTGGAGTCAGTATACTAGTTCTGCTACTTCCTATATCTGCTGTAAGTGTTTAACCTGGTCTGGTAATATGCCTTTCTATTTCTGCCACTGTGTTTTTTGATCTGTGTTGATCCAATCTATTCCTGATAGATACCAGCAGGTGTTTGTACTGTAAATGACTTAATAATCAATACATTTTCAGATTCAAAACTTTGACCAGTATAACGCTAAATTTATATAGATTATATAGGTTATTAACAACAACAACAACAAAAAACCCTCTATTTTCATTGGTGAAAAGGGTGTCCTATAATGCAGGAATGGTCTGTACCATGACCATGTTTTCAATATTGGCCAACATGTGCCCCTTTCCCCCTCATATGTGGACTGGATAATGCTTCCCTAACTCCCTGACTGTCATTTCTGTCTGCATGGATGTGCCTGCCTCCATCCCTTTTCCATGTTATGACCTCATGTGCCAACACCTCGGTAGGATCCTCTCCAGCCCTTTTTAGCCTACACACTTCTAAAGTGTCCATACTCTTCTGTTCCTTCTCATCTACTGATCCCTTCATCCTCTTTACCTCTCTTTACCTCTCCCCATCATGTGGTCTCCCTGCCATCTACTCTCCCCTTCACTCCCTTTTCTTTCTTGTCCCTCTTTCCTCTACTTTTCTCCAGTGCATCTCCTCACCTCCTCTCCGGCCATCTATACTCCTCCTCTTGCACTCTCCCCCTTAAACACTCACACTCTCTCTCTCTTCCTGGCAAACAATTGCACTATCAAATACACTGTCAAAAAAATAAAATAATAATAAAAAAATCTATAAAATGCATTGGGTAACAAAAATCTAATTGTCTTGTCTATCTAAATGTATTGATGTGTTTATGTGATATTTACAAAATTGTATTTTTTATGCAATAATGATCTCTAAATTTCCAGCATTAATAGTCATTTCTCCCTTGATTTTGTGTCTAGTCCTGTGCCCTAGCAATCACAAACACAGACAAGATATGACACAGATTTAATAGTTTGTTATGAGATTTAATGTTGATGATTGAACTGTACTTGATTGGTTGCAAGTTTGAATTTGACCACCATTATTGTTTTCTATAAATTTGATTGACTTAGTCAGTTTCTTTATATATAAATGCTGACTTATTGCATGCAAGTGATTTTTTTTTGTATATTGTAGTATTGATCTGAGAACAGCAATCTTCAGTTGAGCTTGAATCCTGATTAACTGGATGGTGGTATGATAATAGGAGGAATATCACTTAAACTAAAAAATGCTTCTAAGTACTTTGTCATTTTTACAAATGTTAATCTAATACATTTAGTACACTGTTGTGGATCCTTTGTGCCTGTTTCTCCAGATGTCTTACGCACATGTTTTAACTGTTTTAAAGTTTCTGTCTGTTACATTCTGTAATTGGTAGGCTCATATTCCTATCCTGACTAAAGGAACTGGCTCTGGTGTAACCTTAGCAAGTATGATACTAGCACTGCAACTGTTATGGCATGGAGCAGGTGGTCCCCCTGTAAGAGGGTTTTCCTGGTTTCTCTTTTAGCTCATTCTTTGGCACCAAGGTCTACTAGATTGACAAGGGAGGGAAGGACCTATTTCTTAATCGACTTTTTTCTCAATTCCGATTTCTAGCATTTCTTCTATAAGTAGAGATTACATTTAATAAACTTGCATGTACTATGACAAATACACTTTAATTAGGGATGCACTGAAATAAAAATTCTGGACAGACACCGAACATTCAGGATACGTTTGGCCGAAAACCGAAACCGATAATGATTTTTCCCCCCAAAAAAGGGAGGGGGTGACTGGTAACAGTGACTCTGGGAGGAAGTGACAGAGTGACTGAGGGAGGGGTGACAGTGACTGAGGGAGGGGTGACAGTGACTGAGGGAGGGGGTGACTGGTGACTGAGGGAGGGGTGACAGTGACTGAGGGAGGGGGTGACAGAGTGACTGAGGGAGGGTGTTAGTAATACCTTTGTTTCCCTGGTGGTCCAGTGTCCTGGCTCCCTAGTGGTCCGGTGGGCTGTCTCTCCAGTCTGCAGCTCAGCCGGGTGTGAGCTGCAGACTGTGCTGTATTAGCAATATCCAGAAATCCTCGCAGCAATTTTCTGATTGGCCAGAGATTGCGAGATACAGCACAGTCTGCAGCTCACACCCGGCGGAGCTGCAGACTGTGCTGGCTCTCGTGGGCAGATGGGATCTCTCGCACCGGCGGCACACAGGGCAATCCGCCGGGCCCCCTCCCGATTTTCTGCATTTTTGACCACCAGCCGAAATTTTGGTGTATCCCTACTTTAAATGCTATAGCACCATGCCTAAATTTGGCATGACATTTCTCAAGTCTTCACAGCTTGCTGTTTAAGAAGTTGATCCCTATATTTTGGAAAACATAAAGTAAAACATTCTGCAGGTAGCATGTTGAAAAAAATGAAGGCAGAATAAAAATAAAATGGAATGTCCTTCTCAAACTGCCTAGATCACTTCGCTAATGGTACATTCACTGCAAAGCAAGATTTATAGAGCTTGCACACACACATCATGCATGCGCACACATTCTCAGTCAAATAAATCTGTCATGACAGGTTTACTTGAACTGCAAGCAGCCCCTTAAGCGATCAGTATATAATTTATCATGTAGATAAATTATAAATATAATTTCAGTTCAGTTTTTAACTACTTTAGTTCTTTCCAGTGCTGACAGCACTGCAATCACACAGGCTTACTAATGTGAACGCCAACCCCACATCATGCATGTGTCCTGCCCAAAACCTACACTGGAAGAGTCTCCAGGTATTGCTCTTATAAGACATTGCTTTTATGGCTAGTAAACCTGCAACAGTATGCAGTGACACTTGTTATCTTTTTACTATATTCCATATATATCAATGCAGCTACTGTGATAGGAGCAATAGATCTACCAGAAGGAGAGTTCTGTAGGTGGCATAGCACTCTATGGACATTATTTATCAACAGATAGGGAAATGAAAATATCCTTAAATAAAATTTTAAGAAAATGTATACCGTTTTTAGCATAGTAACGCTACCAAAAAAAAATCAAAGATTATTTTTTATGCTATATAATTTACAAATATTTTTGTCTTCAATGATAGGTACACTTTAAATCATTGATGAATACATTGCCAGTCAAACAAACATAGTGCCTCAATGGGCAACAAGTAATAATATGAATGAAAAATTACTATACAACTGAGTAGTAGTCAGTGGTGGTAACTTGACATTCATGTGCACGTGTAGTTTACAATAAATTCTTTTTTACAAGTAAAGGATATGCCACCTACAGCTAGCCTACACATGCTCAGGTGACCATTTCATTCATTCACTTTGAATTCTCACTTTAGCGAATAACTGTATAGATTTTCAATGCAGTACATTGGAGCCACAAATGCCGTTATGTATCCATAGCCTGCAAAGTACAAAACATGTCGACTTCCTAATAATTGCCTAGCAACCATACCTAGGCAGTTTTCTGAAACCACTTTAAGACTCCGGCTTCCTTAAAGGGACACGGTAGGCACCCAGACCACAACAGCTAATTGAAGTAGTATGGGTGCTGTGACCCTTTTGCACTTAGTGTTGCAATGTAAAACATTGCAGTTCCAAAGAACTGCAATGTTTACATTGCAGCTCTAAGTCTGCCTTTTGTGGCTGTCTACCAGACAGCCACTAGAGGGCTTCCAGAATCCAAACAGACTTTTGGCCAGTTATCTGGCGCTGGACGTCTTCACGGCCATTCCTGCGCATGCGCATTAGGTCTCCCCTGCCGACGTCAGCGCTGAGGGATATCGGCGCTGGATTCAGGTAAATGGCTGAAGGGTTTTTAACCCCTTCAGCCCTGTGGAAGAGACAGGCGGGGGACGGACCTATTAACCCTATAGTGCCAGGAAAACGACTTTGTTTTCCTGGCACTATAGGATCCCTTTAAATTTAGTATATGCTGATTTCAACTAAAATTACATGAGATTTCTTTCCTTCAAATTTCCAGTTTTGGTCTATATTTTGGCAAATTAGTTGTTTGCTCAGCAAACACAGTAGTTTTGACATATGCAGAATTAATTGTGTCAATCAGTGAGTCAATCATTTTGCCTAATAAAATCAGAAGCTGGAATTGCTAGAGCATAACTCTACTTTTAGGATTATTTACTAAAGGGAGTTATTTACAAAAGTAGTTATAGCTCGACATTGGTATAACCCGATGGTAGCAAATTCTGAAGAATTAAATCAACAGCTAATATATCAGAGAATGGAGGCTGCTTTTACGTGGTTTAATTCAGCAGCAGTGAAAAAAAAGTTCTATCTGCCAAAAATGGATGAAGATTCATGTTAATACCCACCATAGGGTTATTCTCCCTGAACAAACTTTGTGTCAAGAGATTGATAGTTATTCTTAATTACTTTCATATAGTAAGAATATTGGGGAAGCTCACAATTCTTTTTATTAGTTCATCTCCTATTTTGTTCAAATCTTTGTAGATTATTTCAAGCCTTGGTGTTAAATATTCAGAATTTCACTAATGACAGGAGGAGAATATTTAGCATACTTCCTTTACTGAAATCTCCAATAGCAGCAAATAATAAACCAAACAACCAACAGAAAAACAGAAATACAAGGTATATAAATGCCAGCCCCTCCCACAGATTTCTTCTTTCTTTGATGGAAAAAACAAGGTCCAATGCAATCCAACAAACAGGAACAAGTTAAACAACAATGGAAATCGAACAACCAGAAGAGAAACACAGGTCACGGGCGCATTTCACTCGAAGAACAGAAAAATCTTGAACATAACCGGGACATAGATTGATACTCAAACTTCAAACAATATTAATGCCATTATCAAAAAATATGCAACTCGGGAAGGCCAATAAATATATATCAATAGCTGGCAAGTAATAACGCCCAATACAATGAAAAGGACATATCCATAAAATGAACAATCTCTAAAGGAAAAAACAAATGAGAGAAAGCAAGAAGGGAAGGTTCCATAAAGGATGAAAGGGAGGGAGGAAAGGCTCGTAATAATCTATAATTTTAAGATAGGACAGAAGGCTTTATATTTTGCGTTTTTAATGCTGAGAAAGTAAAGAAAACGCAGGGTGAGAAATAGAGAGAAAATAAACAGCCAGAAAGGTCGACTCTTAAGACCAACCACCCTAACGTAGACTATCATAGAGACTAACTCCTAATGCCGCAGCACCCGATTCCGATGCGACCCCAAACAAGGGAAAACATACGTCAATGAAAATAGCCAACGGATCCAATGTGCCAAAGTAGACGCTAAGACAGGAGTAAATGGAAGCACATAGGATATCAAAGGTTGGCTAATAGAAAGAGACTGTATAGGCGTAGTCATGTCCAGATAGTGAGACAAATAAGCTACAACTCAAAGTTTAGGCTAGTAAAGAAAGAAAAGAGATATGTTGGACTTAGTATGACAAGACACCGTTCAGTTGATTCCAGCACGTGAAAAAACAAAGGCATCAACTTCCAAAGCCCAAGATCCGGGACCGAAAAAGTTGAGACAAAATTTTTAAAATCAAACTGACCGGAGTCCCAAAGGAGGTTCTGAGAGAGTTGTGATAAGCCCTCAATGTTCAAAGAGCCCTTGAAATCTGTCAAGCCAGCAAGAGGAGCTGGTCCTGCAGAATGAGAGGATGAGAATAAATATATATATATATATATATATATATGTGCCTATCATATTGAAGCTGTGGATTCTTCAGTGTTGCTTCAATGTATTGGGCTACAAACAGATTGGCTATTTGTCGCCCTGGAATCTCACACCACTATTTCACAATGACAGTGCTGTGTTCTCTGCCCATTAATATTGGCACAATGATAAGAATACAAATTAATCCAAACAATTATTGTCTTTTTTTTTTTTTTTTTGTGTTCAAAAAGTGTATGAGTGTTCCTATGCATGTGCATGTGTGTGCATAAAAATATATAAACATTTTATTGCTATGTGTATGTATGTATATTATATATAAGAACATATATATACTGTGTAATTGTGCACACACCTTGCTATGCGGCCTGTTTACAGCCATATTGCTATGGAGATATCCTTTGGATGAGGTGCTAATGAATTGGCTTATAAGAGTATGTAACTAGAGATGAAATCCATATTGTTCCTAGTAAGGAATTCATTGTGAAGTAGAGTGATCAATTTGTACTGCAGCACAGAGCACAAGGGATGAGCCTTGAGCCCTTGGCTGTACACTGCTCATCATCCATCCTCCCGCTACTGCTCTAAATGATGCCTCTGGGATTAGGGCAATTGTAGAGGATCTGCTCCGCCTCATTTGGTTACTAATTGGTTTCTTGTTTTAGAAATCGAAATCTCATTTTCAGGAAATTACAAATACCAGGAAGCTAGTCTATTGAGGTAATCCAGGGGTCAAGGTGTGTTAAGATGGAAATAGATTTCTCAAATGCTAGCATTGTATAGGAACTGGGAGACTGCTGCTCCATTTACTCCAAATGAAACTTACATGTGTCTGATTGGACTGTGTGTGTGTGTGTGTGTGTGTATGTGTGTGTGCATCGGTGTGAATGTAATACATAACAGACAGTGAAAATAATGTGATCAAGCAGTTTTGGAGATATAAGAAACTGAAAGTTGAATGATTATCAATCAATCAGAACATGCAGACAGCAATATTTTCTCCTATTATATTACATGATATTTTCAGGTTACTGAGCGTGTTAAGACATATTATTGTTAATGATTAGTGTTAGGGTACTCCGCAGGTTAATGTTTGTTTTTCTTGTAGTGCAGCAATTAATGTTTAATGTAGGGGTTACTGTTTAGTGATAGTATTAATGTAGAGGTTACTATATAGTATAGCGTTTTAGGATAATGTAGGAGTTAATATGTACTGTTGTGTAGTGTGTTAGGGTAATACATGGGTTAATGTGTAGAATAGTGTGTTAGGGTAATGTAGGAGTTCATTTGTATTGCAGTGAGTTTTAGGGTAATGTAGTGGTTAATATGTAGTATAGTGTGTTCAGGGCCGGCCTTAGGTGTTCAGGCGCCATGTGCGAGCCAATCTTGTGGCACCCCCCCGACATCTTTGTTTGACCCCCTCTAGACAATTTCAGGCACATTCACGATCTGTCGCCTGCACCCCCTTCAACAAAACCCTGCCCCCTTCATCAGTACCCTGCACCCCTTTATCACCAGTCCCCTGCCCCTTCATCAGTACCCTGCCCCCCTTAATCACAGCCCCCTGCCCCCCTGATCACTATCCCCCCCCCTTTATTACTAGCCCCCTCTTCACCAGCCCCCACCCCCTTATCACTAGCCCCTGCCCCTTAACACTAGCCCCCTGCCCACTTCCAATAAAATGCAATCGTTATATAAAAAAAAAAAAAAAAGCAATAAGGACAAACAATTACATTAAAGGCTGCTGCTCCCTGTATTCAGTTGTCAGTTTTTCCCACTCCGCTGACTCGCAGACTGAAGAGCACCTGCTGCCCTGACACCCACTGAGCGGATCCTTCTGACTTCGCACCCCCACGCTCCTCCTCCACGCTCCTCCTCCACGCTCCTCTTGCATTCCAATTCGGGCCGGTTTGTGAGTGACCAACTGTGAGCTGTGTCGGCCACCTAGCACCCCTGTTGCCATGGCGCCCTGTGCGGCCGCACAGCTCACACACCCCAAAGACCGGCCCTGGTTACAGTCACACAAAAAGGCATACAGTCAGGCACAGTTACACAGGCAGACGGTCACACACAGAGTACAGTCTCACGCACACACACACACAGGCAGACAGTCAGACACTGTTACAGACTGTCACACAAAGAGTACAGTCTCATACACAGGCAGACAGTCATACACACAGTACAGTCCCACACACACACACACACACACACACACACACGAAGACACTGTTACAGACAGTCACATACAGAATACAGTCTCTCACACACACAGGCAGACAGTCACACACACATAGTACAGTCTCTCACTCACACACACACACACACACGTGCACACATGCAGACAGTCAGTCACTGTTACAGTCACACACACACACACACACACACACACACAGGCGAAGACGGTCAGACCTTGCTGTGCAGTACACACAGAGTACAGTCTCTCTCGCACACACACACACACACACACACACAGGCAGACGAAGTCACACACACACACACACACACACACACACACAAGCAGACAGTCACACACAGAGTACAGTCTCACACACACACAAGCAGACAGTCACACACACACAGTACAGTCTCACACACGAAGACACTGTTACAGACAGTCACATACAGAGTACAGTCTCTCACACACACAGGCAGACAGTCACACACACAGAGTACAGTCTCTCACTCACACACACACACACACACACACACACGTGCACACACACACGCAGACAGTCAGTCACTGTTACAGTCACACACACACAGGCAGACAAATGTGACACTGTTTCACAGTCACACACAGAGTACAGTCCTCCCCACACACACACACACACACACACACACAGGCAGACAGCTCCACACACAGAGTACAGTCCCCACACACACACACACACACACACACACACACAAGCAGACAGTCACACACAGAAATTACAGTCTCTCTCACACACACACACACACACACACACACACACACACACACACACACACAAGCAGACAGTCACACAAAGAGTACAGTCTCACACACACACACACACAAAAGCAGACAGCCACACACAGAGTACAGTCTCTCTCTCACACACACACACACACAAGCAGACAGTCACACACAGAGTACAGTCTCACACACACACAAGCAGACAGTCACACACAGAGTACAGTCACACACACACAGACAGTCAGACGCTGTTACAGTCACACACAGAGTACAGTCTCACACAAACACAGGCAGACAGTCTCTCTCTCAATCACACACAGTACAGTCACAATTACCTATTTCCCTTATGGCTGGAAGGGAGGAGTGGAAGCAGGGATTCTTTTCTGTGCAGTACAGCTTCAGTGCCTTTTAGCCCCGCCTCCTCCATGCGGTAAGCTCCGCCCCATAATTCAGCAAGCCCCGCCCCTTTTCATAGTTGCCAGTGGAAAATAATGAATCTTCCCCCGGTGACTTCGTTTAGCTCCCCCTGCACTCACTCGGCCATGTGCGAGCTGTGTCGGCCACATGGCACCCCCTGCTGCATGGCGCCCTGAGTGTGGCCCTGAGTGTGTTAGAGTAATGTAGAGGCTAATGTATAGTGTGTTTAGGTTTGTGTAAGGGTTAATTTGTAGAAAAGCATGTAAGGGCTGTGCAAGACTTAATTTGTAGAACAGTGTTTTAAGTTAATGTAAGGGTTAAGGCAAGAGCTGCTATGGTACATATCTATCTATCTTTTATGTAGGTATACATATATATATATATATATATATATATTTTAAAAAATATATATTTTTAAAATTTGTCAAAGAGAATTGGAAGCCTCACTGCCGCTCTGCTTTTGTACACCATGGCTGGGAAAATTCTTTGCCACTAGGTTAGTTATTCTTTCCCTCAATTAGCTACTAGCTTCTGTTTGGAGCCCATTATTACCCTAGCCTCTCCAAATTACAAGGGAATCTTTAGATCTCATTTCCACTGTAATCCCGATGAAAAGGGTAGTGATTTTCCATTTATTTTAAATAGACGTAATCAAAGGATTTACACAATTTGCTGCGGTAGGTCAAGTGCAACAAAAAAAAAATAAAAAAATCAGTATAAAACAGTATAAAAGGAAAAAAGTTAAGAATATGCAGACTTTTGCAGAGAAAGAGAGAGAGTTTTATGTACGGATACAGATGTGCACTTAACCCTTTCACTGACAGATGTGGTAATGACAGAAGGGGTTAAACACTGTACCCAAAATTTAAATAATTAGTTTTAACTATTAATTGCCTAATTGCAGACCATCTCAGCATGAAGAATTGATTAGGGACAAAGCAGATCTTTTGTTAAAGTGTAATGTGAGAAGGTTATTTATTAACTGTAAACTGTAAGTTTATTTCCTGTCTTAATGATCAGAGTTAATTAAGTTCTCACCTAGGATTAATAAACAACTACCCTCCCCGCACATTATATTCAGTGTTATCTTTGGAACAGAAAATAATTCTGTTTGTATGTTTTTTTTTTTGTTTTTTTGTTTTTTAACAGTTACAGTGCTAGCCTTGTAATGGATAATACTTATCACATTGTGTAATGCAGTCTAGTGATTTAGTTCAATCTATCATCATTTATATGTGCAGATTATAAACCCTTTCATATTATTTATTTGTATGTATATATATATATATATATATATATATCTCGATATAGATATAAACATTTTAAACACAAACTTTAGTTTTTCTTGGGAAAATTGATTGTACAAATTTGTTAAGGACATCAGTATAGGTGGTCCAATTAAAAATCCCAATATCCACACAGAAACAAAACGTGAAAAATGTGAAAATCTGGAACTGTAGATGAACTATGGATAATAAAGACTGGGAGATAAAGCTTGCAATGGTATGGGCCAGATGGCAGTGTGAAAAGAAGTGTGTTTGGATAGTGGAAAGTGGGAATCTGTGCAGGCTAAAACCCTGTGTGAGTCTGGTCAGAGGAGGTCACCGGGATAGAGAGGAGGAGGGGGTGAGCACCCAGAATGCTCTGCAATGTATTCTTGTGCTAGTCTTGTACTGATCTGTATATTAAAGCATAATGTAGCAGGCCAGCGAAGCAATAGCCTTGTGTTTATGGAGTCAATGTGATATTGGTAGTTGTATTAGCACCAATGAGCATATTCCTAGTCACTGTGATCTGCAGACTAATCCTAGTTCAAACTATGCACTTATCTAAAAGCAGAGAAATACAATGGAATCAAAGTGTCCAAAGCGTAAGCATGGGATTTAATCCCCTGAGTATGTATATCAAAAGATTTAGAGGTGCCTGGAATGCACTGAAAGGGTTAAAAGAATGGTCAAAGCTCTATTCCCATAACCACTGTTGGCTACTGTACAAACCCCGTTAACTGTTTCAGGAACATAGTAGGCGAGTAACTATAGTGTGAAAATGATACAAAATCTTACTTATTACTGACCAATGGCAATATTATAAATTGTCTGCTGGGTGAATATTAAGTCAAGGATATCTATAATGTTAATTGTTTAACCCTATAATCTCCAGATTGGTACTCAACAGGTTCGATTCTACAAAATTTATTTATTTTCAGACTCAAGATATTGGGGGAGGTTCTCCATAGAAAAGTGTTGAAAACATTTTGCCCAACTGTAACCTTTTCATTATCAAAGTAAAACACTGCTATCATAATAGTACACACATAAAATAAACTTTTCTTATGTAAGTACAATTAGATATCAATACATTAAACACATAGACTTGTCCACAGCAAAAAAATTTGGTTTGGCTGAAAAATAATTTTTCAGGTGAATCAAGTGTTGTTCATGCAGGGTTTCGAATCGAACAAATTTTGTATATGCGATGGTTTCAGGAATAATTATTCAGACAAGCCAAAATGGCACGAATGTGCACATACCAGTTACATAGTTACATAGCTGAAAAGAGACTTGCGTCCATCAAGTTCAGCCTTCCTCACATTTGTTTTTTGCTGTCAATCCAAAAGAAGGCAATTTGAAACACTTCCAATTTTGCAACAAACTAACAAAAAAATTCCTTCTTGACCCCAGAATGGCAGTCAGATTTATCCTTGGATCAAGCAGCTATTACCCTACATTGAAAAAGTATATCCTTGAATATTCTGTTTTTGCAAGTATGCATCTAGTTGCTGTTTGAACATCTGTATGGGATCTGATAAAACCACTTCTTCAGGTAGAGAATTCCACATCCTTATTGTACAGTAAAAAAACCTTGCCTTTGCCTTAGATCTTCTTTCTTCCAGTCTAAACGCATGACCTCATGTCCTATGTAAAGTCCGGTTTGTGAATAGATTTCCACACAATGGTTTGTATTGGCCCCGAATATATTTGCAGTGTACTGCAAAATATCTACATAATATAAATATTATATTTTGTGGTACACTGATGGGTGCATTCTTGTAGCATTTGGTTCACAGATTACGTGAACAGAAGAAACCGACAGATGGGAAAGAAAAGAGATGCAGAAAAAATGTATACATATTTATTCATATATTATATATTTACATTTATGATAGATATAGATTTTTTTTTTTACTACTCCTTCCTTTTTTTACCCCTCTGTCCGAGAATAAAATCAACATTTAGTGACTGCCCCTTAATCATCATTAATCTTTAATCATTAATCGCTGAGGATGAAACTCACAAAAACAAACGGTTTGAATCACAAAACAAACAAAATGTCTTCTTTATTCTTTGTTTCGTTAATTTCCTTATTTGGTTTTATAGCAAGTTGAAGTTACGCAATTTGGACAACTTGCTGAATGCCCAAAATTTGGTTGAATCGTGATTTGTTTGAAACCAAATGCACAAGTCCAATATACACTTTTCTTGCTATTGATAATTGCATTTATCATAATTTACTGAGTTGAATACCGTTAGGTGTTCTAGGATCAGGAGAAAAACATTAAAAAACATACTACTTTTAACCTTCATGAGCCATCCCTTAATACACATCGGGATCTATTCACTAAACAAGTTATGCTAATATGAGAACCTAATGGCAAAATTTAGACTAAAATATCAGAATTAGAAAACATTCCTATTTCAGCTTTGTTAGGGATTTTTTTCTGGTTGGGCTTTCTTAGTCAACATTTACAACCCTGTTAGTTCAGTGTAACTCCCTATATGTCTCTCTCTCCCTGCAATTACATATTATTATTGTAATATGTAAAGTGCCAAGCATTTTACAATATTATAAAGGGGAACATTTAACAATAAATGAGACAATTACAAATTGTTACTGGAACAATAGGTTGATGACCCTGACCAAAACAGAAATCTGGAGTACATAAAGGGTCTATTACCTAAACAGTGATAATGATTAGGCCTAAATTATGCAAATATCATATAATCACAATTCACATACAGGTTTATTTACCAAAGTAAGTTTATTTAATAGCCAAGTTGGAAAAATCTGAGTTGGAGAATTTTTGCAGTTAAAGGGACACTATAGTCACCAAACAACTGTAGCTTAGTGAAGCAGTTTTGGTGTATAGATCATGCCCCTACAGTCTCACTGCTCAATTCTCAATACCTGCATGAAAATAAAATGGTTTCACATTCAATCAGTTAACTTGACTTTAAAGTTTTTATCTCCTGCTCTGTAAATTGAACTTTAATTACATGGAGGAGGCTTCTGCAGGGTTTAGCAAGCTATGGACAGAACAGGAAATAAGAAAAGCTCAATTAAACAGAATTTGCGATAAACATTAGATGACTCTTTACCGGAAGTGTATAGGAAGGCTGTGTAAGTCACATGCAGGGAGGTGTAACCTGGACAAAATAAACAAAGTGATTTAACTCATAAATGGAAGTGAATCGAGCAGTGAGACTGCAGTGGCATGATCTATACACCAAAATGGCTTCATTAAGCTAAAGTTGTTTTGGTGACTATAATGTCCCTTTAAGCTATTCTGATCACAAATAGCTATTCTATGGATGTCTTCTTTCAAAAGTTTTCAGTTCTTTATAGAACCCTAATATTGTTTAATTACTAACCATTCCACAGTGTTGGAATTGTAGTGAATACCAACAGGGTTATTTACTAAACTCTGAATTTTAGTGAATCAAATTCGAATTGCAAAGTTTGGTTAAAAATAGGTGCTCTGAATTGTTGACACTACTCACCTGTTGCTATGTATACCGTCATTATAATAACATTGTTGATACCTGTTGGAATTGTCACGCATATACATGTCGCAATGGAAAAAATAAAAAATAAAAAAAATAGGTGCTCTGAAAAAATATCTATAACTGACTTGTAGCTATAACTTGACTATTTCAAGCTTAAATTTTACAGTTTCGGACTTTATTCTCTAAAGTTCAAAGTTTAGGGAATAATCGTTTAAGTGAATTCACTTTGAATTTCATATTTTTTTGGCTACAATGCATGAATTGAAAATATTCCCCAAGTCAGCTTTGTTTTCAGTACAGCTAGTTTGGAAATGACTTTATTTTTAGTACAGCTACTTTTTCAAATTCGAAATTCACTTTGAATTCCCAACAATTAACACTTTTAGTATATAATCCTACCAAGTGCCCTTCTGTATTCATTCAGCTGTCTTTTGACAAATCCTGATCTTTTGAAAATGCAATAAGTAATGCGACAGACGATGCTTTGGTCTGGGAGCTGGTCCCCAGTCTTCTCATCACTCTTTATTTCTGTTTATTTAAACAGGTCTAGGAGAGGCTTGGGGTCATACAACACGTCCCAGCTCCTTGGATAATGTTGGTAGAGAGCTTGGATCACATCTTCTACAGGTAATACATTTTGTTAAAAAAGACAACTTCCTATTAATGATTCAAAAATGCAGACCTTTCAGTGAACCTTTAATTACCCACCTGTAAAACTGGTAATCTTTACAGTTTTCAAGAACACCACACAGGCTTTGGGAAAAAAAAGCACACTTGCCATTTATTGCCTTCAAACAGTCCAGTGTCACTCGGTAAATTGCTAATTTCTATGAGATCTGTGTATGAAGCACCTTTGCAAGGAATGTGTGTAAACATCAATGTGTAAAACGTCTTTCTTTCACCTTTTGTCTGTTTTTCTCATACTGCCTGCGCGTATGAGAACATATTTTTGGGAGATATTTATATCTGATTACAAATGCAAAGGGGTTTATACAGTAAACTGAGAGTTGAAAAAATGGAAGAGCAATTTGCAATATACAGACCGAGCTAGAACAGTTGAAAAATACATTTGACATAACACATCTTTAAATTGGAGAGTTTTTCTGGTTCTGCTATTTTGTCTTAAGTTTTTCAAGTCAGCGATCAGCTGCTGAGATCTCACTATTTCAATGATTATTAGTTTTATTTATACTTATGTTATAACCATCAACACAATGACTGTCTATCTTTCATATATCTTTCTTTCTTTCTCTCTCTCTCTCTTCTTTCCTTTCCTTTTGTCTTTCTTTCCTTTTCTTTCCTTTCCTTTCCTTTCCTCTTTCCTTTCCTTTTCTCCATTTTCCTCCCGTTTTCCTTTCCTTTTCTCTTTTTTCTTTTCTTTTCTCTCATTCTTCCTGTCTCTCTGTAACTGTGCCTGTTTCTCTTTGTTTCTGTATCTGTATCTTCCTGTCTTTTTTCTTTTCTTTTTCTGTCTGTCTGTCTTTCTTTTTCTATTTCTCGTTCTTTCTGCCTGTCCATTTGTCTTTCTACCTGCTACTGTTTTCTTTTATTTTGACAATGTTGATATGAAGCCTGAATTCCATAATATAAAATAGGCACTTAGAGCGCAAAGTTTTATATATTTTAAATAATCATTTTCATCATAGCGCTACCTGAGTAAATCCAGCTTTCAATTTCCTTAGACTCTCCCCATCTGAGTAGTAAAATATAAGGGATGATTTTGATAAAGAATTATTTTTTTTGCCCTATGTTTAGGCAAATAGAAATGTAGTCCCCTGTTGTTACTTGTCTGAACTGTTTATCAGCCATCACTGAAATAAGAGACAGACTGCTCTGTAAAGTCGATTTCTGCGTTGTGCGAGCTTAACACCACTTTCCCTGCTGGGAGAGACATATCACATCACAGTATTTATAGGTGATAAGCTGTGTTTTGTTGAACAATGAAAGATTAAATACTTTCCCTATACAGCACTCCCTGCTTAAGATCATGCTTGATTCAACAATGAGATGTTTAAAGTTGAGGTGAAGGGACATCTGGCCACCCAAGTGATTTCAAAATGTAAATCTTATTTAAATTGCTTCACTATGGGTATACAGATAAATATTAGCTGATTTAAAGCTTAGTGTACTTATTCTACTTTTTCTACTCAGACCTTGGATGGTTTCATCTTTGTGGTGGCCCCTGATGGGAAAATCATGTATATCTCAGAAACCGCTTCAGTTCATCTTGGCTTATCACAGGTAGGCTTGTCTGATTGTTTGTGCATGTACAATTACTCACCCAAGGAGGTGTGAATAACAAAATGCATGGAGGTTTGATAATTATTAGCAGACTGGATAACAGAGAGACAGAGCTCTCCACCTGCAAGGTGTCCACATATATTCATTACGTCTTCCGTTATGTACTACGTGACCCATTCTTCTTTATCTAAATGTAAATATGTCCAGATAACCTGTAAGGTTCATAATGATTTAAGAAATTGTTTTGTTTGTTCTCTGTGAGCTGTCCATAGCCCACCCAGTTATTCTTTATCTATCATATATTATTCCTTATGAGTTCCGAATGTTTTAATGTTTTCTATAGTGATGTGCAATGCGTAAAACAAAAACAATATGTTGTGACAAACAAATTGTTATTGAAAAATTGATGATTGTCTTGTTCAAACAATTATGCTAACCTTTGTAATTCACCCAGAATAGGTTCACTATATACAAAATGTTAAAAAATATATAATGGTACAATAGTTAATATATCTTTTATATTAAATATATGTTTGGAATATTGAGGATTATATACAAGGTGAATTTTGATATGTCACTATTATTTTATTATGCCCTATAGATAAAATACCAATTGTTATTGTAATATTTCTATTTTATTTTTATTTTTATCACAGGTAGAGCTGACCGGTAATAGCATATTTGAATATATTCACCCAGCTGACCATGATGAGATGACTGCAGTGTTAACGGCCCACCAGCCTTACCATTCTCATTTTGTTCAGGGTAAAGCAAGCATTTATCTCTTTGTGGAGACTCATTAGGTCATATTTATAATGAGCAATTCTTGTGCATTTATGCTACATTTTTAGCAATAAGCTCCGAGTGGCTTTTTATAAACATCACCCTTTTAGTCTTATAATGCCCTTCAGCATTGATCTGTGGAGCCAGAGATTAAACGCTGCATGGAGCTATACTAATGGAAAATTTCTTTTACAGAATATGAAATTGAACGATCTTTTTTTCTGAGGATGAAATGTGTTCTAGCAAAGAGGAATGCAGGTCTGACGTGTGGTGGGTATAAGGTAAGTTTTACCTTTTGGAAAAGTCTTTAGAAACATCACTGTCTCTATCTATCTATCTATCTATCTATCTTATATATCTTTTCTACATATCTTTCGTATATATATAGATAGCCTACATATTTATCCTATATATCCATTATATATATATATATATATATAGTGCAGACTGTGCAAATAGGCTTCTGAAACAATCCAGCACAAATTAGCCAGGTGCGAGATGTTAGCAGGGACACCATACACTGAGAGGCACAACCAAGCTGCTGGGATTATGTACCAAACTATCTGCACAGAACATGGACTGGACCTGTCCAAGTCCAGATAGGAGATACAACAAAAAGTAGTTGAGAGTGACAGAGCTAAGATCCTGTGGGACTTTCCTATCCAGACAAACAAGCAAGAAGTGGCTACCAATCTGACAATGTGGTTGTACAATGGACAGAAGACCTCAGTGGTGGTGGATGTGGCAATACCCAGTGACTATAACATCAGTAAGAAGGAACATCAGAAGGTGGACAAATACCAAGGACTAAAAGAAGAGCTAGAGAGGATGTGGAAAGTGAAGGCAGTAGTAGTACCAATTGTGATAGGCGCACTCAGGGCTGTGACACCCAAGTTGGGAGAGTGGCTTCAGCAGATTACAGGTAGGACATGTAAGATCACTGTAGAGAAGAGTGCAGTTCTAGGAACAGCTAAGATACTGCGCAGAACCCTTAGACTCCCGTGAGGACCCAAGAATGAGGAAAACACACAAACACACAAAAGAATATGTCACCCAGGTCGGGTGAAAAAATAAATTTCTCTCTCTCTCTCTCTCTCTCTATATATATATATATATATATATATCATAGTTCGTGCATAGATATTCACTATGCATCTGTTTGTTGAGTAGTTCTACAGGTGAAAAATGTTCACAAATGACAATACATAACAAAACCTAATGATTTATAATCTATATTTAGAATTCTGTAATGCTGTCAGAGTGGGTAATACACAATACATTGACTAAGGTGCTGTGGGTAAGCCAGTAGAGTTAGTTATCATTACAATTTGCTCAATGTATGTGAGTTTTTGTTCAATATGTTCTGCAGGTGATACATTGCAGTGGCTATCTGAAAATACGGCAGTACAGTCTGGACATGTCACCTTTTGATGGTTGCTACCAGAATGTGGGCTTAGTGGCTGTTGGTCATTCTTTACCCCCTAGTGCGGTGACGGAAATTAAACTACACAGCAATATGTTCATGTTCAGGGCCAGTCTTGATATGAAACTCATATTTCTCGATTCAAGGTGAGTTTTATAATCTGAATATCATGCAAATGTTATGCAAATATTATACACACTGAATAAGCATCTTGCAAATCCATTGTCACCCATCCCAAGGCCATAATGTCTCTGAATAGAAAGGCAGACAATAATGGAAAGGAGGAGAGATAAGAAGACATTCAGTAGCTATTAAAAATGTCTGAAATGCATGAAAAGTATAATAATTCAAACTGTCCTGACTGTCAGTCGTGGGTGGATTTAATGGCACAACCAGTAGGTAAACCATTGGACAAAAAACAAACAGCTAAACATTCGAATAATTCAGCAATATAATGGTAGACTGGTGCCTTTCACTCATACTCTCCACCAACCTGTGGGTGAAAAAAGGTGTTAAAAATCTAGTAGGCCTCCCTGTTAAAATTATAGTTGGAATTGCCAAAGTATGACAACACTTGTGTTGGATAAAAATCAAATGTCAGGGTCCCTAGGACCCTTATTAGCACAAGAGCCTTTGATATCCTTCCAAATCTGTCAATGTGCGTGCTATGAGTATCAGAGTATGGGTTAATTTTATTCATTCTTTAATTTAAAATTTATGTCCTCAATTTAGTAGAGTGCTGAGGGTGACCTTGGCACTAACAGTTCATAGCCTAATTTCCATTCTAAGGGATACCCATAACCACCAGAATCTAGGCTAATAAACTCTCTAATCAAGTGAGAAATAGAGTGTCCAGAGACCAGAGCCATATCTATGAAGTGCTATGGTAATTCCTAGACGACATGTGAATTATAATTAGATGTTGGGAATGTTTCCCCTTTTCTGTAACTCTTGTGACAACAATTTCTTACATTGATTTGTACCTCACTTCCTTTTTAACATGTGTGATATATAATGCTTTAATAGTGAGAGTTAAGTTGTAACGCAAGCTTCTAATTTCAAAGTGTTTTAATAAACAGTGTGTGTATCCTCACAATGTCTCTTTGCTTTTCCATCAGAGTTGCAGAATTGACTGGCTATGAACCTCAGGATTTGATTGAAAAGACCTTATATCATCACGTCCATGGGTGTGACACTTTTCACTTGCGGTGCGCTCATCACTTGTGTAAGGATTTGACATGTTCACTTAACTTCATTTTTAGACTTGTGAACATTATTTGTGTGATGTTAACTGGTTGAATATTTACAACACATATTAGTCTGTTAATATTGCATGTTAATAGTTATCTATTGTTGGCCATTCTGTGTAGTGATCGAATACAAAAATGTATCATAATGCGTACACTTCTCTGCATACAAGTTGTACAATGACTATAGTACTCAGACATGGATATTTCTGTTTGACATTTGTAAGGAGTGCACTGTACATGGGAATTGCTGCAAATATGCTTCTGGCTGCCCATTAATTGTGTAAGGAGTGTGTGTGTGCGTCTGTGCCGTTGTGTGCGTGTGTGTATGTGTATGCACATTTAAACTAGCTACCAGTGTGCCATGTTGTATTGTCCTATATTATTGATAAATAAATAAAATGTGTCTGGCAGCATGCATCTGTCCCCTACAAGAGCTCATCCACATTTATCCATTTTGAATTTTGAGCAGTTTGGTTTTAAATATATCTGTGTAAAATGCTATACAGTTATTCTGCACTCAATCAACCCATTAACACTCCACATTAATTTCTGGTTGCCCATGTAACTCCATAGTTTTATATATGTGTCAATTAGTTCTGCTGTTAGAAATTTGTAAATTAAAGAGAATTCACAATGTACTGTTTTGTAGAATGCTTGATGCTAATTGTAATTGAATTTTGCAATATTACTATTTAGTAAGCTTCTGAGATATTCAGAGTGATATTTGTTAAACTATGAATAATGGACAAGAAATATCACCTCTATATGTGTTTTGCTAGTTTTCGATGATATGGGCCAAGTCATCACATACCCCTAAATCAGCACCACTAAAATAGCTTTTGGCAGAGCTGGTTAAATTCCGTAAGCCCTAGACATATTATCATATTACACATGTTCTTCATTTGTGGATGGGAGGTGATGGGCTTGATGGTGTGTGTAAGTGAGTCTGATATACCTGTATGGTTATTTTTGGAACAATAGTGAGCAAAGATGTAAACATGTACCAGTCATAAGCAGCATTCTATTTATTGGTGACTACTTCACATTTAGTACTTTGCTTCATAGTTGCTCTTGATAAATTATGATACTATTGGTGTTAGTGATTAAACTTGTCGGTATCTTTGGTTGAGATCAGATTTAATTTCCCTGCGGTTGTTCATACAATGGCGTAATCTATGTTCCATTGGAAACCAATAAAATTTTTATTCGGATTAAATAACTCCCACTCAGTAAGGAACTCCATTAGGTTATTTACTTCCTATGTTATGACTATTTTTAATGTGCCACCATTCATCTGAAAAGTAAAGCTAGCAAGGCTGCCCCCAGACCTTTCAAGACCCCTTGCAAAACTATTGGCGGGGGACTTTTAAGCACCCTATAAGACTCAAATTTGCCCATACACACCTACACTCAAACAGATACACACATATACATAGCACACATGTACGGATACACGTACGGATACACCGAGCCACACACAAATGCACAAGAATATACACACTGCTAAACATGTGCATACTGCCACATACATACACAGACACACATATGCACACATACATAAACAAATGCATAAGGATGTAAACACTGCTACACAGACACAATTCTGATTCACACACACATAAATCAAACTCTGATTTAGTTACCCTTCTCCAAAGTAGTCAAAGTGGAGGTTGGCTAAAACAGAGCTTGTGGTCCAATGTGGACTGCTGGAGTCTTCTTGCCCTCTCTCACAGCTTCCTTCTGAAACCAGGGAATGACGTGATCAGACATCACTTCAACCTAGCTCTACTGCAAAGGAGAGGAATACAGCTCATGAAAGGGCCCATTCCACCTCACATTCAGAATATGGTCTGGCTATGGAAGATGCGTGTATCTCCTCAACTGCACTTCATAGAACTAGTGGGCCCCAGGGCACAGCTGTGCCCTGTAACAGAGTACCAACTGTTACCCACTGATGGCATCCCTGAAGCTAGAGTTAACAAAATTCTGATGTTTTACTGATGACCTCATTTGATCAACAGGCTAAATAATGCATATGTTTGTATTGGCAGTACTGGTGAAAGGACAGGTCACCACAAAATACTATCGCTTTCTGGCCAAGCATGGAGGCTGGGTGTGGGTGCAGAGCTACGCAACTATTGTACACAACAGCAGATCCTCCAGACCCCACTGCATTGTCAGCGTCAATTACGTCCTCACGTGAGTAAGAACAGGCATCATATCTTTTTTTATAGAGCAGACAAATGAATGGCATATGACACTGGGCCTTGTAAACTGGCCTTGGTCATTGCACTGAGAAAAAATACTCATATGTGCTTGTTTGTGGTTCACACGTTAAAACTTAGTGGGATATTTATACAGCACTTAACAAGCAAGACATCTGGTTTTCTTCTCAGCATCAGAATTTGAGTGTCTTAATTTCAACCAGATTGGCCAATAAATCTATATAAAATAAAAGTGATGTGGTATTTTTTTTAATCTCTTACTTATTTATGACAACAGGCTGAAGCAAGGAACTATTGATGTGCACTTATATAGCAGAAATCTGGCTCCTGAGAGAATAGTGGCACGTTGACAGAGAGGCTTTTCCATGGGAATATTTGCAATGCAATGAGATCTCTCTATAAAACAAATACAACTCAACCCTGGACACAGAGCAGAACATAGACCATGCGTATGCTGTAAATTTAAAGGGATACACTTAACATCAAAACCCACTACAGTTTAATGTAGTGGTTTGGTGTGTAGATTGTATTTTTTTCTTGGGTAATGTAAAATATTGGTGTTTCTGATAACTCTTTAATTTTGTCAGAACACTCCTTTATTGGTTATCAGACAGACATCCACTAAAGGCACTTGCTCCTTCACATCTTTGGTTTGGCATCTTCATGCCCAGCACATGGCTAATGTATGTTATAGAGAGGCTCTTAATACATTGCTTTTAACCCCTTAAGGACACAGCTTCAGAAGTTAAAGTCCAGCATGACGGAACATTTCCGTCATGTGTCCTTAAGGGGTTAATAGAGAAACATTGGACCGGTGAATCACAGTGAATGTCAAGCATGCATCATGTGTCTGCAGTGCTTCTGTATGAGAAACGTCTGATTGGACAATAGTCATTAGGATTGATAACTGCACTGTTGGCGGATCGGGCTGCATCAAATTTTAATAGCAATTGTAATTAGTTGTTTAAATTATTTTAAAAAAAATTAAATTCAAAACAAAATGGACAAGAGAGCCTACATTTTACTCCCATAACAAATCTACAAATAATTATATTCATTTAATTGTAACAAACACAAGGAAATACATAAAAAATGCCTCTTCTCCCCATCTGTTTCCTTCAGCCCCTTTCAACCATGTTCTCTATCTACCCCTCTGTCCTTTTCTCCCCCACCCCTTCTCACTCCCTGTATACACAACTCCTTATGTATCTGTCTGCAGGCAATTTCATTGCTGACATTAATCTCTTCTTTGGGAGCTTTGTGGTCGTTCATGCATTCTACTATTTTAGGAAACCCCAGTGAATTAGCTCATTGCTTTGAGAGAGAACCTTCACCCCCTTCCGTCTTGTTCCAAAAATTAAAGCAATTTGCTGGGATTATTCGCAAGCCTTGTTTGTTCACATGACTGTGGAAGGACAAACAATACCACTGTAACACACATGTTTTTACTAAGTGCCCCACTGAGGAATATTTATCTAGATATCAGTTCAGCAAGCCGTGAGCTATGGTAAGAAAACAACCAATTAGCATGACTTCAATTATTGATTTAAAAAAAAAAAAAATCTCTCTCATTCAAGTCATATTTTATTACAATTAATATTATCAACTCAACGTAAATTGATGTTTATCAAATAAACCAACTCTTCTGTTACCATCATTATACTGGTCTATTTTAATGTAAAGCACTGTGATATAAGATGTCGCTATATAAATACTACTAATAATAATGATAATAATAATAATTGTTAACTTATCACAACTCAATAGTTAATGAGTAGACAGTCTGTCTGCCTGTCCGTCCATCTTTTCAATTATTCATCCATCCATCCACATGCAAATATTAGATTACAAATGTAAAACAATGTTTACACACATAAACTGTAGTAATATCTTTTGTTTGTCTATTTTTTTTAAAGTAATTAATTATGATCTTATATGACTGTAAAAATGGTACTGTCTTCAAACATATAATGTTGGATTTTTCATACATCCAGATTTTTTGTTTTTTTTTAAACTGCAACATTTCTTTGTATTGCAAGTCAGACATGTGGCTCTTAGTATCCGAGAGAATGCATAAAATAGCATACACATTTAACATAATCCAGGCATTTGCTGAGTGCATATTAAAGGGAATAGTTCTTAGCTGTGCTAGGCTCATGACATCATCAGTCATCACCTCATTGTGAGAAAACTATGTCGAGCACAAGCAACAGATTAAGCCAAATAGCTAATTTACTCTAGGCATCTGAAATGAATAATACAACCCTCAAGCTGGTTACTCTATGTGCAACACAGGGTTTCAATATCTAGAATGTCATTATTAGCAGCCTTCTAATGGCGATGCTCTTTCAATACCATAGTTCAAAGCTGATTTACAATGAAACAAATGTATATTCAAGACAACCAGCTATTTACATCAGTTTGCCATATGACAGCAGGAGTTATTTGTAGCTTATCTTTATTTTGATTTCAAATTTACTGTATTTTGGCTACAATGTATTTAAACAGACACAAGTAGTGTGTACCTTCCTGTGTGCCTGCAATCTGACTATATTTTCTAGCATCCATACCTAGGCAGTCTGCTCACTTTAACTCACAGTGACATGCACAATTACTTGTGTCAGTGATGTCGTTTCAGATATGTAGAATAAGTAATTGTCCAGGCACTCCAAACTAGCAAAACATAGCAGCTTTATTGGGGCAAAAGCATGAACGTTTCAACCCTACTGAGTCTTTATCAAGACTTTATCAAGCTATTTTGCTTTCGAGGCAGAAGAATCTATAATCTTTTTAGCAGAGAGATTAAAATCAAACAAATCCGATGAAGGAGCATGAGTTATTTTGGCACTTTGAAAACTAGATACACATGTTCCAAATAGTTTAAAAGAGACTCAATGTGTTTTTACAGTAGCATATCTGACAATCCTTAGTTTACTCCAAATAGTCAAAGCATGTCTTATAGTTGCATTCAGGATCATTAACGTGACAATTACTCAACACGTTCTGCCAAATTGAAAACAAATTTTAGAGAATTCTGCTGAGTTGAAATCCTTTGCTTTCAATGGGAATGTAATTTTATAGCCAAATTCAATTGGAAACCAAATGGTTGCTTATATTTAGGATCCTGTTTGCCAAAGGACAGTTGAGCCAATGTCACTGGGACATTATAATATGGAAAAAAATTGCAACTAGCTGCAGTTTCTATTATTTTTGTTATTATTATTTGCAGCTCCAGAATGCAGCCATGGTGTATTCTTCTCATATTGTTTTAAATGTAGTTCACATCAGTGTACATCTCAGTTGGACAATGCTACATCTTGCTAGAACCTTTGAATGGGGAAAGTATAAAAAACATCTCTAGATGAAATATAGTGTAATTGGGGAACAAAGGTCACCAAGTAGAAGATTTAAGTTGGAATATTCACGTGATTGGACTAGCTTGTTCATGGTATGGTGAGAGTCACCAGCTTTTATTGTTACTGACTGAGTAAACTTCCCTATGAATGCTTGTTTGATAGCAAAAAACTTTTTTTTATTTTTTTAAAATTATTTATATAATGCATTCAAATTAGATGGTTATTTGTATCCCATTATTTCCCTTTAAAGTCAAACTCCGTTGGTTATGTATATAGCCCTCATTGTGTCTTCAGATACAGACACTAGTAATAGTCTTTATGATCTGAAGACTTTCTTTAGGGACCTACAGACCACCAGACTTTAAGAATGACTGCTGAATTAGAACGCTAACATATATTAACATAGTTTCCATATGAAAGTATTGTGCTTAGTTATAGCCCAGGCATGTTTTCACTGAAGATGCCACAGGAGACTAGTAATATATACTGCGTTATAGTTTTATACAATATAACATGCATGATATGTCTACAAAAGGAGACAAAATCCTATTTTAAGAAATCCACTTTGGGATTAGACTTGAAGATAAATATTTTCATGGACAAATATTTTCAATTATTTTACATAAAGCTTACGGACAAAACAACCACAAAACACATTAAATGCAGAGAATTAAATCCCACAAATATTTTAAGTTATGAACACTGTACATTTATGTGCTAAGTTGTTGAAATAAACTGCTTAGGGGGTGACCTACAGTGTAAGGGTACTTACTTATGCCCTCACCCCCTCCTGGGGTATGGGCTGCCAAAGGTAGATCTCCAGAGACTTTTGTCCTGGGCAATTTTTAGTTGACTCCAGGTGTAGCCCATCCTTGTGATGTCTGCCTTGAGGTCCCTTCGCCAGGTGTTTCATGGATGACCTCTCTTCCTCTTTCCTTGGGGGTTCCACCTGAGAGTCTGCCTGGTGATGTTGGTTGGCAATTTGTGTAGGGTATGCCCTATCCAGCCCCATCTTCTCTTCCAGATTTCTGCCTCTGCTGAAAATTGTCAGGTCCTTTCCCATAGATTGGTATTACTGATGGTGTCCGGCCAGCGAGTGTGGAGAATCCTTCTTAGACAGCTGTTGATGAATGCCTGGATTATTCTGTTGGTGGTTTGGGTTGTCCTCCAGGTTTCAGCCCGTACAACAGTACTGACTTCACACTGGAGTTGAACAGTCAAATCTTGGTGGTCAAGGTTAGCTCTCTGGAAGCCCAGATGTTCTTGAGCTGGATGAAGACGACAGTGTAAGGGTGGTGTACATAATATATACACCTAGAAACCCTGCACTTACCAGAATTAAAGTGAACCGGTTCTGAGAAAAAATTAACTTAGCTGAGATGACACCCATATGCATTAAACAAACCATATATCACAAAGATACATGATGTATTTAATATAAAATATAGAGATTTGCTCACATCTCCTCCATTACATCGCTGTCATCTTCAAGCTTTGTGGGTGTTACTCTTGATAACATAACTGTGAGCACAATGCATAGATAGAATTTTATGCTCAGTTTTAGAGGATATCTTGTTTGGGGTATGACAAGCCCCCTTTAAAGGAACTTCAAACACCATAATCACGTGTGCGTGTCAGTGTATGTATTTGCACCTTTAATGGGATTACTCAAGGGCATGTGCTTAATGATAACAGACACAGCAAGAACCTGTTAGACAAACAAGTCTACTGGCATCAAAAAAAGCAGCCTAGTCAAGAACCAAAAATGTAAACATTATCCATGATTGAGGACCTATATTTTACCATACGGTGGTCACCTTTTGTGGTCATGACTCTTACAGGAGTAACACAATGTTACATTCTTTTTGGAACTATTCTCGAGAATATGTTATGTCTATATAAAAGTAGACATTAGAAACAGTATAAAGGATTTGCTGCATATACTGGAGAATTTAGTTTTTTTTCTTCCATTTTTATTTTTTGTTTTAGTTTTATAGTCTGAGAGATTTAATCTTTGTGTGCAGTAATAATACTATCATTGTGTAAATATATATTTGGACAAAGCCGTGGGATATTAATTGTAAAGTAGGCCACACAATTGTTAAATTGAATGGGCAGTAACAAGACAGAGGAAAAATGAACAACTGCAGGCAGTTAGGCGATCTGAGATTGTGGAGTCTCTACCGATGCCATACAGCTGCTGACTCCTATATAAAATAATAACTCCAATGCCCTTCTTCAGTAAGAATAAAGATTCCACATGTGCATCCCATGTAAATAATGGCAGCACACAGTGTTTTCTTTCATGGGAATTCAGATTTGAAAGGGCAGTGTTTCTCTTGTATTTCTTTGTTTTGCGAATTTTACTTATTTTAATATAGAACTCGAGTTATGTAGCTTTTCCTCCACCTCTTTATTTGAGATTGTCTTATATATATATATTTAAAAGAAGAAGAAAAATAAATGAAAACACCAAAGTTGTGGGGAAAAACTAAACGAATAGCCAAAATTACGTCTTTCTCTCACCATTAATGACATTGTCTGTCTTGCTGCTATTTTTCTATAAGCATTTGTCAGATAGTATATTAAAGCTATTATAAAGATGCTGTAGAGTTGCTGTAATTTGCAATTATTTAATAACTATTCATTTTAATAATGGTTTTATTATTTTTAGAGATGTGCAAATCTCATAAATCTCGCAATTCAGTATATTTTCCATTTTATTTCTTATTTATGTTACGGATGTCAACACTAGGAAAATTAAATTTTATATTCGCTGGATCCCAATGATTAAATAAATCATGAGTAACATTTTGCGAGATTAATTTTCATGCAGATGGCAACACACATTTTTAGCTCCTTTCAACTAGAAAATCTTTTATTTATTCCAAGATTCTGGAGAGTTGAGATTTCCATTCAGCGATGCTTATAACCAAATGATGATCAGGGCAGCTGGGGACTGATAAAATACTCCCTTTGGGGCTATTAGTCAAACTCTTCCAGCTGCAAAAACGATGCAATACTAAAGGGACACTTTTCAACAGATTCATGAAATAAAAATATTATTCCTTTCAATTAGATTTTTTTAAAAGAACTTTGATAAATCTCGTGTTCAGCCTTACTCTAGCAACAGTCCAGGATTAAGACTATGATAAATGTTTATGGTGTGAATTTCTGGGATATATATTTATTGTGACTGTAATTCAACCTTTATTTAGGGAGTTGCACAGATGTGGTCTGATTTACTGTGCCAAATGGTAAGCAGAAGTGAGCCGTTTTCGCAACCAAAAAAGTAAAGAGGATGTAACTTAACTTTGTACTCCAGAAGCACAGGTGTTGGAACTGGGGTGAAATCATGGGTGGGGGAGGGGATTTCCCCCCCCCAAAAAAAATCTTTTGTAAAATTTAAGATTTTATGTTTCAGTATTTAAGAATTATAAGAAAAACAAAGAGTGCTAAAACAGTTGGTTATCATATTCTACTAATTCTTCTAATATTCTACTAACAGACACCCTAACGCTAATATATCATTTTGTCTGTAGAGAACTGCATCTTTAATGTATGTGCCTTAAAATGGGCTATGATTTCTATGAAAGGCCGATCCTCCCCAGATATTCTTTAGTGCCTACACCGATGTCCAGTCTTATACTGTGATGGTTGTTTGTTTGATTAGAACTTTATACAGTGTTTACTTGTGATATGTTACGTTTTCTGCACGTCTTAGAAAACTTTTGGAGTACACAAACAGAAAATGACTCACAACACCCAAAGCACTGTTGTGTGTAGAAGCATATATCTTTCCATTTTAGATGGCTACTAATACTCAGTTGCACGCTGCACTAGCCCCTTCAAGAGTCTGTCTGTCTGTCTAGCTATTTGTAGACCCAATCTTGATGCTGATCTAATCTAGATATCAGTCCAATTAATTTATTGATCTAATCCATCTAATCTGTTGATCTAATCTATCTATTTACAGTCCATAAATGATAGCTGATAGGCTGTCTCCATTATATGGTCAAAACCAAAGGGAGTTAAACAATACAAGTATAATGGACAGGGCATTGACAAAGTTTTATGGAATTAGCTACAGCCAAGCATGTATAACCATAAGCAACTGCCAAGACAGAACTATAGGTTGTATGGTGTGCTCATTCTGATGAGGAAAGCGGAATAGAGGTTAGTCAAAATATCAACAGTAATCTGAATGATTCTGTAATGTTTCTGGTCTCATAACAACACATCATTATTGCAAGTAGGCTGCTGTTTTTATTGTTGCAGTTATGATTGGCCAGTGCTATTCAAGTTAGTAAGTGGGTACTCCGTACTCGAAAAGCTATGTTGATTCTGATTTAAAAAAAAAAAAAAATTAGTGCAGGGATACCCAAATGCAGCAGTACAAATTATACTACAATGGAGCTGAGCACTTAGAAATACAGATCCATTAAAGCATTGCTGAAATGATGCTTGACCTTTAGAAACCTCAGTTTAGACACAGCTATCTTAATAGGGATTTGGACGTAATTTAAGATTACCTTTAAGTAGTGTTATTTAGCTCTCTTATATCTCCAACATTGCTAATAAATTAAGTAACTCAAGTGAACTAACAATAAACTAAGTGCATTTTCCACATTGCTAAGTAAAATAAGGAAACCAAGACTATAACTGCATTAAAACCATTAAAATATGAATTGGTAGAAGTACTTGCTACCAGTAGCTGAACGAAGGCCCCATCTCAGAAGTTATGTAGTGAAATGTCACCAATAACCATGATGCATGTTTAACATAGGCCTCCATTTAATAAGCTTTCCAAATTATTCAATACTGTTCGAAAAACCTTCCAAGTGATTTATTTACAGAAGTCACAATGAATGTCTATGGGAATTTTTGTAGACAAATCATTTAGACAGTTTTCTAACAATATTGAATAATTTGGAAAACATTTTAAATCAAGGCCAAAGTGTTATAAAGTTTCAAACAATATTGTCAAAAGAGTTCACGTGGGACTAATGTGAGGAAACAGAAAATTGTTAAGAGAGAGCACTTTCTGATCAATCTTCTTCCAGTAATTACATTTAAATGTGTGGTAGTGGAAGAGCTTGAGTGAAAAGTATGATATATATTGAGCCAAGGTTAGTTGAAAAAGGGGAGAAATTAAGATTGGTGGATGGGGTTTTGCAAGACAGAAGGGACGAGAAGCATTAGAGGTGGGTGCTCAAGACATAGTATTGCAATGTGTAGGAATGCTTACAAGTAATGCTAAATAGTGATTAACGGTACAAAGCCAAGTATATAAAGTGAAAAAGTCAAAATATACTTAATGAATGTCTTTCTGCACAAAAATATCAAATGACCACGGAAGTCAAACAGATATACTGTGTCATCCTACAAATAGTTCATTTTGTATTTTATATCCATATTTTAAATTGAATTACAATTGATTACAAAATGTATTGCTATTACTTACATTTATGGCATTAGAGAATTCACAGTACACCAGTTTGGCTTTCTTTCACAGTTACAGTAGGTTTATCAAACTTCATTTGGTTTTTAATAATATTCACTTTGTTTTCTTTTTTCTTAAATCCACCTTTTCTACTTTTTTTTTACCTGACCCGTGTTGCTTCTATTTTTGTTTCGAAATACTGAGTGTTCTATATGATTTTGTTCAGTTATTTGAAAATCTGTAGGGAGTTAAATACGACTGAGAGCATCGATCTTCTCCATCAGAATAAACAGATCAGTGAACTAATCATCTTAATTGATCTGTTGAATGTTAACTTGCAAAAAATGCAAATTAGAGTTGATTATTCTAAGCTTTTATTTGCACATTTGCTAGTTATTGCAAACTATCCAGAAGTAATGAGTTTAGATAAGATCATATCAACTGACAGATGAATACAATCATATCAGTATATCAATTTGGATCATGATATATTTTGGATTTTAGAAATGGAGCATTTATTTTATATGTGACACTTTGGCAAGTAAGGTTAAGGTACACGGTGTAGAGAGAGAGACGTAGACTAATGGGAACTCATGCTTATACTTATCCCCATGCAAGATTTGGCACTAAATAAATAAACTGGGAATAATCTGAGAACAAACCTTCATCAACTATCAAATTAATAGCTACATAATTAAAACATTTTGCACACTCCTGATATTTTCAAGACAGAGGTGAGCAGTAATGAATTGAAATGTACATGCAGACGAATGGAAAACCCAGATGGAGGTTTTGGTAGTACCATTTCTTAACAAGGAGAACAATTATGTAAAAAAAATAAAATATATATATATATATATATATATATATATATATATATATATAATATAATATATCATATATTAATTCTCCACAGTGTGTCACCATTAGCAACATACCTACCTATTTAGTGATCTGTTTCATTGACAGCTTATTATGTAGACTATCATTATCTCTAGACTATCCTAGTCTTAAAATAAGGCCATGGACTAATGAAAGTATTAAGAAAATTGGGCAGACTAGATTGGCCGTCACATTCTATGTTTCAATGTTTCTATGTAGTCATACAGATTCAGTAATGGTAAATAGCATGAAGGGTTACTGAGCTTTCAAAATTCTATATCCAATCATTTCTATATACTCATCATATACTAAATTATAATAATTTCTATCCAGAATAAGGAATTTTTGTTTTTGTTTAAAGAGTAATTCTTGCCAGTTAGAGTGAATTCTTGCCATTTATACAAGCAAAAATCTTACCAGTCATGCACACTGCATTCTGATTGCCCCCCAAAAAAGGGCAGACTAGTTTTAAGTGGCAAGAAAAAAACAACACCAGAGAACAAGCTTGAAAAACTAGAACAAGTGTCAGCAACTAAAGGGAACAAGTTTACTTAACTTAAATAGTATTGTATTTTTAATCTTTATCCTAAAAATAAGACATATAGATTATTTCTGGTTTTAAGATGTTCTAAAGGGACGTACGTTCTGTTTGATTTCAAATATTTATATATGTCAAATTTGCTTTAAATTCACTTTGAATTCCCAGCAATTCAAACTTCGACTAATACCGTTGTGCTCTGGTGCAGAAACACATGTGAAACAGACTACTCTACATCATATCACCATACTCTATATCTGACTTCATATATTTAAATAACTAAGATTCTATAGAAAATATTTGTAAATTCAATATTTTTATTAAAAAGTAAGAACAAAATTATAGACGTGCATACTTTTATTCATCATGCTGTGATTCGTTGTGTGTAGAAGAGCTATTTGCATTTGGCATACCAGAAAATTGTTTTGGGAGTTTAAATAAAAGAGTATAATGCATATTTAGTCAAGCATTACTGTACTAACGTATTAAATAGATTAGAAATAAATGAAAGCAATTAAGGAACCTGTCTAAGAAATGTAATATATCAGAGACATGAATCAATTGTTTGCACAAAACATTACGACTGGCAGTAGATGAGATTTAATCAAGTATGTGTGTTCTACAACATTTGTGTTTAAGAAAAATGATTAACGAACATAGACGAACAGTAATTTCAGTTTTCAGCAATCTATCATGTATAATCTTTCTTTGTTCATGTAAAATGGGCTACCAATACTACACTGCATCGGGGAAGCCTGTAGCATGGAAAATGAGAATAGATTGCAAACATTTCTTTACTTTTTTTGTGTTTTTGCTTTTCTAAATTGAAAAGGAAAACAAAAGAAAAAAAGCCAACATGTAGAAAAAAACAAAAAAAATACAACACAAACTAGAATTTCCATCATGTGTCCTTAAGGAGATAATTTGAAAATTATCACTTAGCTAGTCCCCTTTTTCAACCTTTGTTATCCCTCTGTTAGTCTTCCAGGTAAAAATGTCCTTCGTTTTAACAAACCACTCATTCTGGACTGTTACTATGGAAGATAGGAAAAATCAGGTTAGAAATGCAGTTTGGTCCTTGTCACCACAATGTACTGCCAGAATATGGTTTTCAATCTTATTACATTTTTTTTAAATAATCGCATTGCAATTGACACAAAGACCAATATTCACAGAGTTTTACTAATTCATTATTAGACTAGTCTTGAATATGTTTTTATTATTATTTTTTGGGGGGCTATTGGTTCCCTGTACTAATATGCCCAATCATGGATTTTTAAACATCTTTTATTGACATAAAAGTATATTATAAAGCATAAATACTAACAGCCCTGTGTTGTTTTCACAAACAGGGCTATAGCAATTTATGGTATAATTCCAGGAATTATAGACTACTTGGGACTTATTGTCTAATCCACTCTGCAATTTTGGTTTTACATCTTATTTGGGACACTTTATCAAATACATTTATTAAGAGCCATACACAGTATTATATATAGATATATATTCATTTATCATTTATCTGAAGTCTATACCTATTTTTATTACATTTCATTTTTTTTATCTATTGCTCCTGGATACCCACACTATATGGTATAGTGTACTATATTTTATCTGTATGTTTTATAGGATTTGGTGAATTCCTTTTCTTTCCAGTTTTAGAGCTAACTTATTTATTGATCTTATTTGCCCTGTCTTATTCCCTCTTATCTTTCTGCAATATTCCCTTTCGAGAATATCAGGAATTTGCTTTTTACCTTTAGTCTTGAATATGTGTAGCCCTCTGTGAACTTGGTGTGAGGAGGTACTTTGAAAAGTGTGGGGCTCCATATATCTCTCTGGTGACAGAGTTTCTTGATGGTTTTGGATGAGTTAAAAAGAGATAGTTGCAGGACACTTAATGACACAGCAGCCTTGTACTTCTGCCTGCATCCAACATCAATGATCTACTTTCATTACATTGGAGAACTGTTTACAAACCTTTTTTTTTTTTTTTACATTGAAATTGTTGAACGTAGACCAGAGAAGTTCAAATTTGAATCCAAGAAAGCAGATCTGGCAAACCTGGAGTGTTAGACGGAGAATCCTTCCAATTTAGCTATATTGGCCTACAATTTGCAATTTTCTGACCATTTCCCAATGATTTCATCTTTTGTTACTTTTTTTTTACTAAGCCATCTAATTGTATGGAATTTACCAGTTTTACAGCGAAGTTGAAGAATTTGACTATTTTGGTTGAGAATTTGCAATTTTTAGCTGAATTCCCAAAAGCCCTGTATAAATAGAGGTATTTGCTAAAAGCATTACAAAACAGTACACCAGGAATTAGTACTTAAGTAGCTCAGGAATTTTAATTATTTAATAAAAGTAAATTCACCGGATTAACCCTGCCTGTTATACCTGATAGTTATCTGGGTATATTAAGAGATGCCAAAAAACTGACATCTCTTTCTGTACTCACTTATTTTTTTGGTTGCAATTTATCTTAGGAATGTTAAAGCGTGCAGATTGAAAGCCCACTAAGTATCTTTATAAGGACATTAAAAGAAACCATATATTTTATGTCAATTCATCATATTTTAAAACCAGAAAATCTTCCAGAAACCAAAATATTAGAAAATATATTTTTTTAAATTGTACTTATTTTATTTAGCTCATGAATGATTAATCCGTTTTTACGCCACTGTTTTAAACAGGGATACAGAATACAAAGGATTACAGCTGTCATTGGATCAAGTAACCACAAAACCTTCATTTTCTTATGCAAATTCAAATTCAGCCATAAATGACACCAGAAAGACCAGCAAGTCTCGCATCTCCAGTTCAAAGTCTAAATCTCGGACATCACCATACCCACAGGTAGGTGTCATTGATTTCTTACCTCTCACTGGCAAAGCTGCCAATTTAAATGGTGGACATATCATGTTTAATCCGCAATCTGTCAGAGATGACTGTTAGACATCAGATCATACAATGCTGAAATAATTCAGTGATACAGTATGTTTGTCTACTTGCTGATTTTTTTCTGCAGCATGTAAGGCCAGATGTTCTTACATTTTTTTATTTGTAAATCAAGTGACGTAAGATGTACACTGTAATAGACTGGTTTAGATATGATTTGAAAGTGCAACTGTCACTTCTCTTGAATAAAACATTTCACATTATCCATTTTCTTTTAAAGTTATATGAAAGATCTAGCACATTACACCACAATCAAGGTCAGTGAAGGCACAGCCAGGGCTCGTAATGCAAATGAAGAGGGGAAGTAGAATTTTTTTAAATTTCTCCTTATCTCGTTATGCTATAACTGCCACATACAAAGGACATAACGTATATCAATGATTAATAGGGAAGCACCAATTCCAGGAGAGTGGAGTATATACCTACATTTAATAATATTTTTTACACAGCACAAACATATATTTGTTAAAAATTTAGAATAAGTAAAAATAATATTATATTTAAATACATTAATGTTGGTAATAAATACAAGGTGGTATGTATATATATATTCACAAATAGATAGAAGCTGAGTTTATGTGAGTTAAAGTGTTTTATTATGTTACATTATGTTAGTTATTATTCTCAATAAAATACATTGGTCCAGATTAGATGGATAGTTTGAATGATGAATCAGCGTGAGTTGATTGTTCATATATTTTACAGTTGATTCAGGAACAAACGGCTAAATCTAGATCAATCACCGTGGAAACCAAAGGAATTTGTTGTTGATTTCTCTATTTAAGAGCTGTGCTTAGAATTGGTCATGCACATAATTTATTCTCATTTTGGATTTACAAACATTTAAAAACAAAACAAAAAAACAAACCCTCCATAAAAAATATTTTATTATAATAGCAAATATCAATGATGTTGATTTGCTGTGTATACAATATTTAGCCATAATGCCACTTGTATTTGTATTTTGATGTAGTTTAGTTGATAGGTCCCTTGCAAAATTTAAATAATTTTATGTATTAAACAGTGATAACTGGTCTGTAGGGTTTGTTTTAGTTGAAGATGTACCAAAGAGCAGATCTCTGTATGGATTATGGCTGCTTTGGTGATCACATGGTGGAACAGATGGATAAAATATATTATGTGAATATAATGAGTGAAGAATGTAGTTGTGTCTTTGCAGTTAAATGAAAGGTCATAATCTCCTTTGTACTAAAACTGCTTTCAATGAGCGCTATTAGAAGAAAACTGTCCAATGTGCTTTTTATCTTCATCATAAATAGAGCAAAGAGACATTAACTCTCAGTGCTAGCAAAGCTGATTAGTCGGGGGTCAGTGCAGCATGTATAAAGTGCATGCATTCACTCTGCCGACCTGTGTTCTTCCTGGTTCTGATGAATGAATGCTGTGCTCATTACATTTATCAGGGAACCACTCTGGCAGTTCTGGGATAATTACTTTCTATGTGTTAAAGAAAATGTTTTATATATATATATACATATATATAGTCAATACAATGTTAAACATAAATCTGCACACCAGTCAAGCCATAAGACTTGCTTTTCCCACTTTAGGTGGAAGGGGCTTTCAATCACAATTTTTTCCCCACAATAACTTTTTTGGTTTTTGCTATATATATGTGTGTGTAAAAAACAGATCAAATTTGTATCTTGTAATACTTTTTTTTATTGGATGAAAATAATTTTTTAATGACAAGCTTTCCTCAAAGAAAGGGAGGTTCTCCCGAAAACCGGTCATTTATCTGTTTTTTACATTTACATCAGTGGACTAATACGGCTACAATCTCTACTTGAACACTATATAAATATTTACATACGCACAAACACACACACACACACACACATATATAAAAAAAAGTAACATTTTGGTTCATAGTATATACCTTTATCAAACATTATAACAGTATCTATCCATCATAATTATCCACTTTCGGATCCAATATTAAAATGGAAAATCTAAATTGTTTAAATAAATGAGGGCTCTATAGTACTGCCAATACTAGAGAGACAGAATACTCCATGTTGGCTTGAAGTCTTTGGGGACCAGACTGTGGTTGCAAACATTTGGTATTTGGTCCTTCAAGGGTAAACAATGTGCTGTTACCAGCCAGATTTTGCAAGACATTTTTTTCTTGTTGCAGCTAACATGATGGGGACTATGCGTTTTAAATCTAGTAAGGCAAAAGGAGAGAGTGACCAGGCGTGATTTTAATAGCATAAAACACAAACCCCTTACTAGGCAAGGAAAGAGCATACTAAAATAGAAATCATATTTTATTATGTGTATATTCATATTTTAATGTAAAGAGTGCAGTATATATGCATTTATAATGTTTATTTATTTATTATTTTCTATTTATATAATGCCTGAGGAATGTTCTCTTAAACCGAAGTACTGTTTCTACCTCACCTTTTTGTTTTAAGAAAAATAAATGAATCAAAGAGTATTTCTTTGTCTTCAGGGACTCCAGAGATACAACTGTGTGAATCTCTCTCTATCTTTTTCTCTTCTTCTCTCATACCGATAGGAGAATGAAAATTAAAATGTGGAATATGGGTATTATTATTAGTATTATTTGCCAGCTGGATGGGTTCTGGGTCTTTGAGGTTTAATAGTTGCTTGTGCCAGAGGGCCTGGGTACCCTAATGGCAAATAGGTGTTTTATAGTTTTGTGGATTTGGACTACTTGACCCATTCTTTAACTGCCTCATCACCCAGCTTAGAGGAAGGAGTTAAGAGTATAGGGGAGGGTTTTTGGGGTACTATTAACCCCTTGCTCCCTGCATACCCTGCAGCTCATGCATATCGGAAGAGGGCAGAGTGTGCATGAGTTTTCTTCAGCTTAATATTATTAATTGCTCAACTTTGCACATAAATTGCCTTCCCAATATGGATTTTAACTCTTCCCCTTTGTCAAAGGGGTTAAGAAAAGGCACAGGTCATTACCAGTTTTCCTTTGTTTGTAATGGTCTAATGGGATCTATGTTCTTTTCATTAGTTTCCCTCCACCTGTGTGGAAGAATGACATTAGGCCAGAAGACTATCATCATTGGTGTCCCTTTCCAATTTTGCAGCTGTTTCTGTTGATACTTTTTTAAATTCATTTTTTTTAATAAAAGGTATTTTATCTCTCGCCAGCGTAAATTTTGTAATAGAGTTCAATGAAAGGGCCAAATATAAAGCATTATGTTTGAAAGTTTATTTGAGGGCACACTGTTATTCCACATTTTCCAGATAGCTTTGTTTCACTAATATGCATTGTAAATGTTTTATTGGTATGTATATGTCAGCCAACTAAGAACATACTATGAAAAGTGTAATATGAGTCGCTTTAGATGAGCAGAACTTCACAGAAACCTGCTCAATGTGAGCTGTCTTCACAATGTCCCACAATGCCATGCTTCACTACTATTTCAACCCACATTATCTCTTTTTAAACCTACGGGTCACCTTGTTTAACACATTTTTTAAATAAAGTTTTACATAACTGAATCATAATCCAGTTAATGCTCTCTATCATTTTGTACTTGTATGCCAAATTATGTACATATTACTCTTCGTAATCTTTACTAATTAAAAATTACTATATAACAAAAAAGAGGGTCTCTTATTCAGGAAGTAAGCTTATTAAGAGCAGACGGAAGCACTCATAAAAGCTATTTATAGTCTATTCGTAGTCTGGACTACACACACACAGAACATTCAGATCTTCCAGTTTGCAGAGGATCTCCTTACTGCTATGTGACTGCTAGTTCTTGCTTACCACTTGCTAATGCTGGGTCCATTCATTGTTGCACCATAGTTTATTTTAGGAACAATTAAGGCACCATTATAGATGTTCTATGTATATTATTGATTTAATATTAATATTCTTAATATTCTTTTCCAATCCATCTTATCGTTTTCTTTTTCACTTTGTGAAAGCACAGATGTAAGGGACATATTTATTTATTACCACATTGTCTGTAAATCTTTATATCAAACGAGATCGATGTGTATATATAGCTATGCAAACGGCATTCAAGAAGCTCTGAAGAAATCCACGTACAATATGCTGCACCGCAGCTTGCACAAGTAGCTTAATTCATGGGTTTCATGAATGCAGGTCTGCTGTACCAAGTTTGAATAAAAGCGAACTGTGCCTCCCTTCTACTGCATCTCTGAAAGCTGCATAAACATGTTTTAATCTTGAAAATAATTCTGCATAATAGGAATTGCAGTAGAGAAATTTTCAAGAAGACAATGAGAAAACGATAAAATAGAAATATATCTCGTAGTCATACGGAAAGGTTTGTCTCTTTGTTGGGAGCAGTGGGGTCTCTAGGATTCATTTTTAGGGGGGGAGAGGGCACATGGTGGGACAAAAGTAGGGGGGCTGTTATAAAACATGTATGTATGTATGTGTGTATACACACTCTCCCTTAATCTCCTTACAAACTGCAGTCTCAGCCACGTAGGTAATGTGTCACACCTTAGATGTAGCCACACCGTCCGTATTACTGTTACATGTATCTAATACCAAAATGTGTTTATTGAACATCACTTTTTCATTACCTGTACTGTACTCTCTTTTTTACCCCATGGAATGAAGAATCCATGTATTTTTGCCCCCTTTCTGCCCCCCCCCCCTCCTAGCATCCATGTCTCGGTTCCACACCCTTTCATGTCTTTTCTCCCCCCCTTCTTCCATGTCGTGGATGTCATTTGTATTGTATGCAGTGTGTGTATTGAATACTTTGTGTGTGTGTGTGTGTGTGTGTGTAGTCTATGCAGTGTCTGTGTTTGTGTAGTGTAACTAGTGTTTGTGTGGTGGATGCAGTATGTCTAGTGGATGCAGTGTCTGTGTAGTGGATGTTCATGTAGTAGTGTCTGTGTAGTGCATGTTGTGTTGGATAAGTGCTGGGGGGTGAGCTATTTAAATTAAATTGGGCTTAACACACCTCCCTGCTTCTCCCTGGGCTGGAAAGGGAGAGACAGTGTGTATGAAGGTGATAGCACAGGGGGGGAGTGTGTAGGAAGGTGACAGTATAGCAGGGTAGTATGTAGGAAGGTGACAGTATGGGGTGCAGTGTGTAGAAAGTTGACAGTGTGGGGCAGTGTATTGGAAGGTGAAAGTGTGGGGGTCAGGGATAACAGTGTGGATGGGCAGACTAACAGACAACATGCCCTCACTGATACACACTCACTGACTATAATTGTATCACACACTGTTTAATTAACACACATTCTCTGACAGACACACACTGGCACGAACACACTCTCAGAGAAACATGCACTCACTGACATACACACACTCACTAACACACACACACACATTCACTGACAAACTCACTGACAGACACAGACCTACTGGCAGATACACACTGACAGTCACACACACACACAACCACACACACAGACTCTCACTGATTTGACATACACACATTCACTAACAGACACAGATACACTCACTGACACACACACACAAATTCACTGACAGGCACACAAACACTCAATGACAAACACAGACTCTCACTGATGTGACAGACACTCAGACAGACACATACAAATTCACTCTCACACACACTCACAATTATTAATTTTATTTTAATTTGTCCACTCAGCCTCCCTACCTTTAGGAGAAAAGGAGTGGAGCAGTACCCGGGGTTCAGACTGGCTGCTGTGAGGTGGGCGGCTGTGAGCACATCAGAGGTGGAGAGGGAGCTGTAATCCTCCTGTTCTGCTCCCTCGCGGGATGTCTACCAATGAAGGGAGCCAGAATATAACAACATATTCTGACTAAATGGCTTGCGAGGGAGCAGAGTAGGAGGATTACAGCTCGATCGCCGCCTCTGATGTGCTCACAGCCCCCCTCCTTGGGGGTCCATAAACTGCTTTCTCCAAAACAGGAGGAAGCACTGGGGATGTCCATGTGGGTACTTTGGGATAGATAGAGCCTTTAGACACCCTGTGCGAAGAATCACACACACAGGCTTACAGTCACACACAGGCAGAGTGTGATGCACACACAGTTACAGTGACACAGAGGCACACACACACAGCCACACACACAGTTAAAGTCACACAGAAGCAGACAGTCACACACACAATTACAGTCACACAGAGGCAGGTGGTCACACACACACACAGCCACACACACACAGTTACAGTCACACAGAGGCAGACAGTCACACACAGTTACAGTCACACATAGGCACACACACACACATAGTTACAGTCACACACACAGAGGCAGACACCGTAACACACACACACACACACACGCACAGTTATCTCTGTCCATAATGGCCTGCATGGAGGCAGTACTGGATGTTGGGAAAGTAGGGACTCCTTCCTGCTTCCACCTTGCTGTGCAGCAGTTACCCCAACCGATGTCTTCTGGGCACCTTTAGACCCACCCTTCTGTTATTTGGCCTGTCCCCGTCTCACAGTAAGCCCTGCCACAATTTTTTTTTTTTTTTATATTCCTGAGTGGATGATTCATTTTTCTCCACCAGGGATTATTACAAAAACAAACACATTGCCCTTGTTACAGTGCCTACATTTGGGGGGGGGGGGGCACGGCATGATGTAGGGGGGCCATGGCCCCCTCTGGAACCACCTAGTGATGCCACTGCAGCCTGGAGGCTAAAGCTGGTGCATATATAGTTTTACTTTGAATTTTATGTTAAGGAGAAGATTTTACAAACTTATTGGTGTTGGGGTAGGACATGGCAAGAACAAAAGAAGATGATGAGACATGATTAAGACTGATCAGCCTAATGGAAGCTGATTAGTTTGGTTTAAGAATTACCTATTAAAGCAATAACAGTGTTAATTTATCATATTATAGATTTAATGTTTATGTGGGTGTGTATCCATGTCATTATGAATGAGTTTTAAAAATGCCATATTGTTGCTAGGGTTTTTAACTTGCAGTTCTCCGAGTGACCAAAGCTCTGAGAGCTGTTGTTTAATAGTAGCTAGTTAGCTAATAAATTATCTTGGATGGAAAATGAATACACATTGGTTGCACATTTTTCCTGCCTGCCTGATAGCCAGTAATGTATCCTATTTATAGCTCAGCTTGTTTTTCATATTTTATTACAAGATAAAATTCATACCTAAATAGGAAACATGCCTCATTAGGCATAACTATAAATAACACATCTACTATGCTAAATTAATTTATTAAAAAGCCAAAATAAACCATGATGTACACTTTTAATTCAGTAATGTAAAATTTAAGTAAAGAATTGTTAAATTAAACATTAACAATAATTTATACATTCCTGTTTTGCTTCTTTTCAATCTGTAACACATATAGTCAAAATTAAAAGATCAGCACAAATTACCTGTTCTCGCTAAAGTTTGTTCGCATTTTATATACGGTATCCTGTGTCACCCGGCAAAATATGGGCTGCATGCTTGCTGCCTACTGTTACATGAATCTAATACCAAAATGTGTTTATTGAATATCACTTTTTCATTACCTGTACTGTACTCTCTTTTCTACATGTCTGTACAAAACTAAAAATAAAGTTTGTCTAAAAAATAAAAAATAAAAGATCAAGAGAAAATTAAGAATGGACTACAACTCAGATAACGTGCCCTGTGTGGTACCCTGCTCTGGTCTCAAGCTAGTTTTACTTACTTGTGCCATTACAGAGAGAACTTTTCCATTTGCATATCAGACTGTTCCTACCCAAATGGTAATCTGGATATGGAACCTCTTGTTCACTGTGCCTACAGGCCTACAGGGATATCAACCACAGCTCCCTGATGAGAACCAACCAAGCCAAAATAATCATCTGGGGCAGGTGGTGCAGATGCAGTCTGTCAAAATTTCACATCTGGACTGTCCTTTTTGTGGGATTAGTCTGATATACAGATTTGTCAGATTCTCTTTGCGATGGTACAAGTTTGACTTGTTATCTATTCTCAGTATTCTCTTGTGCTGTGATTTGATTTGTATAGTATGGGCAGGGCTGGTGCAATGATTTTTGGCTGCACAGGTGAAGATGCATTTTGCCATCCCCTTACAATTCATTTTCACCTGTCTGTCTCTTAAACTCCCCCTTTTGCCTTTCCCACCCATCCTTTGTGTGTCTCATAGACCCTCCTCTTTGAGTCTATCCTGCTCCCCTTTTCCTTCTATTTTGGGTCTGACCTCCAGCTGTAGCTTGACCTTGTGGACTGCAGTAGAGAATCTGCTTGCTGCTCACAGTGAGCAGCTTCAACGCAAACCAGGTAGAGGATAAAGAAGATTCTCTACCGCAGTCTGCAAGGCCACGCTACAGAGAGTGACTGGTGGACATTGCACCCCTGGAATGGTGTGCCCTAAGCAATAGTAGATAGCCCTGATTGTAGATATTTGGCACAATAAGCAAAACTAGAGACCATTTACATTGTAAGAGCTGTGGGTTGTGTACCTCAGACTTAATATCAAGTCCCTCTCACCTCCCTCTCTCACATTTACCAACTTTTACTTGTTTCACTTTTACTTGAATAGCTAGATCTTTATCTAGAAAGTCCTTAATAATGCTTGAACAAGATGACCACATACCTGAGAAGAATGTGGATAAAAAGAGTGATATTGTGACACCAGTGATCACATAAGCTGAAAAGATTTGTGTTGATCAAGTGCAGTCTTTCTCTCACATGTGTTTCTGTTGTTAATCCAAAAAAAGGCAAAAAAATGTTTGCAATTTTGCAACAACTAGGAATAAATATCTTCTCCACCCCAGAATGGCTGTCAGATCTCTCCTTGGATCCAGAAACTGTACCCCACATATTCAATATTATATCCCTGATTTATGTTTTTGCAAGAATGTGTCCAGTTGCTTAAAAATATGTACAGAATTAGATAAAACCACATCTTCAGGCATAGAATTCTACATCCTTATTGTTCTTACTGTAAAGAACCCTTTCCTCTGCCTTGGATTAAAAGTCTTTTTTCCAGTCTAAATGAATGATCATGTGTTCTATTATAGTCCTATTCATTAATAGATTTCCAGACAATGTTTTGTATAGGCCGCAAATATATTTGTATAATGTTATTATATTCATTCTCATGTGCCATTTTTCTAAACTGAACTAAACAGATTTTTTAGCCTTTCTTCATAATTAAGATCTTCCATATCCCTTTTCCCAGTTCCTTATTAATATCCTTACGTAGAACAGATGCCCTTCAACCTTCTGGCCATTCTGTTCCCCAGCACAACAGACCCTTTTCCGTTTAGGTGCAATCCATCACGGCTACAGACACTGTTCCTAAGCACAAAAAGAAACAAGTGTATCAAATACTAAAACCCTTCTTCCTACATCCCGACTTCAGCCACGCATTCAGCTCCAGGCCTTTCCCCTGTAGCACATGGCACAGGTAATATCTCTTAACCCTTTAACCCCTTAAGGACCAAACTTCTGGAATAAAAGGGAATCATGACATGTCACACATGTCATGTGTCCTTAAGGGGCTAAGGACACATGACAGAAATATTCTGTGATGATTCCCTTTTAATCCAGAAGTTGTTTCCTTAAGGGGTTAAAATACTACCTTTGAGGTAATTTTCTTCAGTTTATTTGATAATTATCTGAATCTTTCTTTAGGACTTTCCATCTTCCTCTGACTTTGCCATTAATGCCTATATGTACATTGACAGCTGGGACATCTTCTCCCAATCATCCATCCACACTGTCAGCAACATGCTGGACCCAAGTATCTGGGAGACAAACTGTCCAGTTGAGGTTATCTGTCTATGTCTACTCTTTGAGTAATAGAGTCTCCTATCACCACAACCTGTAAAACCTTTCTTACATTCTCAGTCCCACCCATACTATAGGGGTGCTCCACGGGCTGTTAAAGAACAGAATTCTGCAGTACAGTCACTCCTGAGCTGATTATACATTTAAATGAGCAAGTCTGTTAGGGTGTCCAAAATCAGCACTAGCCAAACCTTTCCTCTTCCCTCCCACAGCTACCACATGTAACCACAACCCAATATGCTCCCTAGGTGTCATTTACATTTGCTAACTACACCTTTACAATTGTGCCACAAGAAGCTTTAATAGTTCTTCGTGACTCCAACTGATGTAGTGAAGCCCACTTTAAGCATTATAATTCATATTCGCCAAACAGTTGGAAAATGTGTAGATTGTTACTTAACTTCATGTTCAGCCCCCACCCCTCACCCCATGAAGAGACATTTTTGGGAAAGAATGACTTTGTATCTCTACAACATTGAATGTATACATTGTGTGTGTACTTGCCCGATGTTGACTTTGTCATCCACATATTTTTGTGAATTTCACAGTTGCTTTGATCTGTCAAAATCTTTTTCTGCAATCCGTACAGGTTACGCATAATTCTAGACTGAATATATATTATCTGAATAAAAAAAACCTTCAATAAAAAAGTGTGTTTCAGCTGCAGAAAACCCTCTCTGTCATGCTAGACTAGATTGCATAGTGTAAAAATCCAACCATGATTTTATTACAAAGATGGAATGGGTCTGAGAGAGCTCACTCTACAAATACTTTCTGAAAAACTGTTTCAGGAATGAATTCACTTTAACCCCTTAAGGACACATGACATGTGTGAGATATCATGATTCCCTTTTATTCCAGACGTTTGGTCCTTAAGGGGTTAAAGCAAGAAATGTGAAAGTTTAGAGATAAAGAAAGTTTGCAAAGAAAAAAATAAATAAACTCCAGAATGTTATTTATTTCCTATCTGCTCTTGTTGACTAATATGTGCATTTCTCTTGTGTATGTTCCACTATCACTGGTTTAATGAATAATCCCCTCTTATGAAACTGTGTGCCATGCCAGACACAAATCAAAATACAGTTTTATTCATCCATGTAAGTATAACAAATACATACACAGTATATTTAAAAAAAACAAAAAACACTATAGACATCTCATTGAAGTGGTCTGGGTGCAGTGTCCCTGTCCCCTAACTTTGCAGCTGAAAACTTTTGATTATTGCAGCTGAAAACTACATTGCAGAGTTAAGACTGCCTCTAGTAGTCTAAGCAGTTTCTGCAGTTTCTTGGAGTTTAACTCTGTGAAATTATTCTGGACGTCCTCCCGCTGTGCATGAGGACATCTAGCATCTTGCAAAACCCCATAAGAAAGCATTGATTCTATGCTTGCCTATGGGGAAGGTCTAATGCTTGCGGCACTTGCCGCGCATGCATATTGGGTTACCCCTCACAATGAAGTAGGGAGGCAGAGGGTGAGTCAGCACCAAGAGACTTCACCACTGGTATCAGGTAAGTGTTTAAAGGGTTGTTTATCCCTTTCATTGTCACGGGGTGAAACTGAGGGGCCAGGTGGATACTTTAGTGTGAGCAATACAGCTTTTTATTTCTAACACTATAGTGTTCCTTTAAGGTCAGACATTTCTACCTACTAATGCTTAAGTATTAACCACCACAGGACCAATGGTCATCTGTGCTGTTGTAACAATATCATCTTAAATGGAATGCTTTACACATTTTAACAGTAAGGATATGTGGAGATACCAATAATACATGAGAAGGGGAATCCATATTGTTCTGCTGGTTCTCAAACGGCTACGCAATCTGACTGATATATTATTCTGTAAGTATAACAGTACTGCTTTTAAGTTTTTTAATGTTGCTTTACAGTTTTTTTTAATCAGCCCCTGCTTTAATTATGAAGCCGGAGCTGATGGGTCCTGCATCTTTTTAGCAGGTAGATGGGCTACTGTTTACCACCAACCCAGTGATTTCACACCCTCTTCAGTGCACAACTCTGCAGTGCTGTATTTTAGAGCAAATGTGACAAGACCAAAAGGTACTTTTTAAATCTTCATTTTGTCTTTCTATATATTTTATTGTGCAGTGGCACATTTTTGCATAGTCTATTAGCTGTTTTTATACTTGGTATGATATAACTTGCTCCCAACTGTGGTGTTCTGTAGAATATAATTTTTTTAGGAAATAAATATTACTGTTGATAGTATTAGTAGAACTCTACTTGTAGCAGATCATTACATTAGAAGAAAGAAGAAACTTGCAGTGGCAAACATATGGTAACCATAACACCAGTTGTGATATTTGTGGAAATCCTGCAGCCACATGTGTAGAGAACATAAATAAACTGATAAGCCTTCTCCTTGTGACACATAAAGAACAAAGCTCAAACGTAAATCATTAAATGAGTAAACAAACAAATAAATAAAAACGAGATGCAAGCAATAAATGCGCAATAAAATTAAAGAATGTGAAGTACAGTAAAAGAAGCTATGATATATTTTAAACTGCAATATACTCTGTAAATCTGAAAAAAATCCTTAAATATGCATAGAAATGAGAAATAACTTAATTGAAGTGGGGTAAAAATAAAAATGAATGCAAATAGTACAACATTATTGTTATGTAGTTTTGTATATACCCCAAAATAGATTTTACAAGCACCCCCTTTCTTTAGCAACCATGCGGATAGTAAAAGGAATATAAGAGGAAAAAAAGGCTTCCACTACAGAAAAGTTGGCATAACCTCTCACGCAGTGTACTTTAGCCTATGTAATTATTTTTTGGTTCCTTTTTTTACAAAAGTTCATTTTAAATTTTGATCTTTGGAGCATGGTTGTGCAGATTTAACTTCTCCATATTCCCCCCTTATAAGATGCATATTCTATACTGCTTTTTTTTTCGGAGTCCTTTGTTTCCAGCTGAGTATGAGTGCTAATATAACAAAAGGGGTTCATGCTGATTATGTTTTTTGTTTACTATTTTGGTATAAAAAAATGTGGATGGATAGACAAGAGTGGGATGTCCATTGTCACACTCGATCTTGGATTATCCCAGCACTGTGATTTTCGGTAGGACAAATAGCAGAGTGCCTTATACTTTTGAAAATGAATATTCTTTTAAACACATATACTATTGGCCTTTTCACGATTTCCCTATTTTGTCTATATTTGTCAACTGGGACTTTCTACCTAACTGAATTAGATTTTTGTGTGGACAAGTGAAAGGCAGGTGGACATGGTTAAGTATCATTGACAGAATTCCTTTCCAGAAGAGTAACCTGTTATAGAGTACCGGGGCATTGGAGACAGTATAATCTATACTTAATATGGTGATTAATGGGGTGATTATAGTTCAGACCTCCTTAGAACACAAGGGGGCCTTAAGTATACCCACAAAATGGAAAAAGAGTTGGGGGTATCAGCTTAGTCTAATGTGTATTATCATTAACCTACACCCTACTGTGCAAGTAGTATAGAATAGGAACATTATATGACATGAAACCCCCTAATTAGAAGTGAGAGGGATTAATTTGTTTTTCTTCTGACTGTCCATACCTTTGAACATTGGTTTGATGTTTGGTAGGGGTTTTGATGACCCCTACTTGTGATTTTTCAGTGTCGCGTTCTTTAAGATACGACATCAGGAACACCTGAACTTAAATGCCCCACCTAAAAGACTAACAAAGCTTGAATTTCCAAGTCAGATATCTGTAGATCACTAGTTTGTTACATTTGTGTATTAATTATTTGCTACAATAAGTTCATTAGTGCAGCATCACGGTTTATTACATTATTGTATTTTTGTTTTCTAGAAGTAATATTCAAAAATCACTGTCTAGTTTTAACCTGCAACATGTAATATACCTTTGCTGTATAATTTTATAATTTTATTGTATTACAATTACCTTTTGCTCTTCAAACATACCTGCCGTGCAAACAATTTTTATTATTTATTAATTCACCAAAATGTATATAGTGATTTGATCTAGAGATAATTACTAATAATAGATATGAAATACATATTTATTATGAAGTCACTGCATAGTTTTAAATTGTTTCTTTATTATCAGTTGTGCATACAAGTTTTAAATCCAAAGCTTAAAATATGGTTAGTAAAAAAAAATAACTCCACATGTTTTGTGAGGTCCTGGTGATGGACTGGACTAACATTTCAGTTTCTAAATTCCACCCGTAACCTATATCAGATGGTTTAAACTTTGCCTGTTCCCATCACATTTGCATTCATGTTGAAGGATTTATATCAAAGAGTGATTAATAAATACCTTTTAAACTTCAGCAGAAACCTTTGATAAATGCTCATCTTTACATCAACTTTAAACACATATTTTATGGAATGTAAATTCTAAAGGATTTAGCCTTATGTTAAGACCTTCTATGTGTCACAAATGTCTTTTCAAACCAGTTTCTTTGAACTGCCATAATATTTTCATACATTACATTCATACATAAATTATGAAGGGGACGGTATATTTATGCCTCTAGGTTAAGTTCAAAAGGCCCATTCTTGTAGCTGTTTTGGTTCAAGAGTACAGTTGAGACCGTTACCCTGGTAGAGAAAGCTACAATTGCTATAGTAAATCAGTGCATGTGATTCTAAAGTAAATATACTATTAACCAGGTTTTCTCCGAAACAGGGATGCAAATGCACATCTAATTCTTTAGATTTAAAATATACTTTTTTTCTTTATTATTATTTTGTTTTTTGAGACGGACATTTCAGTAATTTAAAGACCACTAAAGTCACCCAGACCATTCCTAATTAAGTGGTCTGGCTGCACTGGCCTTGTAGTTCTAACCCATTAATGTAATATATTACTGTTTTGTAGAAATCGGATTAAATACACCTTTAGTGTATGTCTTTCTGACAGCCACAAGAGGCGCTTTCTTCTCCAGAACAGAGTCAAACTCTGTTTTATAATCAAATGCTGCTGATAGCAGCATTTGATTGGAGATGTGCAGGGTCTGGCTGCACATGTATATCTAAAATTCAATGCTTTAAAGCACTGGTTTGGATGAGTTCATATAAGTCAGCAGGCGATGGAGGCGGAGTTGGCTGCTACAGCGGCAGAGTCCCATTGCTGGAAACAATGTGAGTTAATTTAATTTAACTTTAAATATACAGCACAAAAGGGGTGGACAGTGATCACAATGCTACACAGAACCTATAGTCCTTAAAAAACTATTTTATATTGCAATGTTATTTTCTGGACTATAGATTCCTTTTTAAGCTATGTGTTCCAAATTTGGTGTCCGGAAGATTAAGGTATTTCTGTAGGAGAGAATCTCAATCACTCCAGTCAGTTTGCTCTCCTGGAAGAAAAGTGCCATCTATCCCCAGTGGTATGAGAAAAATATAATAAATATACAGAACACGCAAACCAGGATATGTTTATATACTTGTAAGTTAAAACATGCATAAATCCTGCAATAAATCATTTAGTTTCTGTAATCAATTAGCATGTATGTGAAATCCTCATTATTACTATTTTTTGCCTAAAGTTGAGTTTGCTTGTTTTTCATTGTGAGTAATTTTTTTCTGTGATTTAAAAAAACAAAAAAAACTAATTTAGTATTAGATGATATAGTTAAACTTTAATTTTGGTATTCATTTTTTACTGATTTATTTTTATTATGAAATAAAAAATATTCTAGGAACCAGTTATATATAATCATGTAGCATCTAGTGCTCGCTTGTTAAAAACGATCGGTAATTACTGGTTTTATGTGGTTTGTTTTGGAAATATATCCTCTTTTGATATAGGCACAGAGAATGCTGTAACATTTTACTACATTTTTAGCTCACACAGAAAACTACATGTACAGATAGATAATAATTGTGCATTTAGAATATATGGGATATCTAATTAGCGATATCTGTTTTTTACAAAACGTTTGCTCTGATTTTATTTGGTTTATACTTGTATTCTGCAGAGAGATATATGGTCTGTATCATGGTAGGCTTCTTTTAGTAAAAAAAAATTATAGGGGAAAATCTAAATATGAAGCAGTGAGGATCCTTTGTGGTGACCATTGTGATTTCTCCAGTTGCAACACTTTCAAAAATGTTTTATTAAACTTCTTAAAACTTTTTAAACAATAACAAAGGGAAGATGTTCCGAGTTAAAAAAAAAAAAAAAGAAGGGCAGAGGGTTTTCTACCCACAATAATACAAATATATAATGAAAACAGCACATTGCAGAATAGACGTTTAAAAACCTAATCCAATTAAAATAAATAAATAAAGTAATAGCTAATACATTTCAAACATTTTCAAATCCAATGTCATAGTTATAAGAGAGATTTATTTTTGAATACTATTCCAATGTATCCCAATAGTATTGCAACTGAGTGGATAGGGTAGAGGACTGTTCATATCTTTATTTCCCAGTGCTAGAGAAAGTGCTTCTCAAAATGGAATAATTCTGGATTATGTGCTTTTAGACTAATGACCATGAGAACTAATGCAGTTATTCAGCTAAATGCTGTACATTTAGAACTTTGTCATAAAATTGCTCTTGGTTTGCCTTGAATACGATCTATTGGAGGAAATGCATAAACGTGTTCTGTTCCAAGAAGTGAAAATATAAAGGGAAGAGGAGACTCCAATGTGCCAGCGGATTCCAGTGGTTTCCATGGGGATTGCCTGACTTTTAATACTTTTTAGAACAGCACACTATGTTAAATCTCTCCCGAAGTCTTTATTAATACAACTAAGTGTTTTAGTAGCTTATTGTTAGATTGGCATGTCTGAGAATGTTCCAAGAGTGTTTTGGTTTAGCAGCAATTCACCAGACCTCAGAGGTAGCACATGAAATGCCAGGACGAAGTTGACTTTTAAGTGTGCGATATGGAGAACAAATTTATAGTAATAAAAATAATTAAAAAAAAAAAAAGCTAATTGAGATCCGTGCATTTATTTAATTTCTAGAAATTGCAGTTTCTATAGTTTCTTCAGCTGTCCTTGAGGTGGCTAAAAAACTCTGCTTCACCCATAGCTTCCTAAAGAGAATTTGTGCATAGCCCATACATCCTTCCACATTAGAGTTATACAGACATTGTAGTTCATCTGTGAATGAGATAATTCGCTTAACTCAAAATCTATTTGAGGTTGTAATTCAAGAATTAGATCAAAATATATATGGACAAGGATATAAAAGTCACAATGTTTTCCTATTATCTATTATTTTTTTGTTATCTTGCATGTGGCTATTATATGAAGTGATTGTGGCCACATGTGCTCTCTTATAGAAAAAAAAGAGAGGATTAGGAGAAAGATATAAACGTATTAAAGTGCATGATATCTGAAATGACATCACATGAGACTAATTTATAGGAAACTCTTGGGTCAATTTACTTAATGGATAGGGGGTGCTACTTAGCATGTATAACTTTTATTCTGGACTCTTTAAGTAGATAATTTCTTCCCATTTTAGGAGTTGCTTTGTTTTTTGCATAGCCCCCAACAACTGCTCGAAGTCAGAGCTCCTCTTCCTTCCCTTTACAAGAAGTGGGACTGTTATAGCCAATACTACCTCGATTTGCCCAGATAATTCACTGCAAATAACATTCAACAGAGTAGTTAGACGTGTATGTATATTTATATAATTTTTAGCATTAGCTGTACAATTCCCTGCTTGATAACAGGTATGTAGGGTTGATTTAGTTGTACCACATACCAATGGGAACTTTTATGAACAAAACATCATGACCTCAATTAAATAGGCTTTCCAAATCATTTAATATTGTTAGAAAAACTTTCCAATTTATTTATCTACAGAAGTCCCCATTAGAGTATATGAGAACTTGTGTAGATCAATAATTTGGAAAGTTTTTTATTAAAATTATTGAATAATTTGGAAATCTTTCTATGTTTATTATTTTTGTGTTAATCATGTTAGAAATTATATCCTCCTTGTAGTTTTCATAGATAATTTATATATGTGATTAAATACAAAGAAATGTTTACATAAATAAGTAAACAAATTAGTAAAAAACAAAACAATAACAAACAAAAACAAAACAAAAACTTGTTATATTTAAAAGCAAACGAGCCAAAAACCAACCAACCAAAAATTATACCATATACTGACATTTGACCCCAACTTTCAATGTGTTAGACAACATTTTTGCTTTTATTCTTTTATTAATTGATGTGTGTGTGAATGTATGCCTAATAGTTGATATAAACATTTGCACGCATATATATTTTCATCTGTGCCAATCATGGGAGTTTCCTAACACTTTCATAGTTGGGGTTTAGAATCAACATGTTCTGTGCCAAGTGATCACTGTTATTATCAGAATAATCATGCAAAGCACACTATGTTTTTGTTGATAGCACTTTATATTTATGTGCTGTTTGGATAAACAATTATTGCAATATGCTTAACATTAACGCACAACAGTAAAAAAATATTTTAGCTTTAGAACAAAATACACATTGTTATTTATTCATTTTAGTTTATGTTAATGACAGTTTTTAAAATATAGAAAATAAATCAAAGAATATTACAAGGATCCCGTTATTTTTATGGATATATTGTGTTACTTTAAAGTAGGCTTTTGCCATCTGTGCTATACGATAATAGCCAATGCAAAAAACATATTTTAACTTTCAGGTTTACATTAGCAAAATATAAGATAAAAGTGATTTAATGGCCACCATCTGGCTGGCGTACAAGGCGGCTGTGGCATTCTCCCTTGTGATTCAACTACAACTTAACAGGGAAAATGTTGTTATAATCCCAGATAAAACAAAGTACATTTTTTAGTGAGATCTTATGTTTTATGCTTGAGTTTAAAAAATAAATAAAAAAATTATATAATGAAAATAAATACATAAGAAGCAAGCGCAATGCAAAAATAGTTAACATGTAAAAATACTTTATTCAATCTAATTTGTCATTCACTTTTGTATGTTTCTGTTTACATTTATTACATATTTTTCTATGCTCTACTGCTAATTGTATTGTTTTTGTAGCAATTGGAAACAGTACTCATATTATCCTTTTACAGTAATTTCATTGTTGATGATAATTTCACATATCTGTTATTATTTCTGGGTTTGAATTTCAATATTGAATGTTAGAATTAAAACCTTGGGTCTTAGGATGCCACAAAACAGTTGCATCAATGGTTAATTTCTCTTGGATAATTTATACAACACTAAACCATAATATAAATGGAAAAAAAAACATTGTTTTCACAGTTTTGGCAATAATAAAGTGTGCATAATGAGTGTGGCTTATGAAAAGTATTTCAAAATAAATTAATTCATCTGCCTTGATTTACAGAGTACGTCATATGTCTAGGATTTCAATTTATTATTGGTCGTTGTTTATGTTTATATAAAGTAGACATCTCAAGCTATTTACCTAAGGGTATTTTGACACTTTTTACATTGCCATTTCACTGCTAGTCTCTGCTAAATATTATAGTAAAATTTTGATTTTTTCAGATTTTTTATATATACACATAAAACAAGGTTTTTAAAATGTGTATTTCCTAAACCAGAAGCATGCTTTTCCTGTACAAAACCCATTATTCCCAGCTAAAGCTTCTTAGTACAATGATACCCCCAATGTATGTCTTAAAGAATAGACTGTGAAGCTGTAGTACCATATAATTGCCTGACCATTTCAGTTTTATAGTTCGAGTTTCGATTAATGGATTTGATAGGCCTATGTCTCATTTTGGGGCAATATAGCAGTTTGATTATACATAGTACCCTATAAAGGCCTACCATGTGTGAAAGTAGACATTTCAGAGTATCTCATATAGTGTATATTGTTCCTTAATGTGTCACTGTTTTCTCACCAGTTTATTTGAAAGTGTGTAGATAAATGTATTTTTTTTTGCATTTTTTTTACATGCTTGTTGCATTTTTGCTAGGTATTTTATACATGTGATGTGTGCCACTGTGATAAAACCCCCAAATTAACCTATATCTTCAGAGTACAATGATACCCCAATGTGTGCCATAGGCTCAATCTTGTTACACACCATTTCAGCTTTTTAGGTGTGAATTTTCATGGATGGATTTGATAGGTAAATTTAGGGTAAATTTATTTTTTTTGCATTTTTTTTAAATGTATGTTGCATTTTTGCTGGACATTTTGTAAATCTGTTGCGCTCCACAGTGATAAAAACCAACCAAATTAAATTATAGCTAAACTATATCTTCTAACAATAATACCTGCAATGTATGGATTAGGTACTATTTTGTGATATTTCAGTGCTACTTAAGAGAAATGGTAATTTTATCTTGCTAAGAGTACATTTTCATAGATGGCTTTAGTGGAGCTATGTCTCATTTTGAAGCATTTTATTAGGTGCTAGTTCAAACTACCTCACAAAGGCCTACCATTAATTAAATAAGATTAAGTACCTCAGGATATTTCAAATAGTATATTTTGATTCTTATCATGGTGCCATTTTTTCACTAGTTTATAGTGAAAACTATAGCTTCGTTCAGACATAGAGCTTCTGTTGGCTGTAGTGGAGAAGTTAAGCAGGCCAAATTTATTTGACTACTTTGGGTGAGCACCAGGGAACGTGTGGCACCATAACCACCTCAGTTCACTTTAATCGTTATGGTACATTAATAGTTATGGTGTTTCACACACAATTGATTGTGCTTATTAGTTTTTTGTTTCAATTTTCTAGTTTTTACATTTATTTGAAGTTGCGGAAGGTTGAGTCTTCATAGGGTGGTGGGGAGTTTCAGAAACAGTTTTACGTTTTGATAAGAACAGAACGATGTCTGTCATGGAGACTGCATAAGGGACAGGCAGATATGGTTTGAACTATGATGGGAAAAGTATGATTGTGCAGAGTGTTAGAGAGGAAGGTAAAAAAGTAAGAAGCATCATTCTGAAAATGAAAGTATGATGAATTTATGGTAAAAGTGCTACACATATGCATACATTTTATTTTTAATCATTCATTTATTTTTATTACAGTACACTGGATTCCAGACAGAAAGATCTGAGTCAGATCATGACAGCCAATGGGGTGGTAGCCCCCTTACTGACACGGCTTCACCACAACTTCTTGATCCTATAGAAAGACCAAGCTCCCAGCAACATGACATGTCCTGTGCATACAGACAGTACCCAGACCGAGGCGCTCTTTGTTTTGGATTTACCCTTGACCCTGCCAGGTTAAATGATGATAGACACCAGCATAGTCAGTCTTGTGAAGGAGGAAGATGTGAAGCTGGCAGATACTTTCTTGGAAGTCCTCAAACTGGGAGAGAGCAATGGTGGGGTCCACGATCAACATTGCCTTTGCCAAAATCCTCTCCAGAAAGCAGAGATGGATATGAGAACAGCATGCCACATATTGCTTCAGTTCACAGAGTACATGGTAAGAAAAAACACAAGCTTATTCAGGGCTGCAATCAGAATTGTTGGGGGCCCTTACACAGCTCAAGGCCTGGGCCCCTGAGTCCACTCACAAGTTGATGTAGTGTGTGTTTATAGTGTATGCATAGGTGATGTGGTGTGTATAGTGGGCGAAAGGTGTGTATGTTTGTGTATAGTGGATGCAGAGAATGTGTGGGAGAAAAGTGAATGCAGTGTGTGCGTGTCTAATGTGGATGCAGCATGTGTTTAGTGGAGAAGGGGGAAGATGTTGTTGTTTTCTTTTTTTCATTTATAATTTATCCCCCTCCCCCCCCCTTACCTTTTGCCAGGGAGAGGGGGACACTAGATTCCCTGATGGTCCATATGCTTGTACAGTGAATAGTGGACCCAGGAGTGTCATCTTCCACCTCCAGCAGTCAGTTCTATCCTTATGTTGCAAGCATGGCATGGGTTGCGTGCCATGGGGAGCATTGTCATGGCAAGCTGAGGCAAAGCTCTGCCAGCCACAGCTCATGAGAGGACACTGCCAAAGGAGGAACTTAGAGTATCCCTGCCCCCTCTTCTTTACTGAGGACAACAGGACCTGCAGGGATCTATATATGCAGTTGTGCTCAAATGTTTGCATACCCTTGAAGAATTGGTAATATATGTAACATTTTTAAAGAAAACATGAGTGACCAGGCAAAACACATTTCTTTTATTTCTTATGGGATTTATATTCAACTAAAAGTTATAACAGAATGGTACAATCATAAAACAAAACATGGCAACAAAGAAATAAATTAAATGACCCTTTTCAAAAGTCTGCATACCCTTAGTTCTTAGACTGTGTATTGCCCCCTTTAGCATCAATGACAGCGTGAAGTCTTTTGTATATTGTGTGGGTGGTAAAGTTAAGGCTCCAAAGTGGGTAGTGCCCCTATAACACGGGGCAGTGGGGGGGGGGAGGGGAGGGGCAGGGAGGTTATGTTATTGGAGTTGAATATGATGTCACTAGTTATGGCCTTTGAGGGCTTTGCCTGTGTATGGGCACCAGGTAGAGCAGGGTTCTAAACCCCTAAGTGCTACCATAAACAAACCAAAAGAACATTAACTGAAGATATAAAAACATAAAAAAGACACAATATTTCAGAAACGTTTGGTTATGTCACTGCAGCACCAGGTTCCAGAACTTCGACTGTTTCTGGGGACAAATGGTGGTATGTCTGCCAAATTCCACTGGTGAGTCCGAGGCAGATCTGTCAAGGGAGCGTTGTGGTCAGCCAGACCCAAGGCTATTAGTAGTGGGCCTTCTTTGGGATCAGCTGCCTTATACGTTTTCCCATCCTTAGTAGCCAGGAGAGAACCCGGGGTTGCCCATCTGTAGGGAAGTCCTGCTTTTTGTATGGCTGTCGTAATGGGCTGCATAGACTTGCGCCACAGCAGTGTGGCTCGGCGTAAGTCCTGAAAGAGGGAAATAGTACATGCTTCAAATTCGAAGGGAGTCTTTCCTTTAAGGGCCGCCATTAAGCCAATTTTATCAGACAGGGTTTGACATCTCAATATGATATCCCGGGATGACGTTGCAGGAGCTTGGGGTGATTTAACAATGCGGTATACCCCATCAAAGGAGAAATGTTTAGCTTGTCTCATTGGCAGCATAGTGGCTACCAGTTGTCTGACAAAGTGGGGAAGTTCTTCTAGGGACACTGACTCGGGGACCCCTCTGATCTTTACATTCTTCCTCCTGCCATCATCAAGGGTATTAACTTGCCTCGTGATGGCAGTGTGTGCCATTTGTATTTGTTGCACCTTGTTGCCAAGTGATTGCAGTCCCTGTTTAAGCTCTACGACATCTTCCTTCTGTCACAGCTTGTACTTCCATAGCCATTAACGCCAAGTCTGCCTTCCATGTTTGCTGTTGCAGGCCATTTAGCATGGTTTGGATATCCTGCTTAGTGGCTGGTGAAGAGTTCTCCACCGTCGGTAGGCTGTGTCGGGCTGTGTGGGAGTTCTTCCCCAGACAGCATGGATGGTGAAGCCTCCCTGGAGGCCGGCGCCTGGGAAGGTATGGGCGGCTGTAGCATGAGGCCCATGTCTCTGTGGGTCCTTGGTGTGAGCGCAGTTGGTTTTTGCAACCTTCTACCCATTTCTACAGCAGTGTGGCTGTCTATGTGTTTGTCCAATGTCACCGCGACTCTCCACGCCTGGTATATGCCCTCTAGCTCCTGGTTCTGTCTGCCCACGTGGGGGGTGAGAAAGAAAGGCATCAGAGTGTGCAGCAGGGCGTCCTGATGCTCATCTGCCCTTCCTGATGTCAGTGAGGTGTCGATGGAGCCGGTATCATGAATTTTAGGCACTTGTGGCTCGAAGCTCTGAGGAATGGCATCCGCTCCGGTGCTCTGGCAAGCCATGCCCTGACTGGTATTTTCAAGGCTTTTGATATCTTTTTATATTATATTATATATATATTTTATATTTATAAAGTTCAATTTCCTTGTTATGCAGGTCTTTTGACAGTTTTTTTCTGCTTCCCATGACTCAGTATCTAGCCTGCTCAGTGCATCCACGTGAGAGCTAACAAAATCATTGACTATTTATACACAAACTCTAATTGCAGTTTAAAAAGGTATGGGAAATTAAATTGTATTGCCATCTTAACCTATGTGTGCCACCTTGTGTGTCTGTAATAAGGCTGAACATTCAAGGGTATGTAAACTTTTGATCAGGGCCATTTGGGTTATTTTCTTTCATCATTCTGATTTAAAAAGGAGCCAAAAAACTGTGTGATCATAAATGGCTTCATATTATCACTATCCTTCAATAAAAGACATTCTTTGTCGGTTGTCACACTGTGATGGTGGCCCTGATCTTATTATTACCATTATTGCTGTTTACGTAGCACCAGGATATTGTGCAAAATTTTACAGTTTTAATGTTGGAAATATAACAATACATGCTAGCTACTTCAAATGTTAACAGATGTTAACAGAAACAAGATTTTAACAAGGACCCTGCTTGTGTGTTTATCTTTTATTAGATATACTAAACTATAAATTCAAATAAACTATTGTGGGAATACATTATATGGGTAGGCCTGGGGGTTAAGTTAATAGTTCCACCACCATTGTTATTTAGGAACGCCACCACACTGTGCCACCCCCTTATTATTTTTAGAGCACCAACCTGCTCTTTGTAATTTTTGCCTTTCAGCTTCTTAGTAGAAAGCTCCCTAATCATTGTGGGATTGCCATAATGATACCAAAAAGGAGCTATCTACTAATCAGCTCCCTAATTTGGTACCCTTAAATATTGCAATCCCTCATGGGTACACATTTACTAAACAGCTGCAAGATGCAGCCATGGCACGAATCAGAATTTAATTTGTCTGAATGATACTCCGAAATACAAATAATCACCAAAGTTTGTCTGAAAACTAATGAGCAACTGGCCAAAATTTGAAAAAAAGATGAAACAAAAATGTTTTTCGGCCAAATGTGTTTGAATGAAATGAACATTATTGCGGCACCCAACTCCAATAGATACATGAGAATCTGCAAAGGTTATACAACATGCACCATATGCTTTCCACATACCCATAAAATAGTAGCAAATGAGAATTGTCAAAACAAAAAAAGGACGAGACTGGGTCTAACCAATATGAATCCTCCAATGTGTCGGAATTTTTGCGAAAGGCTGTTAACCCGAAATGTTTTTTTTTTTTATACTTCTTTCTATTACTGTTAACCCGAAATGTGGGCTTTTTTATACTTCTTTCTATTTCTCTTTTTATTTCACTAATCTACATAGAATATGGTACATGTTCGACACTTATTATGGATTGCTAATATAGATTACATGCTTTTACTCTTTACATTTAACTGAGCTGAACCGGTATCCTGAATAGACTTTACTTTTTTATACTTCTTTCTATTTCTCTTTTTATTTCACTAATCTACATAGACTATGGTACATGTTCGACACTTATTATGGATTGCTAATATAGATTACATGCTTTTACTCTTTACATTTAACTGAGCTGAACCGGTATCCTGAATAGACGTTACTTAACAGCTATTGTTACAGTAAATATTTTCTTTAAATAGTTATTGTACCTCTATGGATTCATAATACAAGGAAACAAGGTAGATAACCACCACTTACTGCTAATTATACTTATTTTTATTTAATTATTTCTACTGTTCTACTTGCCATAATGTATTGTGTGATATATGAAACGACACTAGAATTGTTCCTGTTCATTTGATGTATTTATAAATAAAACAAGTATAATTGTTATTGCACAGTGCTGTCTTATAAGCTGTTTCAGTAGATTTAATGACAAGATATTTTTTGACATTCGATTAGGGAGTTAAAAGGACATTATAAGTGCCAAAATAACTTTAGCTAGCTTAATGATGCAGTTTTGGCGTATAGATCATGCCCTTACAGTCTTATTGCTCAATGTTCTGCCATTTAGGAGTAAAATCATTTTGTTTATGTTTTGCCCTAGTCACATCTGACTCACACATCCTTCGGAATCATTTACTGTAAAGAAAAATCTAATGTTCAAATGTTATTTTTTAATGGGTTTAATTTAGAATTTATTGTATTCTGCTCTGTTAAGTTTGCTAGACCCTGCATGAGCCTTCTGTATGTGAGACAAGTTTACTTTACAGAGCAGTAGATAAACCCTTCTAAAGTAAGTTAAGATCTAGTGGAAAATGAAACCATTTTTTTCATGCAGGCTGTGTGAGTCACAACCAGTGTGGCTAGTGCGTCACGAACAGAAACAAAAGGGATTTAACTCTTAAATGGCAGAGAATTGAGCAGTGAAGCTGCAGGGACATGATCCATACACTAAAACTGCTACATTAAGCTAAAGTTGTTTTGATGTGTATAGTGTTCCTTAAATGGTTTAATTAGATGAAAACTCCAAACATTGTGACAATATATTCTACTGGCATAAGAAATTGTAAATTTTGCTGCAACAACCAAATCACCTCCTCACACAAAACATTTTACATGGATCAACCCCACAGATTTGAGGGTTCACTGCAATATTTCCATATACATTACAAATGCCAGCCTGAGAGTATCTTAAATGTTGTTTTTTGTAAACACCAACCATTAACCTTATCTAACTATAACGTAAACATTAATAGTAAATATGTGAGTAAGCCCAATTCCAACTCCAAATTTAACTCTAATTTAAAACTATTACATTTGGTTTCCTATTCCTAATCTCCTACATACATAAGAGATTATACAAACTGTGCTTTGAGTGTATATGAATAAAAAAAAAAAAAAAATCAACAAATGGTGTCATATGAGATACTGATGATATATTATCTAATTCTTGTCATATGCAGGGAGAAGCCATTGGGATGAAGACAGTGTTGTTAGTTCCCCGGATCCAGGCTCTGCAAGTGAATCCGGAGACCGCTACCGTGCTGAGCAATATCAAAATACCCACCATGAACCCAGCAAAATTGAAACACTTATACGGGCTACACAGCAAATGATTAAAGAGGAAGAAAATAGGTTACAACTTCGCAAATCAAGTCCTGACCAACTAACTACTAGTAATGGAGTCGGGAAACGAAACTCGGTTTGTTTTACCAACTATCAACAGCCCCAGTTAACAGGTGTTGTATGTCGTGGACCATCACTTACTAATACATCTCCTTGTGATCACATTCAGCACAGGGATGGAAAAATATTGAGCCCGCGTGACAATGAATATGAAAACAGCCCCACAACTTTGTCCAGAATAAGCAGTCCAAATTCAGACAGAATCTTAAAAACCAGTGTTACTATATCAAAAGACTATTTACATAACACCCTTTCCCCTCAGCAAGCACTGGACCATCCTGCATCTCCTAACTACTACAGTTCTCACAGGCAATATTTTGATAAACATGCTTACACCTTCACTGGGTATGCCCTTGAACACTTATATGACACTGAAACTATAAGAAACTATTCATTGGGTTGCAATGGATCACACATTGATGTTACGTCTCACATAAGGATGCAGCAAGATCCTGCTCAAGTCCACAAGGGCACATCGGTGATAATAACTAATGGAAGTTGATGGTTTTATTTCAAGTATTGCACCAAACACTCTATCAAGTGAAATTAAAATGAACATTTTTAATGACATTGTTACCAGCATCCGATAAATTACAGTGCACTAGAAAGGATGTTATGATGGGACTTGCAATGGACTCGGGTTTTAGGCCATTTACAACGACGTTGTGCAGTCTATGAGAAGGTCTAAGATTGTATGTGTTCTTAAAGTATTATGTTATGGTGATGAATATAATTTGCATGTAGACTAAATACCCATTAAGCAAAAACAAAAACATAACAAAACAAAACAAAACAAAAAAATAATCAAACAGAAACAGGCAAACTATGCATCCAGGTCTTACAGCAATGTGGAATGTACACCTTTCTGTATATACATTAGAAAAGTCATAATACTTGTATGTTTATATTCAGTAACACATTCTGTTTTATTTGGTTTGATTTATGGTACAAATAGAATGAAAGAACATTTCAGAGGAAACTAAACGAAAGCAGAAGGTTAAATAAGAAAATGCCTTGCCCAATTCAGTTTTTATTTTATTTTAACTTTCCACCTTACTATATTTCAATATACTTACTTGACTAATATGCATTTTATATTTAATTATTTTAAAAGTCTGCACTCAACATGTTATCTATGCTAGCGCACAAATAATCGTGATATATTTTGTCCTGTTTGGTTTGGATTTCTATTCATTTTGTTTACACCACAGTCTGATGATATTGGTTTTAAATTTGTATGATATAGTGTCGGGATACTGGTCATTCAACTAAATATTTAAAATATAATTACTAATTTAAATTGAGCTCAGATAAAGAAAAAAAAATCACACAATGTATTGCAAAGAAAGTCCATGTGCATTATTTTAAGGACAACATTTAAAGTACCTATTTTCACTCTAACTTCATTGATTGGGGGAATTGTAAGAACGAACTAAAAAAAAACAACATAATTTATATTATCCACATAAAAGTTCAATACATTGAGAGATTATCTCATTTAAACAATCCAGAACATTCATGAATACTTATTTGTTTGTTGTTGCCCAGAAGTATGATCTAAAGAATACTTTAGAGACAGTACTTTTTGTGAGTATTTGTCAATGATTTGCACTGGGTAAGGATGCAAATACACACTGAATAATCAGCAAGTTCCTGATTTATTCAAGGATTGGAGATTTTATCTTCACATCTCATGCTATAACCACAAGCTATCGATGCTTGGCTATGGGAGGTAACTATAATTGCTATAACTTCAAACAAATAGAGAAGAAGCTTGAAGCAAGGAAATGGAAACTTATTTTATTTTTATGTATTTCATATTTGAATACCAAATTTCTATTTGTAAAAAATATTAACACCTTAATGGTCAATAACATTTTACATCAACACAATTTTTTCTCTAACAACCCTATTCTAATATGAAATGTCCTGCTGCTAATTTGGCATTTGTTAATTCATACAGCCCTGTCACTGTAAAATTAGTGAGATATATTTTGAAGCAGGTTCTTTAAGGTTTAGTTTGTTATGACAATTTTTCTGTCATTGTGTCTTTAATTATTTTACTGAAACTATCGCAATAGAAAAAAACTGTGTTTCTACAAGTTTTATTTGTAGTTTTTCCATCTTTGCAGTACATATAGGCAATTCTAGATCCTGAACTAGTGATGCTAGGTTTGACCTTGTTTTCAAAGGACAACACAAATTTCACAAACACTCCTTAACATACATAATTATAACCCACGACCAATGTATGCATATTCTAAGGATAATACTATTTATTTTCCATTTGTAAAAATGAAAAAACAACATTATCAAATTATCAAAGCAATTAAAACATATTGGACCTTCAACATGTTTAGACATAAAGACTAGTATGTGCCACATTTATACCTTGAGTTTGTTAAAGAGCTTCTGGCGAGTTAAGATTTGGCAGCTTTTAAAACATAACAAGTGATGTTTGTTTGAAACACCTCCATGATTACTGTAGATGTTGTCTTACTTTGCAAGTATTTCTTTGTATATCATAATGTGAAATGCAGTTGTCATAGAAATAGAAGTTCTATGTACAAGCTGACGTATGAAAAAAACATAAACATGTTTTTTGAAATTCACTGATATTGAAATGGAAATGAAAAGGCATCTTTGACGGTAGAATCTAAAATTATCTCTAAATTTTGTTTGCAGAAGTTCTGGCAAAATTGTTGATCTCTACCTTGCTTTATTTTGTTTGTACCATCTACCTGCTGTAATAGAGAATAATTAATTTGGATATAGGGATACATGATAATGGTTCAAGGAAGCTGGGGTTATCCAATATAAAATCACCTTAGCACAATGACTGAACAGGTACTGTTTTCTAGACTGATTTCACAAATACTTTTAATTTAATTATTGCATAAGCAGCAGATAAATATTGATAAATTCAATTGTATTACAGATTAGTAAATGAACATTTGAGGAATGACTGATTGATATACAAATTGGTAACAATATATTTAACCCCTTAAGGACACATGACATGTGTGACATGTCATGATTCCCTTTTATTCCAGAGGTTTAGTCCTTAAGGGATTAAAGAGACTCTACCATGAAAAAAGTATATTCATATGTTGTAAATCTTAGTTATTGTATGAAGACAGATTTGTTGCACAATGCAGAGACAAAATAAGGGAATGCTGTTGATCAATGGAAAACAATTCATTCAATAGTTGAACTAACAGCAAGATATCATATCCCAAAATGCTTGTTATTCCAAAATTATATTATTCCAATAAAATTACATCACTATATTAATATTCCATTATTTTTTTTACATCATGTGGCATAAAGTACAATAGAAAAAAACATTTTTTTTTTCTTTGTATAGTTTATTTTAATTATTTCCCCACACTTGCCATCTAAATTATTAATCTGGCTCTTATTGAATTCCTTACTATAATAAGAAGAGCTGTTTTAGAACAGTTGTGAGTTTTAGTCATGTCAGTTTAATATTCTTGTTCCTTATAGGACAAACCTGGCAAAACTAGCAGACAAAATACATTACTGTCCTTTTAGTACATATTGTCTGATTAGTGATACATGCTGAAAGAGTATTTGGCTGTTTGGGGCTATTTAAATAAAAAAATGTTTTATCACATGTTACTGATTAGAGTCAGGTATTTTAAAGAAAACCTGTTATAATATCTTATTATTGTGTATTATTTTGTAATGCATAAAATATAAGCACATACCAATTTCACCACATCCTCTGACTTACCCTTGCTCCATATGGCAGCCATCTTTGAAACTCTTCGGTCGGAAACAAAATGCTTTGACCACAGGTAAGTTAGAAGATGCACTAAAAAGAATTATTAATGTTCATAAATTTATTATTAAGCAACGCACCCAAAGGATAGAATACATCTTTTGATTTCAGTAACAATAACAAATTATGACAGTTTTCCTTTAATGCTTACAGTAATGCAAAGTAATAGATCTAAACAGTAGCCATTTGTAAAGAATTAAACCATTAAGTAAGCTACATTTTTATTAAAGTTTTATATATAAATATAATAATTTGAAAAGCATATATCAATAGTTTTGACTAGGGGAGGCCAAAAGGTAGATAATAAGCTTTTTATAAGTACAAGTCCCACCATGGTTTGCAAGCCTTAATATGGAGATATTCCTTTTTGCTACTTTTGATATAGGCTGTACAACGAACTATAAGTTTCTTGTTAATTCACCTCAATAAACACTACTGAAGTGTTTACTGGGATTAAATAGCAACCACAGTAATGTAAAATATCCCTTTTCACACCACATGAACTTTGTGCCATGTGTAACGATTAAGAGTATTAAGTCCCTATTATTCCTTGGGGCTATAACTTTTTAAGCTAGGCCTCATTAAAGTGTATGTGAGCACTGTACATGGCAATTCATTGTAATTATGCTTTTTTTTTTTTTTTTAAAGCATGACAAGTTTTCAGTGACTGTCTTGTACGTCTGTAGAAAACTTTTAATGAAATGTAAATGAAAAGACAATGGATCCATATCAGAGAAAAAAAACCATTGGGAAACATAACTAATGTTGTACTTTTGCTTCAAAAAATGTAGGAATGTCCATGGTAGTTACCCTTTAATATCAGTCATATTTGTGGAGACTTATTGTGTAAGTTCGTGACGGAGACTAATTTAAGATCTGAAAACACACTGTATTTGTAATTGACCTAATTTAACTTGAACGTGTATGCAATTATTATTGCAATAGCTTATTTTACAATATGATAATGGTCTATCCATTTTTGTATGCTTATTTGTACACAATAGCTTAAGTACCCAATATTGTCTATCTATGGAAATTAATAAAAACACTATGAACTAGCAGTATTAATACTAGAAGCAGTCTAATTTGCCTGTTGGTGATAATTTATGAGCATCCTCTTGATCCAAGAAAACTAATGAATTATACCCCAATTATTCACATTGAGGTTATCTAAAAAATTCTTAAGATGGTCTTCTGTGCCTCTCCAAATATATAAACAATTCTATCAGAAACCATGATTTTTTTTGGTTCCTTGTTTCGTTAGCCATTTGTGCTTTGATTACTGTATAAATCATTCCCCAGGTAAAGCAATCAGCCTATTAGTCCTTTTTCTCTCAGGCAGACATGAAATTAATGTGCATTTTTCAAAGTATTGCTTGAAAATAAATAAATTGACAGTATCTGCATTTCATTTGTGTTCACAAAACAATAGCTAATTTGATATTTGGGAAGGAGCAGATGGCAAACAATCTAATTCAAGAATTTTACTAGCCTCTTCTATTAGAATGCCACATACGGAACAGTGTATTAAAATCAGAATGTCCACACATTTTTAAAAATCACTTCTGTGTTTTGGGAAACTTATTTTTGTACATGCTGAACAGGCTAGGCCAGCTAGCACTATTCTTGTTATGAATCTTTGTACCAAATCTCCTTAGGGCTGCGCCATTTGTACCAATTGGCTAAACAGTGCCTGTCTGCACAATGTGAAAGATTAAAGCTTTACTTGAATTTACAAATAAGAAACAAAAATAATAAATGTACCCAAAATGATTAAAAAAAATCCCTTAAATAAATCATTATACATTTGAAATAAAGCACTTTGAAAATTCTGTGTGAAATTATCTGTAGTGGAACAGTAAGATTTTGTTAGAACTTTGTTATTAAATGTCTAGTCTAGAAAATTATTAATGGTTTTCTTTTTATTTGGAAATATTGAAGAAAGCATCAAATAAACAACATGACATCAAATTAATTAATTCTGAGTGTGTAAGACTGAAATATTTTGCATAAACTTGCCTGCATAACGCTGCCTAAAATATTTACAATTTGAACATTGGACACAGTTGAAGACTAACTGCACTTTAATATTAAAGGTGTGTTTACGTTTGGGACAAAATGGTGTCTGATTGACAGTTGCAAATGAGGGTGTTTCTGAACTTTCAATGTTTGCTTTGATAACTTGTTCTCTTAAGACACATTGAAATATTTATGAGATCAGCACAGCCGCAAATATCTAAACTGCCATGCATTTGCAATGTATATTTCTAGTGACATTGGAGCATATTATCTGTAAGTTGAAGTTTTCCTTTGGAATGTAATGTAGAAAACAAAACTACACGATGTCAATAATATCTTGCAAAGTGTTCCCATTTATAATTATTTATATTGTAAATAGCTTTCGGAGGTCAATTTTGAGTTAACTGTGCATAAAATGTATTTATTATTATGTGAAGATTTTTCTTTGGTTTTAAAATATAGTTACAAACGAATCTGAATTGTGTCTGAATCTCTGTGTTGAGTCAATTATTAATTATAGTACAATTTCACAAGTCACCAAAATGACTTAAACTTGCCTGACCTGTTTTTATAATATTGTTTTGGTTATTTTTGTAATTTTTTTTCATTTATAAAGCTTTTTTCTTAATTCACACAAATGCAACCGAACAGGAAACCCATAAAAAAAACAGAATGTATAAAGAGATAAATCATAGTAGCATCTGTACACATGAATATTTTTTGAAAAACCCCCATCCTAGAACAAAGTACAGAGGGTAGAGGGAGGTGAGAAAGAAGTAAAAAAAAAAAGAAAACATAGAGAGGTGAGGGAAGAGAGAGAGAGTCATAAGAGAGGTCCATTTATTCATTCAAGGTAAAGTGAGGTGATTTAGCCATGAAGTCCAGACATTATTGGAAAGGTGGAGAGAGTCACAATGTTGGGTGTTGAATTGCTCAATGTCTCTTACTTTTGTGAGGATGCAATAGATTTCAAGCTGAGGAGGCAATGACGCTTGGTTCACTTTACTGGCCAAAGCCCCTTTAGTGCAAAATGCTACTTTCTGTCCATGGTTCGGAAGGGATAGGTCTATTTAAGGCTGATAACCAACATGCAACTGTGTGGTTCTTCTGGGAGCATGTAAACCATGCGTGGAAGTAGGTTTCAGCTTGACAGCATACCCTCCAGCATCTGTTGTTATAAAAGATTTTCATTTGGGGAAGTTTCAAGTGGGTAATATATTATCTCATGAAAGTTTTATAGCCCTGTTCTTTGTGTATCACACAAGTGAAAAAAAATTGCAGTTGCTTCCTATGTATGTTACTAATATAGCTTGGTTGCTGCTTCAAAGTGTGTGCTTGGAGATATTCTGGAGAGTTTTACAGATTCTTCAACTATCTAAGATTGCCAAGATTTCCTGTTGGTAATTGGTAGGCATTTGATTTAATTAGCTAGGTGTTTGCTATTGATTGTTGGTTAATTAGACGTTGTTTGCAAATAAGCATAGGTCCACCCAGGTGTTAAACATTCCTAGTGGAGATATTCTGGAGAGTTTTACTGATTCTTTAACTGTCTAAGAATTTTCAAAGATTTTCTAAATGGTAAGGCATTTGATTTGACTACCGTATATACTCGTGTATAAGTCGATCTCATGTATAAGTCGAGTGCAGTTTTGTGACCAACAATTGTGAAAAATGCTATGCCTCGTGGATAAGTCGAGGGTAAAACTTGGGACTATGAAATTCTGTGATTTTTATAATCATATACACACACTCATACAAACACACACTCTGCATTATATATACACACACTCTGCATTATATACACACACACACACTCATACAAACACACACTCTGCATTATATACACACACTCTGTGTATATAATGCAGAGTGCGTGTTTGTGTAGTGTGTGTGAACTGGGTGGGGGGAGGGCATTTTTATTATTTTTATTTTATTTTAATATTATTATTTTTTTAATTATTTTTATTTTATTTTGTCCCCCCTCCCTGCTTGTTAACTGGTCAGGGAAGAGGGCTATCTTAATGCCTGGTGGTCCAGTGGCATGGGCTGTGAAGTGGGGGGGCCACTTCACAGCCCACTCCTGCAGCTCCTGTCATCTCCCTTCTCCTCCGTTATGGTCAGCTCCGCTGTAAGTCTCGCGGTCTGATTGCCGCGCGGATCGTTGCCATGGCTCTGACGGCCGTGGCTCTCTAAGTTGCCATAATACAGACAGTGACTCGAGTATAAGTCGAGTGGGGGTTTTTAAGCACAAAAAATGTGCTGAAAAACTAGACTTATACTCGAGTATATACTGTAGCTAGGTATTTGCTATTGATTGTTGGTTTCTATAATCTGAGGTATATAGAAGAAAGAAAAATGCAAAGTTTGTTTAATTTACTGAGCGTAGTGGTATTACGGTGACAAGCTCAGGCACTGAGTGTACTGGTGTTATGGAGACAGGCTCAGGCACAGAGTTTGTGGAACCACCATCCTATATGCCAAAGTTATGCAATATTGCAGCCAATGACAAAAAAAGGATAAGATGAGGCCTGATAGAAAGCAGTTGTTGTTGGGGGATTCTATCAAAAGAGGCGTTGAGAGGGACAATAGTTGCCTTGTGAGATGTCTTCCTGGTGCTACTGCTCACAGAGACAGGGGACATATTTGTAATATTGTTAAGCTAGCAAAGCAGGAAGGGGAATTGGATGTACTTGTCTATTTAGGGACAAATGACTTGGCTTGCAGTGAGGTTTCAAAGATAAAGGAAGTGTTTTGTGTTTTTGCCAATGATATACAGCAGGTGGCTTCCACACTGTCATTCTCTGAAGTTCTTCCTGTGCATAACACTCAGAATGACAGGTGGATGTGTACTAGGGACTTTAACTTGTAGCTTGGTGAATGGTGCCGGGAGCAAGGATTTGGCTTGATTTCTCATGGTAGCTCTGTTTGGAATAGAAATAAACTGTACAAGAAAAGATGGTTTGCATCTTTCTCAAAGAGAGTAGATCAGAGGTTTGCTAGGATGTATTTAAACCAGGGTGGGGAGGGGGGGCAGGTAAAAGGGTGATAAAACATCGATCCAACTGCCAACCAAAACAAGGACAAAAAGTGCCTGCAGCAAGTGTGTTAAAAAATGATAAGCTTAGCGTCATGTCTACAAATGCTCGCAGTTAAGAGAATAAGATCCATGAACTTGTGACAGTAATGGCAACTGATAAAAAGTAGAATTAGTTGCTGTTACTGAGACATGGTATAATGAGAAAAATGACTGGGACATAGCAATACCAGGTTATTCTTTACATAGAAAAGACAGGGAAGGCAAGAAATGGGGAGGGGTGGCCATGTATGTGAAGGATAGCATAAAATCTAGCCTAATAAAAGTTAGGGAACAGAGAATCCATTTGGTAATTTGGTAATCGCACAGTAACTCATGTAGGTGTGATTTATAGCCCCGGGGACAAATAGAGTTAGATAATCTACTAGTTGAGGAAATTACTAAAATGACAGTGAAGGGGAAAGTTATCATCATGGGTGACTTTAATCTTCCCGATGTGGACTGGAAAACCAAAATAGCTGCCTGTGCCAGGAGCACACATATGCGGGGATTATCTCTAAAACAAGTCATTGAGGAGGCCATACTAGATTTAGTGTTAACAGATGGAGATTTGGTATCAGATATTACTGTAGGTGAAAGTTTAGGATCAAGTGATCACCAGTCAGTGTGGTTTAAATAGTGATAATTTCAATGATTATTGTGGGAGGTAGGTCTTTATCTGAGATTAGTTAGAAAAAAATATTAATATTAACCCATCTTTTAAAAGATATTGGTACCAATTAATAATTTACTTAAGTTTTGCAGCATAGCAGCAGTAGTTCTTCAAATGAGTTAGAGGCCTACAAGTGATGTGGGAGCATACATAATATTCTTAATTATTATTCATTTGACCATATGAAAGAGTCAATGTGCCTTTAAAGTATTCTGAAATCATACATTGATAGATGGATGAATAGGGCTTGAAAAAAATAGTCGGAGTAAAATATTCATTTTTTATGGTAGTCTGCCCAAACAAGAGACTGAAAGTGACTTCCAGCCTTAGAGGTCTTACTTTATTTGTTGTAATAGTGAAGTATAGTTAAGAGCATTTATTTTAATGTTTTATTTCAATAGATTAAATCGACCAATAGATTAAAATCATATTTTATATATTTTTTTAAATTCTAACATGCTTATATGACTGTATTTTGAAATGTCTTAAAAATATATTTTTTTCTCAAATTTTCAATGTAGTAGTTTTGTCCAAGAGACTGGCTTTTTTACGTCTTGTTTAGTTCCATTGTATTTCTCACCCTTCTCTTTGTCTTTCAGTTTTCCTATTTGTCATCCTCTTCCATACATTTCTTGTCATGGTTCTTTTTGCTACAACCCTAGCAAGTGTCTACATCTTGTCTCTCAGCTCCCAGTGACTCTTTGAATCAATAGATTATATTTTCTAATTTAATAAACTATGCTAGATACACAACTGTACAAAAGAGGTTCAGGAATAAATTATACAGGACCTATCCTGATAACAAGTGGAAAATGAACTGTTTGTACACACTACAAGTTCTGTGAAGGACCCAGAGGACCGATCCATTTCGATGTTGTCTTTGGGAAAAGTATTGCTTGAAGGCATAGTGAATATCCACTGGTTTAGATTGTATTTTAGATAAGATGAAAAGGTGGACATCATTCATGAATATCAATCCAATTTAACT